AGTTTTTTTAGGGAAATAGGAACTAGGCCCGGCTTAATTCTAGATAAAGCTATCTTGGTTTCCTTATTATATAAGTATAAGTAATATCTGGTATAATAGCCGAACTTATTATAATTAAAGTACTTAATAGTTAAGAGATCCTTAGTCTTTATAGGATATTACTTGTACTTATATAAAGGCATATATTTAACTAGAGTAATAAATATAAGCTTCTAGGGTTTCTTTTTAGAAATATATAAGAGTATAGTACCGGAAATAAACTTGGCTAGATCGGCTCCTGTCTTCTTATATTTCTTAGTCTTCTTATATTTCTTAGTCTTCTTATATATAGCCTTAATCTATTAATTATTAGTAATATAGTACTAAGTAAAGCAAGTAATATTAATAGAAAAGTTATTATAGTATATATATACTAATTCCTAAAGCTTTAGTAAGAGTTTCTTATTTAGTTTATATTTAATATCTTAAAGACTAATATTATTTTCTATAGATAATTATAAGAAGAGAATATAGAACTTCTAGAATACCTAACTAGAATATATATAAAGCTTACTAAAGTTATAATAAGTATTTTATATCTTATTAGGATTAGAGTATAGCTTTTTTAGGTAGGAATAGAACTCTGAGAGCTAATAGTACTAATTCGGACTATTTTTGTCTATATAAGGGTTAGTTAGGGTAAGAGTATTATTAGTAAGTTTACTAGAAATATAGATAATCTTAAGATTCTCTAAGAGATATAAATTAGTATTTTCTTATAGCTTATTCTTAATCTAAACTAGCTAGTTATTAAAGATAGTATAATCTCTAATAAAGAGAGTTAGATCTGGGAGCTTAGTAATTCTAGTATCTCTAAAGAGAATATAAGATATAGAGGATCCTAAATAGAAATAAGTAAGAGATAGTTCGGAATTCTTTTAAGAGAGATTCGGAGTAGCCAGAACAGGCAAAATAGAAGTAGTTAGAGCTATTATAAGCTAATCTACTATAGCTATATAGTATTTGACTTTATTCTCGAGCTTAGTATTATAGAGCTTAGTATTCTCGAGAATAGCTTTATTATAACTATAAGTATTCTTATATAAAATAGCTCTTTAGATATTTTCCCGGTAGCTTTTTATAATAATATTAATATCTGAGAGTAAGGTATTAGGTTCCTTAGCCTATTTATATAACTCTCTAGTAATAATATAGTCTTTGGTTTCTAGAAGCTCTATAATAAAAGCAGAGGGTTTTATTTTTATAGACTTATTTATAAATTCTCTAGGAATACTAATAAGATATTTGATTTGGGAAAAGCTACTAATAGAATAACCTGAATTAGTAGGAGCTTTACCGGAAGCCTTAGCAGAAGTTAATATAGTTCCTAGTCACGTGGTATTCTAGGAAATTAACCTATTATACTTTTCCTCTATTATATTCTTCCTAGTAATCTTATTACTAATATATATATAAGGCCTATGAGGTTATAGAATAGGGCTTAAGGATAGTAGTTAGGTTACTAGCCTATAAGTGCCTATTACTTTAGGACTTAGTTAAAAAGTAGCCTTTATTTAAGATTCTTTAATTTTTGGGTTTTTAGGGAAGTTTCTAATATACTACTAGTATATATTTATAAAAATATAAATACCTGATTTTTCTAAGGGTTCTAAAGCTTTTTATTTTTATTATTCTAAAGTCTATTACTCGTATTTCTAAGATTCTGTTATTTTAGTAATACCTATATTTCTAATAGTTCTAAATTAGTTTATTTGAAATCCTCTATAGAATTAAAAGAAGTAAGCTTTAAATACTATTATAGATATAGTATTTAGGGCTTGAAAAATAAGGTAAAAAGTCCCTTATAAAGACAATTTAAAGCTAAGAAAGAGAAAACTAGAATATAAGAGGCTTTAAGGAAATATATATATCCTATAGTATACTAGTCCCGAAGGGGCTTAGCCTTCTAAATATCTCTAGTATATTTCAAATATACTTCCCTAATAAGGCAGCTATATTACGTGTATTTAGGAGGCATCTAGTATCTGGGAATTATAATAATCTATAGAAATCTTATATACCTAAAAATATAAGTATTTAAGATAAATATTATTTGAGTTCTAATCTATAATAAAAGAAAAATAAAGTATATAAAATAAAATATATAAAGTAAAAATAAAATAAAATACCCGGATATTTAATAAATAGAAAGTCTAACTATAAATTATAAGAACTAGTATTAACTAGATATATATATAGTAATATTAAAGGAAAGATAAGGTAAAAGAAACTAAAAAATAAGTTAGTATATATTTTATAAAAGTAAATAAGAAGATATTTAAATAGCCCGAAAATAAGAAATATATATTAAAAAAGTTGAGATTAAAAAAAAAAGTTATTTTCTATAAGAATAAATTAGTATATATTTCAAGATAAAGAATAGAAATACTTAGTAATAGCCTAAAGGCTTTTATAAGTATTAAAGAAAAGAAGAAAATATTAAAGTTTAAAAAGAGCTAAATAGAAATTAGTTTCTTTTTTGGAAGTTTAAGAAAGAATATTCCTAAAGAGCCTAAAAATATAAGAGATATTAGGAAAAAAAAGATATTAAAGTTTAAAGAAAGCTAAATAAAAGTTAGCCTCTTTTTTAGAAATTCAAGAAAAAGTATTTCTAAAGAATCTAAAAATATAAAAGATATTAGAAAAGAAGAGAAAATATTAAAGTCCGGAAAAAGCTAAATAGAAGTTAGTTTCTTTTTTGGAAGTTTAAGAGAAAGTATTTCTAAAAGGCCTAAAAATATAAGAGATATTAGAAAAGAGAAAAAAAAGATATTAGAGAAAAAAAGAAAGAATCTAAAATTTAGCTTTCTAAAAAGCAAGTGAATTAAAGACTTATAATATAGGAATTCTAGATAAAAGTAACCCGGAAATAGTAATTAGATACTAGTTTTAGTATTATTAATAGAAGTATTAAAGAAAAAGAGGTTTAGAAAAAGAGTTTAGAGAAGGAATTTAAAAAAGGAATTTAAAAAAGGAATTTAGAGAAGAAAAGAAAGGTTATAAGATAGTTAGATACTAGCTTTTAGTATTAATAATAGAAGTATTAAAGAAGAAAAGGTTTAGAGAAAGGGTTTAAAGAAGAAGAAAAAGATTATAAGATAGTTAGATACTAGCTTTTAGTATTAATAGTAGAAGTATTAAAAGAAAAGGAGTTCGGAAAAGAGATTTAGAGAAAGAGTTTAGAAAAAAAGAGAAAGGTTATAAAATAATTAGATACTAGCTCTTAATATTAATAGAAGTATTAATAAAGATATTAATAAAAGTATTAATAGAGAAGATATTAGTAAAAAACAGAAGCTTTTAGTATTAATAGTAAAGTCAAAAAATATAGAAAAAGAATAGAGATTTTAGAATAAAAATAAAATAGAATTATAGTTTTATAGAAAATAAAGTTACTAGTATAAAATAATTATATTATTATATAATTCTATATTTACTTTTATTATTTATTAAAAATATATATCTTTTAGGAAAAAGTATTACTTAAAATTTTTAAGCCTTTCTAATTTAATAATTATATATTTAAAAAATAAGAAATAAATATAATTATATATATTAGAATAAGAGAATTCTTCTTATCTAAAAATTATAATTATAGTATTACTAAATATAGAAATATAGAAATTTATATAATAAGCTATATATAAAGATTTGAGAAGATTTAAATTATCTTGAATTATTTATAATTAGTAAAATAAATTAGCTAACTATATAGATTAAATATAGTTTAATTATTATTAGTATATCTTGGCTTTTATAAGTTAGTAAAAGAAAGAATATTTATATCTTTATTTTTATAACTATAATATCTAAAATTATAATTTTTTTAATATTTAAATATACTTAATTTAGGGCTATTAAGTACTAATATTTTTATTTTTAGATATTATTTATTATAAATTTCTTTGGGTTTAAATAATTATATTAAATATATATCTTTATATCTTAAAGATAAATAATAAAGATATAGCTATACTAGCTTTAATTTTAGCTTTAATCTTAACTTTAATTTTCTTCCGAAAATAACTTTAATTCTAATATATAATATTATTATTAAAGCTTTTCTTTATTAAAAATATAATATTTATAATATATCTTCTAATAATTCAGACTTAGTCTATAATATTTTTTCCTATTAATATATTTAATTAATAAATCTCTTTGCTTCTTAACTTTCTTTTTATATATAATCTTCTTTTTCTTCTCTATAATAATACTTTAATCTTCTTATATTACCTAATAATATTACTAAAGTAGTAAAGCAAATTAATAATAAGACTAAAGTTAGAGAAATAGAGCTATACTAGAGCAGAGAGCTAAAGAAATTAAAGAAAAGTAAGGCAAATCTAGAGATAAGCTTAATATATATTTATAAAACTGAATTCTCTTAAGCTTATACTACTTATAGTAATAAGAAGAGACTAAAAGGCCCTTTCAAATACTATATAGTTATAGAAAGCAAATTCGATAGTACTTATATAAATTACAGATATAATAATAATAGTAAAGTCTATACTTTCCATTAACTTAATACTAATTCTACTAAGTCTGGAAAGCCTTACTCTATATCTGTAAAACCTTTTATACTAAAGCCTTGACTATCTATAAGATATAGAAAGCAATACAAAGACAGATACAAGGTCAGAAGGCAATAGGGAAGGAGGTTATAGCAGAGAAGGGCAAGGATACTGGAGGAGAAGGGGACAAAGAAGATATAGATAATTCGAGTGATCTAGGCAGTATGGAGGATACAGAGAGTAAGGGAGATGGAGATATGCCTTGTAATCCATAGGATTTGCCTTACGGACCATGCAAGCTAAGGGGGAGCTAGGAGTAGTCGAGAATAAGGCGTGTATGCTGTACTTCTTTTTTTAGTGAGGTATGGGGGGGCAGGGGGGGGGGGGTGCGGGCGCGAAAATCAAAAAATCAGAAAATCACTTTTCGCTTCTCGGTTTTGTCGACTAGCCTGCTAATGGCCTCAGTAAGATGGTGGACTCCGTAGCTACATCAAGAGAGGACGTGACTTCATCCAAGACAACCACTGGCGTCACGCCTAAAGTTCGTAACGCGCCGGTTTTGGCAAGCGCCCGGCAGATCGCAAATAGTTGACACTGTCCCACAGAAAGTTCCTGGAGCAATGAAACCTTCTGATAGAGGATCGGGTGCTCGCCAAAGCCAGAAATAGCGATGCCTCCCTCAACGCGTTTGTCGCTTTCGACAAAGTGTGACCACAACACCGCTTTGGCCAATGCATCAATCAGATCCCCGTCCGGTCTTGAGTTGTCTGGGTCCAAGTTGAAGCGCAGCGTCTGTTCGGGCAAAAGGAGGGGGTCCTGGGATACCGCGACGAAGCAGCGCTGGCGCAGCAAATTAAGCCTGACGCGCTTGATATCGATACCATCCAGCTTAATCTTACCAGACCGAAGCTCCAGAAGTCTGAGCAGCGTCAATAGTAGCGTAGTTTTACCAGTTCGTATGTAAAGGTCAGTCCTGGAATGGAGACGATCTAAAAGCGAGGGTTGACTAACCTGCCTGTGCGACCGCAGACGATGAGCTTCTGACCAGGATTGACATTCAGGCTCAAATTCTTTATAGCAAGAGACTCGGCGCTGGGATGGGCAACTAGTTAGCTATTGGCAGAGAGAGCTCTCTGGCAGGTACGTACTGGTAGGCGGCAGTGATATCGCAGAACTCGATCTGCGCACTGGAAAGCCAGTTTGCAGGTGGCTCCATACTCCAGTTCGCTCCACCCTCAAGCGGAGTGTTCTTCTCCAGAGTTTTCAAGCGAGAAATGGCACCGAGAGAGATCTCCATAATGGTCCAGTTCTCCACAAGCTTCAGCAGCGTTGTATTTGCAACGAGGATAATGTTGAGCGCAATTCCGACTTGCGCACCGCTGACATGCTCTCGGAATACCACAGCTATGACAATCGCAGTTGTTGCCACACCTGCAGCCAAGAGATCTAGAACAACATTAAGCCATCTTTGTAGACAAAGGAGAAGAAACTCTGGGCGCTGGGAGTGTTCAACGCCAGAATGTTGTTCTGGATAACGGCTCTGGACCAACCAAAGGGGCGTATTGTTTCGAGGCCCTCAACCTAACAAAATCCCAGGTTACCTGCTCGTCTTGATTAGAATATGGGTACCTACAGATTCCAAGAAACTCGAGAAGACGCCTGCGCGGGCCTCTAGCTCCAGATATCGCAATTGCCTCGACGTTCGAAGATAGACCTTCCGCACGAAGTAAACCCGAAGCACACAGGCCGGAATAGCATAGTAAGCCATTTCTCTGCCATGCAAAGAACTATAACCTGCATAACAGGCTTGCAGATTTCTGATAGTTCTATTAGCTTCAAAGCCTCCAGGAAAATGTGCGTGGAACCTACGAGTCACAATGGTTTGAAACGCTGACGGCAGTTGTTTATCGATAAGCTGGATGTCTTGACTAAACCTAGTAACCATCAATATTAATTAACTACCTTAAGCCACCTAAGCAAGCATCCATTCTTACCTATTCAGGATTGAGCCGTTATCTGTTTGAGAGAAGAAAGATAACGGAGCGCTGTTTATACTTAGCTGTCTCGCACATCATCCAATCAGGGATCCTTATATGCAGCAATACAAACCTCGTGACGATGTTTACAAGGCGTTGATGTATCCGTGACCCAGACCGTAAAGCAAGTCGGATAAGGACGACTCTTGGAGAAACGGATTAGCCACGAACAGCCCGAGCTCGCCAGTAAACGTACCAAGCTTGGGCGCTAGTCGTGATCCAGGACACTGTGGAGAGAAAGACATATGCACCAACGTAAATGCGATGCTGCTGCTGCCTGACTCGGTCCACAACCGAAGCCACTATTGGGGGATCGTCATGCAGAAAGAATATATAGAAGTGTCGCTGACGAGACAGAGGAGGTTTACAAAATCACTGAAACCTAGATATTAACCTGAGGTGTTGTTAGCCTACGCTAGTCGCAACACTAGAAAATAGGGGAGGGTGAAAGAACCGTATAGAGCGGTATCGCCGGTCTGTCTCGCCAAGTCCAGTTCCGTCGCGTCCTTTGCCCGCAACTGGGCGCTGAGTTTATTGTAGTTGGCCGACAAGACAACGTTTTCCTTGCTGGTATGGCTGGAAGCAAACTTTGCTATGGATGCAGCTTTGATAATGAGGTTTTGCCAGCTCCCTTGGTCGACGATTCCACGATCTCCAAGAACCACGATGTGGTCTGCAGCTAGAAAGTACTGGGCTATCCAGGGGTAAGCTAGTACGCGGACAGACTAGCGAACAGCATGGGATTAACTCACCGGAATTAGAAACGAGGACCACGGTGGTCCCCAGCCGCCGCAATGAACCGGACGGTCCAAATAGATTGCTAAAAACAGTCTACTCGGTTTCACCATCTAGGCCACTAAATGTGTCGTCCAGCAGAAGTATATTGCATCTTGCAAATAATGCACGAGCGAGTGCCTAGAGTTTGTTGAGTATCCGGTCCTTCTGGGGCAGTCTCAAGAAACCTACCACAGGTTGTCTTTGTCCGCCGGACAGATTGAGTCCCCTACTGCCAATCTGTGTCTGATCTCCATCCGCAAGTGAATCGATGTCATGAGTGAGACAACACATATTTAAAACTTTGTCATACCGTTTCTCAAAATTTTCAAAATTTGAGCCATAGATATTGGTAGCACCGTAGATGGCTTCCTTGATTGTACCATTAGGTAGCCACGGCCTCTGAGCGCAGTACGCTATCCTTTGCGTGGATAAAGAGACTGATCCATGAGCGGGGATTGCTTCTCCAAGGATCATGCGCAATAGAGTCGATTTTCCGCTGCCAGTAGGACCAGATATGAGGGTGAAATTTCCAGTGGCTATGGTGATGTTGATGTTCTCCAAGACAACTTGTGGATGGCCGATTTGAACTTCGCTGATCCGAATGGCAGGGCCGGGTGTTACTAGATTGCTAGGTGCCGAATTCCAAGCCAGAGGAGCTTTCGGTAACTCCCTACGATTGACTTGTAATGGCGGCCGAAGTAAGAATGCTTGGATCTTTTCGAATCCCGAGAGCGCTGACACTACGCGGGGTACAATTGTCATTACCATGTTTGCAGGATGCGTGACCATGCCCAAGACGGCTGCGGCGGTAAATGCAGTGTCCGTCTCTAGGCTGCGACCCTTGGCCTCGGATGTCACCGCAAATATCGCCAGTGTGATGGCTGGGGAGAATATCCCGAGGGCATTAGCTAATATCCGTTAGCTTGTACAACGGGCAGCAGTTAAAACTCATCTGGTCTTATAACAAACCTGATGCATTGTAGTATACCATGATCCATCTCAGTTTTGAGGCTGTCTGGAGCTCTATTTCTCGAAGCTTCTGAATACGACGACTCAGATGGTCTTGGAACCCCAGCATCTTGATAATTCTCATCGCCTTGAGCATTGAGCTTATAGCAGCTATGCGATCTTGCGTTGCGTTATTCCAAGCCTTCTGGCCAGGTTGCAAGTGCTTTGCAACAAACCGACTCATTTGAGAGCATACTACGTAGGTACCTTATATTAGTACCTGTCAACGCAGGGAGCTGTGGAATGAGATACATACAATATATAAGAAAGAGCGGAGGCGGCCAGATCCACCCAACCTGGCGTGCCAGAAGCCATATGCCAATCAATACTTCTAAAATCTGAGCCCATATCTCATGAACCATTTCGGCAATGCCATCGAGGCCATCAGTGTCAGTGCTCATGAGTGTGGTGGCCGCGCCATTATCGTACGAGACGCTCGCTAACTTTATGGTATGGTCATGAATAAGTCCCACTAAGGCACTGCTAGTCATCAGCTTCAATCAGTTAAGACGATTCTGGTACGCAGCTGTCGATAGCTAAAGCTGAACGTTAGCGTGCGGGAAGAAGAGTACGAGCCTTGGCTGCGTACCGCAATGCCAACATATATTGCCACGGCAAATACTATAAGCCAGTGTCTGTGGTACGTAAGGGGGTTGTAAGAAGTCATGAACCCCCCCCTGCAAGGCGGTAAGCGCTTGGACCAATAAAAAATCCATTTCGCTCGATTCGCCCCATAAATTACCTACTCTGGTAGAGGCAGAACAGGGGAGGTGTTCATGACTTCTTACAACCCCCTTCCGTACAGTCACCACCAACTGATATTAGCCGAAACGCGTATTTAAGCGACGCGACGCGATTTCCCCCATCAACCCCCTTACACATATTACCCAAAATGCCACCTTTACGCACTCCTTTACGCTCCATCTCTGGAAATCGCCCTAAGGGGTCAGAGATCTCTCCTTATATACGTGGTCAAGTTATAGGGAAGGCTTCAGAGGGTGCAGATCCTACCTCGATTGCAAAGGACCTAAAATTGACTCGCAGCACCGTTAATTACACACTTTAGCAAGACGAATTGCGCAACGACGGCCACTCCCTACCACGAAAGCCTTGCAAGAAATCATATACCGATGCCAATGAACGTCAAATCCTCCGTTACGTTCGCCTGAACCCAAAGGATATATACCAACAGGTTATTAATTAATTAGAGCTGGGTTATAGGCGTAAAACCATCAAGAAGATCCTCACAGGCTTGGCAGCAATACCTAATTTCTGGTATCGATAGATATCGATGCCAGAATCATAAGGTATCGATACTATCGATAAAGTATCGATTCCTATCGATTCCCGGAACCCAATTCCCCCCTTTAATTGCAATTAACTTTAGAACCACTTCCCTTATAAGAAAGCTTTTGGTAGCGCAAATATTCTACTTAATTTAGGCTTTCTATTTAGCTACTTATCTTATAGTTTAGACTAAAACTCGTCTCAATGCGGCTATTTTAAGCAAAAAATAGCTTTTGAGATTTTCGTGAGGCTCGCTTATAATAAGCGTTCCGATAAGAGATACGAATACGATACTAAATTTTCCGAATACGAGAGCTTTTTTAAATTAAAATAATATTAACTTTTATTAATAATATTAAGTAATTCCTTTAATAGAAAGACTAGAAAATAAAGAAATTATATATAAATATATTATTATATAAATTAAATAATAAATGGAAGAGATAATTTAAGGCCAAGTATCGATTCTTGCGATACCTAAGTAATACCATCCAGTATCAATACCTTATCGATACCAAAAGTATTTTTGCCAAGCCTGGATCCTCAAGAGGCATGGCATATGCAATTGGAGAGCAAAGAGACGCCCGGAGCTTACAGAAGCTCACGCGATAGCACGGCTTGCTTGGTGTCTCGTACGAGAAGGATGGACAGAAGAGGAGTGGGGCTTGGTGGTGTGGAGTGACGAGTGTTCTGTAGAGCGGGGGCGGGGTAAAAGGGGGGAATGGTGCTTTCGTATACCGGAGCAAAAGTGGTATAAGGAGATGGTTCAAATCTATAGTACGGGCAAGAATATAAAGATTATGGTCTGGGAATACTTTTGGGACTATAGGAGGTCCAATTATTATATTATGGACCGCGATTTTGAGTCGACAAAGTATGGGTACTTAGCTAACTCCTACCTGGAGGTTTGTAATACAGAAGTAGCCCCAATTTTCTTATAACTTGACGATAGTTACTTGTTTATACAAGATAATGCTTCTATATACCGGGTATATATAGTTCAGGCTTGGTTTGCACTCTATGGTATTATACAGATAGTAAATTGGCCCGTATACTTCCCTGATCTTAACCCAATTAAGTATATCTAGTAGCACCTGAAAATAAGGACCTTGTAACGGCGCTGGCTGGGGGCTAAAGGGGGGTGGCTGTCACATGACTGGTTTCACCTAGCTAGCCGGCGTTTCAGTGATTTTAGCTAGTATTTCCCTCCTTTTACTCCCTTTCCTTCTCTTTCTCCTTCTTCTCTTTAGCTTAGTATTCTCAATATATGGGATTTTCCTGGATCTTTGAGCCTTTGTACCATTGCCTCGATCCCGCCGTTATAGACCTATAAGATATTCCCAGAGGTAGCGGCAGATAAATCAGAGTCAGAGTATACAAGACAGAGGCTAGAGTCTTATATTCAAGCGGCGTAGGGTATATTAGATAAGGGGTTATTCGATAGTTTATATACAAGTATACCGGCGAGAATAAAGGCTTGTATTGCGGCCGATAGGTGGTATACTAAATATTAAGATAATTAGACGGATGAAACTGTATAATATTTGGGCATATAAAAGAGCGAATTGCGATAATTAAAACGATGCAATTTGCACGTGAATTGCCCTAGTAGTTATTAAGTAATTAAGTAATTAATATGGGGTGGGAATGAGAAGTGTGGTGTGGTACGGGGTCGTGTCTAACGAGCCTAGTCAGATAAGTCTGTATCGCACAGGGCATTTCACTAACAAATATTTTTTTAAACTTTTTGCGCAATGTAACAAGTAATTAGTTTAGGGGTTAACATTATAATTTAACCTCTTCTCTATTATAATTATTAAAATGTAAGATAAATAATAAGTGGTTGTTTAATTAAATACAAGTGAAGTAGCTGACTTGGGTTTTCGACAGCCTGAAAATACTCGCTAAAATGCCCTGTGCGACACAGACTTATCTGACTAGGCTCGTAATATCAGTTGGCTAGTACTGTAGCTCTCTGGCACTTCAGCACAGCCAGGGGGTAGACTCTTCTGCGTTTCGGGTTTTGCTATTCCACAAGTGAGAAGCAAAACGATAAGCGATTTTGAGGGGCCCTTTGCTGACCTCGTTGAGACCATATCTCAACCATTGACTTTCTTGTGGACTCTGGCATCATGTCTTGGTTTAGCGGTGGCATATCTGCTTGGGTGAAAATATCCTTACATCCCTGAAGGAGGATTAGGTTGATCCACAGAAACAGGAGCCGACTGAAGAGGCCGTGGAGCTCCTGGGGAAATTGGTGCCTGCTAAAAACATCAAGGGCGGGGCGTTGTGTGCCATATTCGAAGATTAACAGCGTCGATTGCATGTAACAGCGAAGAAGCACCGGCCGGGAGAGAGTCGAATGCCCAGCAATGTCGGATGGCATAGTTAGATAGACGACATCGCACAGTACAAACACAAGAAGGTATCGCGTGGCTAGATCTGAAATCTGATGAGGGCGCCGCTGTTCTAGGAGCAGAAGTAGGCCGAGGCCCAGCGAAGCATTTGAGGAGGCAAACAGGGAGAACCGACAATGAGCCTCATGCTGAACATCTAAGCTTGAAACTTTTGTCCAGTACACGAATAATGTAATGGAAAGTAATAGCCCGAGAGCCTAGCGACATGATTAGGCCAAGGGAGAAGCTTCAGGTTCCCGAGATGGGAGATACTAAGATACTAACAGCTTTGAAGCGCCCTTTCCAGCTTGGAACACTTCTAATGCCAGAACTGCGAAGCTTCCAAAGTCTCACAGGGAGAATTAATAGGAATATTGCGGCACAAGCTGTAGATATAAGATGTAGAACACCGGCGGGCTCGGGAGTCATTGTGGCCCGCCGAGGAGGGCATGGCTGTTGGTCTGTGCTGACCTTTAGCCCCTCAATCTCGCCAGCAGTTACTTACATGCAGTGAAACCAATATTATAAGGTAAGAAGTCATAGTCGGGCCCTCTCGACCTATCTATTTCGACCCGTTTCCTTCCTCCTCCGGTTGGTGGGGCTTAGGTTTGTTTCGTGAACCCTTGAACATCATGAAGTCTCTTGGCTGATCTCGTTACACCGTGCTCTTGAGTACAGCCATTTTTAACGCAGATTCCCCGTTTTTGTTTCGTGCCCATCCTTCCCCTCTGGTTTGTCAACGCACGTATAGGTAACTTACCTTGACCTCCATCACAATGACAGGCCGCATTGCAGGTCAAGACCCTATTGTTTTGCTCCCTGGCATCAGCTCTCAGAAGTTTCATGACTTTATGGGCCGGGCTGTGCAAGTGGTCGGTAGCGAAAATGTTACTGTCGTTAGAGAGCCCGACCAGTTCTCGAAGGAAGACTACATGGACTCGTCGAAATCACACGATATGTTTCCCATTCTTGGAAAAGAGCATTTCTTGGCTTCTGCGGTCGTCTCGCCACGGCACGTCCCAGATATCCAGGACATGATGAGATTGGCGAACGATTTGAGATACCCTTATGGCCATTCTCCACGGGCAGAAATATTGGATATGGTGGCGCTGCTCCGCGTGTCCGTGGTATAACGGCAGCATTCAGATAAATTGATTAATCTAATTTAATATCTTCCTGATACAAAGGTTCGCCTCGTGATCTGCCAGATGCTGTTGACAGGGCGAGTGAGAAGGACCTTTCTGCGAGCCGCGATGAGAATATGGTGGGCGGGGCGCGCCCTTTTACGGAACCACAATATTTGAACTAAATTTTCTTATACACTCCAGTTTGATAACTTGACCGCGACTTTAAGTCTCTATAACTTTCTTTAACGGTAGCTAAGTTGACTGAGTCGACTTTTAGGCAGCCACATTAGTAATCTCACCTTCCGGAGATCGCAGCCTGTTTCCTGACAAATGTCTTTTGCGCCCGCACACCATTCAACGTTCCCATCGAATCCTCACGCCCGCGGCGTGGCCTCCAACCTAGCGTACCTATCTTGCTGCATAGATTCTCGAGCCTTCATTCGTCTCCTTCTGGAATAGCCAACTTCGGCGCCACCCCACCCCCCGCTGTGACGGTGCCACCTTCCCCTTCGATCTCAAGCCCGTCAGCGGCGAAGCCACAAGCAGATAGACAGATCAACCACCCAACCATCACGAGTACAATGGCAAAGCTCACGGGCCTTCCGCCTGAGATCAGAAACAGCATCTACGACCTTCTGATCATCCTCGATGAGCCAATCCCAATCGCTTCGCCCCGCAAAGAGCATGTACGGAAGAAGCAAGAACACTCCAGCCTTGCGAGCTTACTGTAGGTGTTTGGGGAGAGCCCCTTTCCTATTTCAGATTGATAAACGATGAATACTCTCAAAAGAGTGCTACGGGCTTCGAGAGACAATTTGTGCTCCTTGTTCCAGCGTTCGTAAGACAATCTGTGAGCAATTACTAACTACCATCAAGGAGAGTCAACAAGCAAATCAATCAAGAGGCAAAGACCCTATTCTACGCACGCAGTACATTCATCGTAGGCAATGGATCCTGGGGTTCAACTTCTCAGGTCAACGTGCAAGCCTTGAAAGAATTCATTAGACGAGTACCCAAGGACTGCATTGCTCTCATTCATAAGATCGAGCTCGACATCTGTCTTGTGCGTTTCTACAACCGACACAGAAATTTCCACCGTGTTCGCAAAGAGGACATCAGCCAACTGGAGATGGTCAGCCGAGCCTTGGCGAAATACTTCAAGGGGCTTGAGTCAGTTTCGGCGGCCATGGTCAATATCATCACTTACCCCCACACAGACAGTCGTGGATGGCTAGAATACCCCATACATGGCAATGTTGGTGTACTCGCGAAACCGATCTGGAAAATCTTGACTTTGCCGGCACTGAAGCAGCTCTATTTTAAGTATGAGAGTTCTCCCGATATCAAGACTTTGGTGGAGGCTGTATTGGAAGGAAATGAGGAAGCAAAAGACAAGGTCAAGATGATGAAGCAAGATGGCAGTATTGTTCCTCTCTTGACGGTTACTCCCTGACTGTTCGATCCTATCGTGGAACAATCTCCTCGTCATCTTCCCGATTCCCTCCAGTTATACAACATTGGCACTTTCTATGGTATTACCATTCTATGCGTCTCGAGTACATTGAATACAAGTCCCACTAGGATAATCTCTCATAACCTTTCAAATGGAGAAACTGGATGTGATTCAGATAGTCCTAATGCGTTAAGAACACTGTATGCGTATGCGTTTCATAGGCAAAATTTTGCCATTTCCCAAGTAATTAAAGATCAAGAAGCTCTTACGCCACTCTATCCATCCTCTCAGCACTCATATCAACTCCTCGTAGAGGAAATATAACGAGGGGGCATCTGAATACACCATAGAGAGAGAGAGGGAACACGCCACTGCCTACTTGTGTGGAATAAGATTTTATGCGGTGGTAGGGATGACTGTTGACAGTCAAGGCAGCCGCGTATCCAAAGAATTAATTGCTAGGAGAGTACCCAGAGGCAAAAGAAAGCTATCCTGAGAAGGGGGAAAACTCATTAAAAGTACAAGTATTTGAAACGCAATATTGTCAATTATTGATGTCCAGAGAGGAAGACCACCGATGACTAACGCCTGCCATAAAGATTATTGATCTTGCCTCCCAAGACTGGCGGCTGACCGGCGGGAATCTGAGCCATACCCTGAGCTGGCTGAGCACTCCAACTATACTGAGATCCACCGTACGGGATTTGGCCATACTGATTTCCGCCAGCATTCTGACTTCCTCCAGAGCCACCGCCTAGTGCTGGAGTGGGCTGGGGATTCTGATTGGCGCATGCAGTGCTCTGAGTCGGCTGAGGATTTTGATTGCCCCAGGCTGAGCTCCAGCTCGAGACCCAGGCTGAACAATGAGGGTCATAAGCTCCCTCAACAACACCAGGAGTCGGCTGACTACGCCAACTCCAGCTTGTGCTCCAAGCCCCACCAGCGGGATTTTGACCTCCCCCAACTGGAGATGGAGTAGGCTGAGTGCCCCAGGATGTAGTCCAGAGAGAGCTCCATGAGGAACCGTGATCGCCACTTCCTCCGACAGGGACTTGGGGGTTGGGATTGCCGCCTTGACCGCTGTCGAAGACTCCTCCAGCTGAGGCGTAAGGATTTCCTCCCACTGGAACTTGGCCTTCTCCAAAAACTCCACTTGTTGAGCCTTCTTGTGGATTTGAATTGGGACCGACTTGAGCTTGAGCACCACCGTAGACCTAGAACCAGTTAGCACCGTAATTTTTTTTTGGGAAAAGCGGAGCCGGGATCCAGTCGGAATGATGAGACACCTTCCAGGCCAGTGGATTAGGGGGCTTAGGCTTTGGGACAAAGAAATGGGGTGTTTACTCCACCAGCAGCTCCCCCCTGAGGATTATGACTACCTCCAACAGGAACCTGACCTCGGATTACACCCCCTGCCGAGCCTCCCTGAGGATTTGGATTTGTACCTACTGGAGGTTGAGCACCTCCATAAATACCACCGGCTGCTCCTCCCTGGAGATTGGGATTGGAGCCGATTGGAGCTGGAGGACCCCCTCCGACAACACCACCGATTGACCCCCCGACGGGAATCTGGTGATGGGGAATTCCTCCAACAGGGGCTTGAGCACCTCCACCAAGGATACCTCCAGCCAACCCTCCTATTGGAACCTGGATATTGGGATTGCTCCCGGCTGGAACTTGAGCGCCTGCGTGAACTCCTCCCGCCAAGCCTCCAAGTTGGCCCGGAGACCCACTTCCAAGAATACCACCAGCTAAACCCCCGATGGGAACTTGAGCACCACCTCCGAAAACTCCTCCAGCTGAGCCTCCAAATGGATGTGGTTCCAGAGGAGCTTGACCTCCAAAGCCTCCTCCAACAGAAGCGTGAAGACCTCCGCCAACTGGCTGACTTCCCATGATTGGAACATGGGAACCCGGTCCCCCAGTTGAACCATAAATATTTCCTACGGCAGGAATTTGGGGATTCTGACCACCCGAGCCTCCTCCAACTGAGCCTTGAATTCCACCTCCTCCTGCTGGACCCTGACCAGTTAGTCCTGGCGATGCTCTTCCAGCAGAACCATGACTGCTCTCAGCAGGGGAGCCAGAGCATGCATATAACTTGAAACATTCGTTAGCCACAATGAGTGAAGTCCCATTTGGGCAAGAAGATGCCTCTGTGGGTGCGGCAAACTTCCATGGCAATTGAGATACTTCCGCAGTGCAGCTTTCGGCAGCGGCATTGCTAGCTAAGAGGGCAAGTAAAGGGATGCTTCGAGCTCGCATATTGCAGAGGTGGTAAAAAAGAAGAAAATAGACAGAGAAAGCTGAAGAGTACGAATCTGTTCAGATGTAATAAGTGTGAGTGCTCTGAAGTTTGGCTTTCATGGCTAATATTAGCCACTACTTATATTACTTTCTTCTTTCACTACACTAGCTTCATTGGCTCTCTACAAAACTCCTCTAATTCTTAGTGCGAGCAAGGGCACATCACAACGATACTTCCAACAATACTGGTGAAGAAACGTACCGGCCATTGTATCACAGCATACGTCGCAAATCTGGTTTTCAGAGTTACGCAGCATCACCACTTCCTCCTAGAGCTCCTGCGTAAACCCTATGTCCACAAAGCAATTTTCACGCACGTTTCCATGCATGCTATAACGGCCGGCTGGGTTCTCTACCTAGTATTCGGCTACTTCAATAAGGATGGAAGTAGCACAGTCATTTGCACAGCAGACAGTGGTACACGTATGCAAATGTGCAAGCCACCTCAGGGGCTACCTTTCTAAGTTTCATCATAGAATTCAACCTTAGTGCTGTAGGCCCACGACGCTGACCATACCCATCCCAGTGCTAGTGATACCCTGTAGAACTGTCGTAACTAGCCCAGCATCGTCTCTTGTCCCATACCGACCAATCTCCGTTTAGAAACCGCGGCAGCGTCTTGCAATAGTCTTCATTTCTATGGAATGGTTGATCCTTGCCCCAGAACAATGCCCGGTGAAAACAATTATGTCTTGTTACAAACACTCGTCCGTTCTGCCAGACTGTTGATCTTTTCCTAACAAATAGTACCTGATTTCAAACCACTGCCTCTTTTTACAACCCACTTCTTGTTTTGTACAACAGAGCGAGAGTTTTGCACTTGGAAACACAGTCATTTTCACTAACACGCAATTCATAAAATTAATATAAAGTCGGGGTCCATTCTAGCGCAACAGTGCAACCAAAAGTTTGGTGAGCGGCCTCTCCGGGGCGTCTAAATGACAGATACTGGGTGTTTTTGATATTGGTCCAGATCTAGGATTTATTCTAGTCTATCCTGTGGCCTCGAAATCCTTTGATTTCGACAGTCTTCTGTCAGACATATAAGCCTTGGTCACGAGGAAAGTTAAAATGAGTCTTAAACTGTCAATAAGTGAGGTCCCACAAGATCCAGCATTATCCAAGAGGCGGGGAAGCTAATACGGAAGCTAAATAACGTGTACTGTAACCTCCCGTCTCGACTTGCCTCATACCCTGGGCCCAATGCAGTGATATGTTGCGTACAGGAAGCGTGTACCGATACAACAAGACCCCACACTCCTAACGAGAACCTCTGCACCTCCCGAGATATCGTTGCACATTTTTGGCTCATGTCTCACGGGATCCGAAAATTTTGAAGAACACCCGTACTGTTCCCCCCCGTTCGTCAATACGAGCGATTGATCAATCGCCCCCTCCCATTGATCAATCGCCCTCCCGATTGATCAATTGTAGCGCCCGATTAATCAATGGGGGGGGGATTACGATTCGGGCTCCACAGTGGGTCCCGATTAATCAATCGATGTCCCGATTGATCAATCGTATAATATTGGGGTTTCGGGGCTAATGGGGCTAAGGGAGCTAAAAGCTTTTACTTACTAGTTCATACTAAATATATCCTTAATTCTATGTTCTTCACTTCGCTTAAGCCTTACTCTTTATGCTATAATATAGATTTCTAATATTTAATACTAAGTATATCCTCAAGTCTAATTTTCTTATTTCGCTTATACCTCACTTATTTATGCTATACCTATAGTATTATATAGTTTATTTAATTTTTTTCTAGGCATTAAGGGAAGTAATAATAGGGGTAAAGACACTTCTCCAGAGCTTCTAGATATATATGGGGCCTTTACTCCCTTATTTTCTAGATACAGTTTATACTACAAGTACCACAAGCACTAATTTACCAAGCATAACCACTGATTTTTATATCTCTTAATTAATTAATTACCTTACTTCTAATATGTCTCTTTTAACCCTTCGTTTATCCCTAACCCCGTATACGCCTCGTTAGCGTATTTATGGGCGAGCAGAGTAATATTTTAATATTACTACTCCAGGAGCTCGTTCGTCTGGCACCTAGTTTTTGCCCTCCCTAATTACTAAAGAGCCTACTAATAATTAGTCTGCCAAAGACGAAGCTGCATGGGATTAGAGGCTTGCTAAGGGGAGTAGTAGGAAAATTCTTACTACTAGGAAACGTATGGATATTAGATAGTGGCTTCAAAATCCTAATGCTCCGCTTCCTGGTGGAACTAAGGCAGAGAAGCGCTACTAGGCTAATATTAAGCACGAATCCCACTTGTACGAGCTTCAGGATAATTAAGTATATCGTAAGGAGTACCACGATACTCGCCGCAATGAGATCCTTCTAGCCCGGTATACTCTTTGCTATAATAATGCCTTTGAGATTTTGACTACTATTCATGAGAAATTAATACATGTAGGTAAGTATTCCCTTAAAGCTACTAATTTTTATACTAATTATATAATAGCTTCTAATACTATATTTGAGTATATAAGACGACTTTGGTATGGCTTATCCCGTAATAATCACGCTTGGATAAGTGCCTATTGTGCTCATTGTAATAAGGAGAAGGCTCAAAAGAATAATACAGGGGTAATACCCATTCAATCTCATTATCCTGGCCAGCGTATGGTTCTGGATTTAATAGATTTCCGTGTAAGTGTTCCCTAAGTCATATGATTTACCCCTATTTTAGCCTTTCCTGTATTTCCTGCATTTCCTGCATTTTTGAGCTTTTCCTGCGATTTTCGCGATTTTCGCGATTTTCGCGAAAATCATAAAAATCGCAATTTTTATCTATACCACTTACTAATATTATTATAGCATGATCCGGATAAAGAATATACGTGGATCTGGCAATTGAAATGCCATTTTTCCAAGTTCGTTTGGATCCGTGGGCTTAAGGCTAAGACTGCGGACGAAGCTGCGGATGAGCTTATTAAATGGCTAAATAATAATGGGTATATTGCTATTCTAGCCTGTGATAATGGGGGCGAGTTTAAGGGGAAAGTAATTAAGGTTTGCAAGAAGAGAGGGATAAAGATTATTCGCGGACGAGCTTATTACCCCCAATCTCAGGGCTCTATTGAGGTTACTAATCGAATCTTCAAGAAACGACTGCGGGCCGTACGAGCGGATACTGGTATCCAATCTTGGATATAATTACTTCCTTTGATTATATGGGTAATTAATACTACGGCTATATCTGCCCTTCCTAAGGGTAATACGCCGTACGAGGTCTGGTTTGGACGAAAGCCACCTACTAATTTCCTGAATTATAAGGAGAGTGCTTGCCGTATACGTATAGCCTTAGGAGAGAGGGAAATTAATATTAATGAGAGTGGTGCTTCTGAATAATTATCTACTATTAAGGTTTAAGGAGAAGAAGAGAATGGAGAGAATAGCTTATTTGTTAATGAGGAAGCAGAACAGGAGGAAGTAGCAGAGGAGATAATTTTATCTAAACTAACTAAGAGGATTACGGAGCATATAAAGAAATAGTAAGAGAAGATAGTAAAGAGGGCTAGTACTAAAGCTCTTGAATATGATATTCAGGAGATCGCAACCCTATAGATCCCAAAGTAATATTGATTTAGTACAGAAATGGCTCGGATTCCAGTGAGAGTTCTGGAAAAGACTTCAAAGGTATGTAACTTATGAGGATATACTTTTGGCTAAAGCTAATTAAAAACAGGGCTACCGGTTGACTACTAAGCATGGTGAGCTTATAACCCTCTGGCCGCATAATACTCTTAATAAAGTTGCTTTATAATTAACTTATCCTGATTTGCCTATTACTGGTGCGGCCTACAAGAAAGACAAAATTACCCTCCCTAAAGCAGTGGCAAAGGAGAATAACTGGGGTTCAATTTCGTCAGTTCAGAAGGCTGGAAGGGTATCTGAGAGAGCAAAGAAGAGAGTAGCTATTGAGCAAGCACGTGAGGATGGAGCTAGAGAAGGGGAATCAGGTGAACAAGTGGGTGTGAGGGTACCAAAAAGGGCTAGGGTAGCTATAAAAGCACCTAGACGAAGTGGGAGGCATGTATAATAAAGCTTGATTTGGGTGAAGTATACTAATATATACTGCTTTTGCCATTCCCGAAACCTCAATATTACCCGATTGGGCAATCGGGGTCCCGATTGATTAATCGGGACCCACTGTGGAGCCCGAATCGTAATCCCCCCCATTGATTAATCGGGCGCTATGATTGATCAATCGGGAGGGCGATTGATCAATCGCTCGTATTGACGAACGGGGGGTATCAGTACCACTGTTCCGGAAACTCGCATGGTGGAGGCGGGTACCTGGAGAAGTGATACCAGTACTCAATGTTGCATCATCTAACTACTATTTCAAATTGCGCCGTGTGAAATGCGCAAAGTGTGGAGTAGCTGTGTAATGTGAAGTGACGTCGACGATTGGAAGACAAGGGGGGAATTCGGGGCCAATTGCTGGCCGAACCTCTTTACTAACACCAAGTTAACTTTTGTATCGCAACCACTTAACATCAATAACGGAGTGAATCGGCTCTCATACTACATACACCCTCTCCCGTACTCTAATTAGTGGCTGGTTCTTGGGCCTCAAGTATTTCTACCCTCGAGCTGCTGTAGCATCTGCACAGAAATCTAATGTTCGCCCCAGGCCGCGGCCGAGCTGGTTCAAGCAGAAGTGTAGGACAAAAAAGACTCAATTGGCGCATCGAAGCATCTATTGGTAGTACCATGGTAGTTTTCACCTCTGAAGAAAGTATAACGTGATACAGGAGAAAGTACATACAACATAACACAAATTTCAATAGTCCTCAGACTGACATCACATGTTACTTGTTCTTCAAGTTTAACTTTTTGGCTTCACAACATCTTGTCAGATGAGTTCAAGTTAGGGCAAATCACATTAGATCAGGGTAAATGCATGGTATTGAATAAGTACCACGGCGGATCGGGAAGGTACGTTGAGGTATCACGCAATATACACAGAGGTTACCATCTTTAAGTCAAACGTTTGAGAGGCGGCTTTGGACTGCAAAGCAGAATATGGCAAAACAAGGCCAAAAGAAAAGAATATAAAAAGCCTTCTCCATCCCCGTGGTCAAGACAATTGCCAACCATCAACAATTTCGGACCAACACTTCCCACGAAAACCTCAAACATAATACTCTCAAATCCACCCCAAAGTAAGTCTAGAGGTTCGGGCAATGAACACTGGCTAATTGCTACTCCCAGGACAGCACCATGAAGTTCTCTCTTGTTTCCATCCCACTTGCCATGTTGGCTTCAATTGCCGTAGCCCAATATCCTCCTCAAGGCTACCAGCAGCCCCAGCAACCCCAGCAGTACTCGGGCTACCAGCCCCAGCAATATGGAGGTTACGGACCACCACCTCAACAGTGTATCGGAGGGGTTCAACCAGGCCAATTCCCAAACATCCCAGACTATGAGGTCGCTGACTGGTTCGGTTGCGCCCACGACTGGGTGAAATCGATGAACGATGGAGCCTCTGGCTCTGCACCCGCTTGCAGTTTCTACAGCTGCCTTCAAGACAAGGCGGCCAAGTACCAACGAGGAGGTACAATGGCTGCTGCTGGTAGACTCTTGACTCCCATCTGCACCCTTGGCGGCATTGGCGCTGGTCTGGTATGTTAACTTACTTGTCTTGATTTTATTTCCTTCTTGAGCTGGGAGGGAGTGATATTGACTATGGTTAGATTCCGGGACTCCACCTTTAATCTCCCATGCAATCGTCAAAAGCTAGAAGGCTTGCAACAACACCTTTCTGCAACGAGCGAACTGCCGAGGAATCGCTGTGGTAATGTGTGGGGTCGTTCTGGAGGTTGATGGAGAAATGGATCGTTGGGCCTTGGTATGGGTTTTCCCTGTCTTTCAAAGACAGTTTTCCCTATACCTTTTATGTGAATGCAGAGGTTATCGTCCACTTCTTGTTGCGGTCTAGTCTTTTGTTTAATGCAATGTTGAACTTTAGTCCATGCTTCTCCTCCTCCGAGCTTTACTGCACCCACTTCAGGGGTAAACTACGTGATATCATAAGAATAAGATCTCTAATATGGACGTATGGTTATATGCACACCGCAGAGTGTCCCGTATAATGCTTCGTTAAGACTACTTCGCCTTTGGACAGCGAGTGTCCTGTCTCCTTCCGGCAAATATCCTTCTTTTGGGAGGATTTTATTCTCCTGCTTTTCGATCTCTATTCCCTCGGCCTTCTTCTCAATATCCGGGATCCGCTCAAGCCTTCTGTTCAAAGAGATTTTATCCTGTGGAAATTAGCGGAGACAACGGCTTAAAGTGACGGGAATACAGGGCATAGGCGCATGTTTAAGACTCTCAGGGCACTATAAACCCAATTTCCACCATAATTAACTACTAAAACCAGTTATATCTCCAGGCCTCTGCCCTAAAGGCGCGCTGTATAGGCAAGGTTGCGGAAGACATTCAAGGTTGTAGCGTTACTGTCAAGGTAATTATAGCGCTCGGGCGCTATTAGTGTGGCTTTTATAGGGCTCTTTAACGGGGTTTCCCCTATAAGTACAGGGGACAGATCTTGAAAGGTATGGTACCCCTTGTAAATGTCTCACGGCATTAAATTAGGGCGTAAGGCCTGTAGTTATAGAGTTTTGTAGCGGGTATAAACCGTTAAATCGCATGTATTAGTGCCTTCAGAGCCCTGAACCTGCTCGTATGCCCTAATTCCCGTCACTTTGTGCCGTCATCCGCGTATTAACATGTCCGCCAGAATTGGTCAACACTAATTACTCCAAGAGACTTGATTCACATTTTGCTTTTTTGAAGCACGCTAATTTGTGTACGCCGTTGTGAGGATAATTGTTGTATTCTTAGGGAGGCTTGTGCTGGGCGTTATTAGGTAGAGCGGGAACTCGGTGTTAAAAGCACGGAACTCATTGTAGTGTGATGTCCCTGTCAACCTGGCTAGATATCGTGGGCTTTCTTGAATTATGCAAAGGTGCCCGTTCACATATTTGAAAAATCATACTACTCACCAATTTCCCCAAACCCGGAACAGCGCTCTATGGCGCTGTATTATTTAGCCTCGCATCCACGAATTGGCCACTAGAGCAAACGCTGCCAAACCGCGTGCAGTAGCGCTTCCGTGGGAAAGCTTCCCAAATAATAAAATTAGCGTAAATTTGCATTTAAGGGGTGTCTCTTTGTGGGGTACATTGCAAGGGACATGGAGAAAATTACTAACGTATATCCTGTCTGACCTTTAAGTGATACTTCACGTTTTAAAATGAGAATCACCATGGATAGAGAAAAAGGTGCATTAGGATTTACAATCTCACATCTAACTGCCTTGCCTGAACTGTTCTTCAACACCAAAGCTCCCTATTCCCCAAGACCCCAAGCAAAGTCCCACAGGCTCTTTGCACACGACACCGTCCTACCTTCCCAGTACCCCAACTCATCCAAACCCTCACAACAAAAACGCCATAACCGAACCACCCAACCTCACCAGCGCCATCCCACCCAACCTCAACGCCTCTCCCGCATTCTTCGTAGGACTCGGCGTCGAACTCTCACTTACCGTCCCAGTCCCCGCCCCCGTCTTTGTCTTACTCGGCGTAGGGCTCGCCGTCGTCATCGTCATATTACTGCTCATTGTCGTCGTCGCCAAACTGCTTGTACTATTCGCTACCGTAATCGTGCTCGTCGTCTGCGTTGTTTGTGTGACTGTGGTATCTGTAATTGTTGTGGTAGAGGAAAAGCCGGCGCCGACGCCTCCGCTGATGTAGAATTGACTCGAGTACTGAAAATCTGAAGCCCCATCCAGAGTCAGGTTTACGCCGTAGGAGGCGAAGGAGCCGATGTTTGGCGGAATGGGCCATGCGTAGGTGGTGGGTGCGCCGGGGGTGTTGTCGATGTGTGCTGAGGGGTGTATTAGTTTGTTGACTGATGGCGGGAGGAGAAGGGGAGGGAACTACCAGCAATGACAGTTACAGGCGCGAGACCCTTTGCGCTCGTCCCTCCGACTAAAGTGAGTGATATCCTTCCTCCTGTCTTTGTAGCATTCCATGCAATTGGTAGTACATCTCCGACTTTGTACTTCGATTGATCGAGCGGGCTGAAGAAGGGATCGAAGCCGGGAGTTTGGGCGAGAGCGGCGGTCGCGAAGGCAAGAACCTGAACCAAAAATGACGCGCGCATTTTGATTGACAAGACTAGGTATTTACAAAATCTAACTGTTGAAAGAGCAACGAGTGACGAATAACTCAAGTGAGGGTATTCTGCGATATATAAAATGAGTATTGCTGAACACGGGAGGCGAACGGCTGAAGGTATCGTGAAACGGGGGTATTGTTTGTTTTAAAGGCGCCTTCAATTTTCCCATTTTACCCCGCCCGCCAAAGAGGTCTCCCACACGAGCGGCACGGCAAACGCAAAACCACTCGGCATGCAGCTCGGGCACAGTTCTGGGGCAACGGCTGTGGGGCTTGCGATTGGACAATGGAGATAATGAATAAATGAAGCCATCGTGAGATTTGAAATTTAAGGCTTTACCCTACATCGAGACTTGATTTGGCATGCCTGTCATGTCTGGTTCCTGCATTAGCTGGGATAAGGGGAAAGTGAACTTCTTGCCCCAAAACGCCAGGTTTCTGATTGTGGAGGAGATAAATCATCCAGAAGAATTTCCTCCCGTTTCAGTTAAGCTTATTTTACCCCTGAAATAGGGAGTCGGCACGTGATTACCCCTCATTCTCAGTTCTCGGCCTGGCCCACCATGATCATGATCACTCGGCAACACTTGAAACCCTGCACGCATAACGAACGGGACTTGGGCCCAATAATAACAGAGAGCAACTTTTGGATTCCTCACAACAAGCAATTGGGTATGGTACGGGCAAACCAAACTCTTCCGTCCATGCATTCCGCTTGCAAGGTAGCTTTGCAGCAATTGCCGAACGCCAAGCACTTATCACAGTAAGTTACAGCAATCAAACGACATCAAATGCCTTCCTTCCGACTGTTTAACCCGAAAAGGAGTTTCTAAAAACTGGAAACCGGGGAAATCGCGAGGCAGTCACTAGAAATCGAGATCGATGAGATCCGATGACTCCGAGAACGCCTTCTTCTCCGCGAGCGAAATCAGTTTTTCCTTTGAGCTATCCACGGGCTCTGAATCGCTCGATACAACATTGGGTTGTGTGTTTGACGTGTCTGAGAAGTTGTATTGAGCGCAAATCGTGCCAGTATTTGCATATAGGACATATGAAGATGAGGACTGGTTTTCCAGCGCGCTGTTGGCAGAATCGAGCGAGAAATTGCTAGCCGCACCATCTTCCTCCACCAACAAGGCAGCCGGGGGCTTCCAGTCATGCGGATTGTCGAGGTAAGGTCGCAGCTCGGTCGCACATAAACTCATGATGCTGCCATACATATCGTCGAGAAGGTTTCTGAGAGTCTCCGATTGAAGCTCTGCCAAGTGCTTCCGAGCTGAACCGTAACCTTTCGCCCATCCCTTGTGGTCCCTTTCGTAATCTTTCGTGGTCGTCATGACTGTTAAAGAGAACTCTTTTTCGTCGCCTTCGCAATCACAACGCGTCCAAAATGTGGCAGCGTTCGAAATGTGCTCAAGTACTTCGGAAATACCCTCAAATCGTCGAGATATCTCCGTTGGGTTGTGCAGAAATTCGTTGAGAGAGTGGCAATGCGGACAGTCGCAATCCACAGGTGTCCTAGCCCAATTCGGTTGAGCAGCTGGCTCCTTTCCGACGTACTCAACAATGTAAAGACTCGGGATTCGCCGGAACAATTGCTGGAATGGCGAACCTTCTACCTTGATGCCTTTTCCTGCAATATTGCAAGAATAATTTTCAGAAGTGGCATGTAGACATCGTCGAAAAGATGTGCGGGATTGTGATATGTCTCGCATCTGCATGCAGCCTCGCTCGATACCTGAACGATAAAGTCATCTAATTCATTGTGAAACCCAAGTGTGGTACAATTGCACAGCAAGAAAGCAATATCACCGCCAGCTGCTTTCACGTAACGTTGGTAGCTCTCCAAGCGCTTCAGCGTCTGGGGATAATAGGTATAGGCGAGAAAGTCGAGACTGAAATCTCCGACAACATGGGAGATGCAGGCGTGGAAAGAAATGGGGGGGGTCACCTCTCTTCGGATTCTGGTAGAGAATGCCAAGCTTTCCACTGCCTCATAGTTCTAATGATCCACTTGCAAATTTGTTCGAGATCTTCGCGGTATGTTGTATCGCCTGGGTTGCTAGACATACCGTCAATCAGACAATCAATCATCGTCATTATCTGCTTCTCGTGATCCCGGTCATCTGAGGCTGGACCCAACAAAAATGCATGTCGGTAGTTCTTGGGAGTGAAAACAAGGGCCTGGGAGCTTGGCTCAGCCGTGAAGAAAGACGGGAAGAAGAAAGTACTTACCATTTGGGGGTGGATAGACATGTGCAGTAAACCCATTCCTGTGTTTATTATACCCAGCATACTCCTCCTTGCCGGGCTTTGACATTCTGAAAGGTACGCTTCGAATGAAAAAGCTTTCATCGTAATTCAACTTCTCGGCAACCTGATGACCATCCAAGTCAACAACTCTTGTCAATGGCATTCTCTCGGATTTGCGTCCCACTATTTCGTGAATTGTCTCCAGATCGCTGTGCACCATGGATTCAAGGTCGTCTCCATCAAAAAGCTGGTAATCTCCACTCAACTTCCGTTCGATGTTTGCCAGATACAAACAGATTCCGCACTCCTCGCTGGCCGCTCGTATATATTGAACAATCGTTTGATCTCGGCCCCTTGAACCATTGAACGAAAGACTAGACTCGTTTTACTGGTGTTCGAGCAAGAAGGCAAGATCAGTGGGCAAGGAAAAATAATTCGTATCCATATAGTTCCGCCACATTCAAGAGCCCTGGTATTGTCCCCATTTCAAAAGCTGGATCGAGAATGCTCCAGCATCGCCACGAATCCATGGTTTCTTAGGCCTAGCAGATTGTCCAGACCAATGTCTGTTCATGTTGCTCTAGAATGTTCCAGGTATACTGAGCAAGTTCGCCCTATCCCTGCAGCAGACAGGCCGCCCTCGCAAGCTTCCAGCAGTCTTGCTCAGACCTTGAAACAACCCAGGAAGATTGTAGATGGAGCACAAACGTGTTCCAAAGCCTGAACGAAGAGTAGGGGGGACTTCGGTGGAGGCGACAAACGCAGTGGGGAAATTCCTTGATGAGAGGTGATGGCTTCGTGGTGCGATGAAAAGTTTTCTGCCTGGTAAGGGAGGTGCTTCCAATCTTGTCTTCACTTGTTGGCCTTCCTCACCTCCTCCAACTCCTCCTCGTTCCAACCAGCACCCTTCAAGATCTTCAACAAGATGTCATTCTTCCCTCTGCAATACTCATCAACATCCTGCACCTCTCTGGTCGCCAACTGCTGCTTCACATCCCCATACTCCTTCCTCAACTCGACGTCTTGCGTCAGCACCCGCTTCAAATCCCGATGATTTTTCAGTGCGGCGCTCCCCTCGAGAACGACATAAGTATTTCTTCTCATCGCTTTAGATTTGTCAATCAAGCCAGTCGCTGCTTGCGAGTGTTCATGTCCTGGTTGTCGAAAGGCAACGCGACCTGGGACACCCATCTCTCCGAAGTCGACGTACCCCGCAGCAATCGGCGCATCTCTGGTAGCAGCGAGAGTGTTGGGAGTCACGACAATGTCGATATCAAGTACTGGTTTTGCGGACAGGCCGGGGATTGATGTACTGCCCACATGCTCGATGGACAAGACTGGGACGTCCTTGAGAATCTTGTGAAGATCATCTCGGACTCGAGCGAATTCAGCTTCCCAAGCGGGGTTGTGCGGCTCAATGACTACCTTCATTGTTTGAGACTTGAGCGAGGGTCAGCGTGGAAGGTGACAGGTTTTGATTGTGTTAGGATGATGAAATGGGCAGTCCTTTCGTCTTCTTGAGATACGGCTGTGAGGATCAAAATACCAGTGGCTGCAGGGTTGTTCCCAGTGAGTGGTTCGCTCCAGGGGCTCAACGCTAGCCTTTCGGGGATTTCTCATCCCTGCGGCGGATAGAAACAGCCGCATGCTGTCCTGTGTCCCGGATCAAGGTTCGACATCGACCGAACTTGGAGCTGTTAGAATGTACGTTTGTGATCCAAGATTCAAGAAGTTCGAAGGCGGATTCTCAATGTACCGTGTGTCGAAGGAATCTTTGACCACAATGGCCCAGCCCGACTTGGGACATTGAGGCTGTGCCGCTTTCTCTGTCCCTCGCGAGTCATGCAAATGCCTCTCAAAACATTCCCTCCTTCAGTACTAACAGAACCACCATTCTCTTCGGCTTTGATCACATCTTCGATCGCCGTGTTGAAGGATCATCTTCCCAGACTCTGGGAAAGAAAACAGAGGAGTGAAGATGATGAAGAAGAAGCTCATGACGGGATCGAAATACGGGTACGGACGGCGTTGGGACGGTAGTGAAATGAGGTGGCTTGAAGGAAGGGACGTCCAGATCAACCATTCCTAATTGGTTGCTTATCGCTGGGAATGGGGAAAGCTTTGGCGTTGTCTCTGCCCCTTTTGTTTTCTTTAGCGCAGATCGCTGACAAATTGGCCAAAAGAAGATGAAGGCTGAAGATGATACACGAGGCGGCACAGGGCTTCACTCTCGACTTCCTCCGACCTCACCTTCCATCGTCTCCTCTTCGTTCGAATTCTTCTTCGACATCCATCCGCCGATCATATCAGACCATGGAATCTCAACCTTCTAGGTAACCTATGGAAGCAGTCGCCATCGCGGGGCTGGCTGCGACAGCCCTGGAGATTGCGGGGCTCATAGGGTCAACGATACAAGGCCTGCACTCGCTGAAGGGCAATTTTCAAAATGCCGACAGTACGATTCGGCAGCTCATCAGTCAGCTTTCAACCATCAAAGCTGCTGTCTCTCAGATTTGTGACTGGGCAGAGTTCAATTCAGATGGCTCTCCCAAGGGGACGGAATTCATGAATGGACTCAAAGTTACGCTTGATGGATGTCAAGCTCTGATGCAGGTTCTCTCGGCGGAAGTGAAAGATCTGGATGTGCTGCAAAGGCCACTCGATTTGAAAGATGATAGAGAGATTTCTTGGAATGTTGCCACGATGAAACATCGGAGCATGCTATTTGGACAAGTACAGGCATTATTGCAGCTCTTTCTGACCGCAGGTCAATGGTAGATTTTCTTCCCCACTTTTCCCCATACTGTTCGCTCACAATTTCAAAGTTCAGATGCAGCTTCACAGTCACATCTCCTTGGGTTGAGGGAAAATAAGAAGCTGCTTCAAACAGTTGAAGAAGACACAAGATCACTTCGCAAACCTCAAAGTCCCAACCGCTCGCCTGCGACTCTAACTGTCCGGTTCGCAGCTGACACAGCTCATGCCACTGGGACCCGGAGGAGGTGGACGCGTTTTGAGAAATCCAATCCCACGAAAACAAGGCCGCAACGGCAGGACCCCGCATCAACTGATGAAGGATATGAGACCGATTCACCTCGCGGTTCCCGCCGTTCTCGGACGTGGTCTTCGATGTTGTCTCGCCAGGGGACGCCAGACTCAGAAGTCAAAGTTCGCCTAGGCGAGAGAAACTCGGATCAGCAATTATTAACCGGGTATAGTGTAAGTATATTTCACTCTCCCGGCGATGGCTCCGAGTCCACCACGGATTCTAAGCCATTCGGGCGTCGCTGGTTATCAGCATCGAAAATTCCAGATTCGACGTCTTCAATGGAGACATTTTCTGGCTCGTCCAAGAAATTCTGGTCCGTTCGGTTGTCGCGTTTAAATACCAGGACTTCCACATTGAAAGCGGAACCTGTCTCCGACGTCTCTCGAGTTGCCCCGTCTCATGTACGCAAACGCAGCGAGCAGTTCAAAGCACGTCAACGTATTGTTTTGGCTTCCGTGGATAGTGGTGAAGCACCGCCAATTATCAAAGCCGCTCAAGCTGGGTCACGATCCAAGGTAGAAGCTATGTTGGACAAGGGCGAGAACATTGAAACATGTCACCTTCCCACGAAGCGCACAGCTCTTGCAGTTGCATGTCATTGTGGGAATACCGGGATGGTGGGACTTTTGATCAACCGTGCAGCCAAACTGAACGCCCGGGACATGGATCTGTCCACTCCTCTACATCTGGCAGCTTCCCGGGGTCATCTCGGAGCCGCCGCGCTGCTTCTGGACGAGTTTGTTGGAATCGAGTCGCGAGACAATCGCAAACGAACACCATTATGGGTAGCGGCAGAAGGTGGGCACATCAAAGTCGTCGAGTTGCTCTTAAACAAGGGAGCCAGGGTCAAGACTCGTGCCAAAGATCAGTTGACCCCATTACATGCCGCAGCCAAAGGAGGCCACGTGGAGACTGTCGAGTTACTGCTTCGACACGATTCACACATCGAATCGCGAGATGTTCATTTCAATACCGCGCTTCATTATGCTTGTGATTATGGCCATCTACCGGTTGTGGATCTCCTCGTACGGAAGGGGGCCGACATCGAGTCAATTGGAAAAGATTCAAGGCTTCCTCTCACGTTCGCTGCTGCGTCTGGGCATCTAGAGATTGTTGTCCTGCTTTCGAAGGAGGCATCTCTCCAAGGCACCGATGATGAAGAAAGAAATGCATTGCATTATGCAGCGGCAAATGGCCACGTCGAGGTCGCTGGATTCCTCTTGGGAAGCAAAGTCTCCATTCATGCTGTCGATGCAGGTGGCTTAACTCCAATTCATCAGGCCGTCATTGCCTCTCACTTTAATGCTGTTGAATTTCTGCTCAAGAAGAACGCGACTTTGGAAGTCCGATGCCGTGCTGGACGAACGCCGTTACATTACGCTTGCGATTCTGATAATGCAGACATCGTGCGACTCCTTCTCGGCGCTGGCGCAAAAGCAGAAGCAGAAATACGGGGAGACAGTCGGCGACCTATCCATGTTGCCGCTGCCCGGGGTTCCGTGGAGACAATCGGTGTTCTTTACCAGCACGGCGTGGCGATGGATGCCCGAGACTCCGTGGGACATCGACCCCTCTCCGTTGCATGCCACCACGGCCATGTTGATGTCGTCAAGACGTTCTTGTCTCTCCGGCAACCTCTCACCATGGCCTTCAAAGATCGGCCTGATCACGACTCTCCACTCTGTGTCGCTGCCAAAGCCGGACATGTCAGTGTTGTTGGACTGTTGATCCGGAGGGGAGCAACGTTAAATCAAAGAGATGAACATGGATTTACACCACTTTATTACGCCGCACATTACGGACGACCCCAGACTCTGAATATACTGATCAATGCTGGTGCTGAGTTTCTGGACGATGAAGCGGATGAATCTTTGCCCATGCGGGACAGGATCGGTTTTGCCAAGGATGTCTCAGAAGATAGGAAGCACGGAGTCCGTGAACTGCTTCTGATCGCTGAGAGCAAAATGAGCTCAAGAATAAGCTCAACAACCAACTCGCAGATGAGCTTCATCAGAGAGCAAAGCACAGATTGCGGTCTCATACATGTACCGGAACTCTCCTCTCTACCAACTCATCACCAACCATCGACCTTAAACCTTCCCGAGTTTAGGCTCACGACACTCGAGATCCCAGAAAAGGAAGACTCGTACACCGAATCCCCCAAATCACCAACCTCAATCTTCTCAGCCCAATCCCTACGCTCCAAATCCTCCGTCGCCTCTCTCTTCTCCACCCGCTCCCCATCCCCCGTAAGGTCCGCTACCTCCTCACCGCCCACCCAAAGCCTCCCAACCCCGGTACACAAACCTCCACCACTTCCTCTTCCACCTGCCTCCAAATTCAAACCAAAATCTAAATCAAACCTCTCGCCCACATCCACAAGCAAGAATTCGCATCTTTCTACCCTCCTTAGCGACGGGGCAGGATTAAAGATTTCGCATAGGGACTCGAGTTTAAGGCCTGCGAGATCGATGCTCTTGCCTTGCGGTTTCACAAGGGATAATTCGCCGAACAGGATGAGCCATGTGGGGGACCTGATGGCCGAGGAACAGAAGGTACAGGAACTTGGGGGTGGGGAGATTTACGAGATGGGGAAGGGGGAGGTTTATGAGATGGCTTAGGGAATGTTGGGTAAAATAGGGGCGTTTTAATGGACACGGAGGGGAGGGGTTTTGAGATGTATAAAATGAAGGAACGAAAACTTGAATGGAATGTATAATATGTAGTACTAATAGCATGGGAGACAATATTTCCAAAAGTCCTTCTCCCATCGTCTAATGCCTCTTCATACCAACACTAAAGTAATTCTGGCTCGGTGATCCTTATCACAATGAATCTTCACGTCGCCCACACTCTTATCCTTCCAGTCCTTCATATGAATACTCTGACTACACCATTCCGCCTGGTCTCCAGTATAGAACTTGAAGGAGAAATCGTGGGTCGAAAGCATATAATGCGCATTCTTGAGTCTAGATGGAGAGGGGAGGCAGACCCATGTTTTGTTGTGCTGCCCAATGTGTATATCGTGGCAATGGTCGTGGGAAGATGGATGCGTCGTCTTCAATGGCGAAGGTGGGGACGGGTTGGATGTGCGGTTGGGTGGCGAGGAAGCCGCTGGTAGGGCTTCTGACAGTGCAAGAATGGTGCGGGTTTTAAGGGGCGCAGTGTTGGTGGGGCATTTTCTGGATGTTTGCCTTTATCACTCAAGATATAGAGGAGGTGAAGAAAATACTCACGATCGTATTCATATGGGTCGGATTGAAGGTCAATTCACGATTCGAAGCTGACAACTCATTCAAGTGTGAATTAGAATGCAAGCTTCTACAAATCAAACTGCCTCCCAAGCTTTCATATAAGCGGTTCTGGTTGCATGGTTATCATGAGGTTTTGAACTCATGTGATGTGTCATGTGTTTTCATAGGTTGTTGCAGGAAAATCATTTTTTTTACTGAGTACAGCCAAGTCACAGTTTGCGCGAGTCACCTCTAACTGCGGGAATATCTATTCCGAAGGTTCCAAGTGCTTGGGTAGTGTGTAAAGTCCAAGGAGAGAGGGGCGTCGGAGAGGCATGACATAATTCAGCCAATCCGTGACTGACACTGATTACTATCGAGGAAGGATGGAGAAATACTTCTAATAGTTGGTTTAAATAACGAATACAACCAGTAATGAAGGAACGGGCGCAATCACGGCTAATAGTGAAAACTTAGAATGAAGATTCTATTGTTCCCCGGACTTACGAGGACATGGTGGGAGGGTGTGAGTGGGACGGTGTATGAGAGGAGGTTTAGATATGATAGTTTTAGTGATACGGCAACGGCTTGGTATAATTGGGGTGGCTTTTAGGATTCCAACCTTGTTAAAGTCGAGGTTTGGAAGAATTCTCATATAGACAGCCTCTGGAAGGCGAGAAAAAAAGGGCAATCGTTTGCAATGCTAACGGCTAGCGGAAATTAGGCAGGATCATCAATTGCAGGAACCCACACTGTGGCGGACTTCGGCAAACTGCGGACACAAGTTTCCATGCTGCCTGGATATTCTGAAAGAAACTGGTTAACCCACTAATACCACTGAGATTTTCCACCTCTGCTTCCTACTCCAATTTCACCAATAGCTCTTTCAAGTGTGCCAAGGCCATCACTCCTTCGTATCGGGTTCGTTGGTCATCCAAAGACCAAGCACCCAGCAGTTTCGCTTCTGCAAATTAACAAGATTTAACAAGATCACCACGCTCAGTCAAGAATTTTACTTCTTATCCGCATCACAGCATGTCCGCCTTCACGTAAAATGCCAATAGCCTAGTGCTTAAGAAGCTCTAGTGCTAGGGGCTCGACTCGAGCCGTTGGTCGATAAATGTTGACGAGTTATGGTGGAATGCACATCGAGATGACGTATGATATCCTGCTCAACAGCACCAATCATTTTCTCCAGCTGGCGTTTAAAGTGCGTGGCGCCACTGGTATTGAGGTCTTGATCTAACCCTCGAAATCCGAGAAGGACTTTGTTGTGGCTAGCCGGACTGACAAAGTCTTTGTGGTGCAACACAATCCATTTATAGCAAAAGTAGCACGCACCCTTGCTACACCCTATGTACCTGCCGTTGTCAACAAATTTATGATCATGGCGGCTGAACTCCTCCAGGAGTAAGAGTTCCGCATGCACTCTGTTGAAATCCAAGCTCTTTTCGGCGATCGAGGCTCTTAGATCGCGCTTAAAGTCGATATCCGTAAATGCGTGCAGGCACTTTTGTGCCGCATTGGGTTCCAAAGGCCGCCTACAGATATCCATACCCATTTTGTACGGGTCGATACCCTCTGTTGATTGCTCAACTATGCGAGCAGCGGCTGGCGGGACCTTGCGAACAAGGCCTATCTTCTTCAAAGACGGAACCTGACACCACGCCTCGACCACAGTGAGAACAGCGTGTCGATGGGCGCCAATTCTCCCAATATAATAGGAATAGGCCTCCCGATTGACCAATGGGCGTGAACGATTAGGTAATCGGCCCCCCGACTCGTATTCCCCTCCTATTGACTAATCGTAGCGCGCGATTGGGCAATGGGGACCCTCCCATTGGTAAACCGCTCGTATTGGGGAATGGGCCTTTACAGATGTGAGAGTTAAACCTTCTGGGTCTTCCCTGAACTCCGCCAAGTCCCTACGGCAAACTGTCGCAAACTTCATCTGTTGAAAAGAAAAACAGTATGCCACTGCAAATCCCTGCAATATCCCTGTTTTGCTCGCATAGCATTCCTAAAACATGGGTATATCCGGAAAGTAAAGTAAAAAAGAGCTATTCCCCCTTGCCCGAAGGCTATAAACGAGTAATTAGAGTATGCGATCCAAGCTCTAGCTCTTACTAGCAAGTATAGGCTTAGCTTGAACTTTATAACCCGGCCTGTAACTATAGAGGATTACTTAAATAAAAGCTCTTAAAAAAAAATCCTATTCGCTTATATTTCCTATATACTTATATGTTATATTAGTACAAGCTTGCAAGTATAATATGGCTATAATTAAGGAAAAGGAAGGGGGGAAATTAAGTAAGAGAAAGCTTAATAAGTAAAAGTAAAGCTTAAAATAGCCTATAAAGAGAAGAAAGAGCCCTGCAAATATAATTAGGGAATATAGCAGCCCGTAAATATAGAGGGAGCTTTATATTTAAAAGAGAGTCACGTGAACCTCTTAATCTCGAATCGAGATCAGGGCAAAATTAAAGACTGGCCCCGGTGCTTGTCGGAGCGGCCCTGATCTCGTGATTAATCACTCGACAAATTTCATTACTCTCTCGGAGACCCCTTCATTAGCAGCCAGACACAATACATTGCAATGTTGAAGCTCTTGCAGTGCATCCCCGGCCACTGTTGACCCTCCCTTTTCAGTATGCCTGAGATATGCGATCTTGTCGAGGAAGTCTCAGACGACATTTCTTCACATTCGCTTCCAATACAGTTAGTCAGCGTCGCCGCCCCGCTCAGGCGCCACTCACCCTCGCCCCACCCTGTACTCAGGTTACTTAGTCACGTTTCTGCTCTCCAGTCAAGTGACCAATCCAATGATCTACTTACCAATCGGTTCTGCCTTGCTAAAGTTGTTAACTTTACACGACTATATTTAGGGAGACCAGATCGACCTCCTAGGGAGAATAAACAGGACGCCTAATAAAGCTTCAATCCCTCAAGGTGCATATTCCTGGCAACATAGCGCGGTGTCAGCCCTTCGAGTTACACCATTTGTAGTCCAGTACTGTAATGGTGTAGTGGGCGCCGTGAAAAAAAGAAGAAAGGAGCAGAATCCGGCTCCCTGACGAGGGAAAGGCTAACGAGGCAAGTTTTAACTTCCCCACGCTTGACGGTAATACAGGCTAACAACACACCTCTTTTATTCATTCTTTAAACTAAAGCAGTCTGAATCAGAGTACTATGTTTCGGTTTGTTTTGGTTTAAGGTATACTTATTCGGCACAATAGAATTTGGAGCTTACCGACTTTCAATGCTTCAAGCCCAGGCAGTCTGGATTGTAGTACTGGAAATCGGCCTGCTTTGGTTTAAAGTAACATCCCGGAGTTTTTATTTGTGACTCGTTACGAGCCAGTCAGAATATGGTTTCTTAAGTCGACGAGTCCAGTTCACCGCGATAGGATAAGCAGGTTTACGTATTGCGGCTGCTTTTGGAGTATGCGGAAGTCTCTGATGACAGTAGGGACTTGCAGTGCTGGGTCGGTGACTTGGTTTAATGAACCCGTTTGTTAAAACTAAATATATTTGCGATAATACTCGTCTCGTCAGTCTTTGGTCGTCTGTTAGTGACAAGTGCGCGGGCGGCATAAAAAGATAGTAGAGTGGTTATGGGCAAGAGAGTGCTTATCTATGTGCTTTGAATTACCTGCGATATAGATGGAAGGTGCGAATATCATGTTCATATTCCTGTTTTTGTCTCTTGGTGATTCTCTTCTCTTCCTCAATTATAACAACGCCACCCATTCGCCGCCCGTTACAACCCCATCGTTACCAAAATAAATAATCATCCCGGAGAGAGTCTTGGGCATAAGTATTTAAGTGTCCTCCCAACCTGTTAGGCTTTGATGGATCTGATGGTATATTAATGGTAGGTAGGTTACAGAGGAGGTTTCAGAACCAGTAAATAACCCCTAGCGTGCTGCCTCAGCTCTAGAATACTTGAGCGTCTATAGTCTAGAGTGAACCAAGCTGAAGAGGAGATCGACAGGCAGGAAGTCGAAGTCCAGGCGTTGAGGGAGAAATGCGGTACTGACGTGGACAAACTATCTAAAGATAGACTCGCGTAATAGGCGGAATCCACATCTATGCAGTGCGTGAGGGTTCAAAGATATGTATTACTCTAGAGTATAAGACGTAGCGCGAAGAATGCCCTGATACGATGTGAAAGGGAAAACTAACCCCGCTGCCAGGAGCCTCGCTGACGGCCGCTTTTTAATACAAAGCCAAAAGAAATGTTCGCAAATTGGTGTCTTTTCCATTCCTTACCTAGCACCTTTAAGAGATAGCTTAATCCCTTGTTCTGTATCTTTTAGCTAACACTATTTATTAACCTGCTCCAACCTGTCTATATCGGGGGTTAGATGAATGCGTCAGATGGGAGGACGAATCGTACCTTATCAAGAGTGAAAGCTGCGTTAAACGCACCATTGAGGAGCGGCTCAAACTCAGGATCCATTTTTGGAGCACTCCATACCGGGGTTCGATTTGGGCTCCCGTCTGGCCTATTCACTGTGTCAAATGATTTAGTTTGATTTGATTATAGCCTCTGAATCAAATCATAATCCACTATAATTAATTAGCCTTGATTTTTTTTGTTTTTTTTTGACACACTGGGCCTATTGAAAGCCGGTTTTGGTTGGGGTTGGGAGTGGATAAAACGCTGACCACAATGGTCCATGCCTACGTCAGAGCCTCACCCGAAACTATTTTTAGATTCAGAGTGCTACAATTGAGAGTGCTTTCGGCGTAAAGTTTGAATGTTCCGCGTGATAAAACTTAAAGCATACCGAATTTGAACACCAGGACTCGAACTGCTTCGTCTTCTAACACAACAATGTAACACATTTCTGTAACTGTAAATTTTCAATTACTTGGTTTATGAATTTATTTGCTCTTCAATATTACTTTGATTGCCTTGATTGCCTTGATTGCCTTGATTGCCTTGACTTGACTTGATGTAAGACTTGTGACACTGCGATCTTGTGGTATGCGACATTAGTGAAGTGATTTTTAGAGAGGTATGTGTTGTGGGGAAAGGGGTTTGAGATTCGTTATTTGTCAGCTCTTGTATTCAGTCGATCCGATCCAAAAGCAATAAAATAAATAAAAAAGTCTACCAAAATACTAATTAATATAAATCGTATGAATCGGAACTATTATATATCTTGTAGTAATTAATTCTCTGGTCTCTGATTTTTAATACCTTTAATATTACAGGAATTACAAAGCACATAACTATTTTTATACGAGCTCGCATAGAAATTTTTGCGTTTTATAAGAGTAAAAAATCACATCTCGTATAATATATAAAGTTATATATAATTAAAATTATAAACTTTTTATATTTTATATTTTCTTTAGTAATAACTCTTAAAATTTAAGCTTATACTAGATATACTAAGCTTATAGAAGCTTAAGGAGCCTTATAAAACCTTATAAGTTTAAGTTTTATTTATTATTTATTTAGGTATATATAACTTTTATAAAATATTTTTGCGTTTTATATAATTAGAAATTAAAAAAGTAAGAAATATTCTATATTTAAAACTCGATTACTAATTAACTTCAAATCGCATTAAAAATCTAATTAATAGATTTCATTTACTTAGTTCTTTTCTATAATTGTATTACTTATTATTAATTACTCGGGGCTATAGTTAAAAAGTTATTATAGATATAAAAGGGCAACCATTTTATTACTTTTGGATCGGACTAACTAGTATATTAAATAAATAGAGTAGAATAGAATAACTGCTATTACTCTTATTTTATTTAAGCTAAAACCCCATTACTCTTATTTTATTTATATATTATTCAAGTTATTTATAAATAACTTGAATAATATATATAATTCGTATATATAATTAAGCTAGCCTAATAGAATAAGACTTTAAAGGGGCATATATCTAGTATTACCTTATTATTTAATTAGGTAATAGTAGTATTTAATAAGCGAATTAAATCTTAGTAATAATTAATTTATTTATTATAGAAAATTAGAATTTAAATAGATTTATATAAGTATTAGCTTAGCTTATATAAGGCCATTTAATAAATACCTTAATTCTTTTTTTAATTTACTATAATTAATTAACTTTTATATAACTTCTATATAATTATTTATAGTTATTTATATTATTTATAAATAATTATTTTATTTTACTCAAGTTATTTAAAATATTCGTTACTTATATTCTATTTAAGTTAATTATAAATTATTTATAAATACTTGAATAACTTGAATAACTTGAATAACTTGAATAACTTGAATAATCCTTTGATACACTGGGACCGACTGTATGAGATTGCCGGACTTGAGGACTGATGGCGTGATGGAATATGAATTTCATTATTGAAGAGTTGTGATATGTTGCACATATCGCTGATCTTGGTCGCTTCCAGCTTATGTCTTTCTACCGCCGAGTTTTGGGTGTCCTGCGGTAAAGTTCACTGCAACTAACTACGGACTTACCCATAAACATCGCATTTTCTGGTCGCTAATTTTGATGTATTTTCATCCTTTATTAGGATTTCCTTCCGTATTTAAACTACCATAGAAGTTCCGTATGAGCCCTTCAACACAATATGTAACCAAGCATTAGGTTTTATACATATCCTCTAGAGCTCTTGATATAGTTTCACATACGTGAGCTCGTTCATCTTTCCTCCTCTTTCCCAGATCCTCATCGAGACGATGGAGAATCTTCCATGGAGCCATGCAATCATACCCATTATCCTTGCCACCTGGGGCCATTTTAGCGAAGACAGCAGACATTCCCTCGACCGTTTTCAACACTTCAGCATTTCGAATTCTGCCACGATTGTCACTTTGTCGTGAGAAATCAAGAATCCGCCCTGCTAGGGCCGCTCCGATCATTGTTGCAAAAGATGTCCCCGATAGTGGCTCTTTCACATACGGAAGCACGATATTTTCTCCTAGAATAGCGAAACTGCGCGGCGGAATTGACGATGCCGAAGGATTAAAGTTAGGGAGGCACCGAGCATTAGAGTCGGTGGAAAACATGCAAATCAATTTACTATACATGTAGAGCCGGCCCGGAAAGGCTATTTCTCTGAGGTTTCCGTAGTTCGACGCCGCGGCAAAAACAAGAATGCGTGCATGGTTCGTCTCGTCGATCGCCAGTGTCATATCTCGATTTATTGATTCAAATCCGGACGGCATAACAATGATATCAACTTCCCATATATCTTTTGCATGGTGTATTGCCTGGGTAATCAGTATTGCAACAAAGAGCCCAAAAATTTAGGAATTGCATACCTGCACCATTAGACGAGCAGTGTCTTTAGTTGCCTTCGAATTCTCAAAAACTCTGGCAACATAAATTTCCGCCGCGTCGTAGACCTTCAGTATCAAGCGGACTGCATTTGTTCCGTGACCTGTGTTGTCCTGCAGGTCATCATCATTCTCGCCGATAAAATCCCTATAGGCCTTGACTGATTCCGCGTAGTCTTTAATTACCCCTGTGTCGAGGATAGCTATTCTTGCCGGTGTGTATTGCGTATCTTCCTCGTTTGGTTTACACCGAAGGACAAAGTTAAGTTTGTTGAGTTCCTGAAACCAGACATCAGATGACAACCCTAGGGTGCTTGTTCCCTGAGTTAGGACATTCAGTCGTCGGTCCATCAATAGGAGACTCACCTATTCGACATTACGCGGTCAGGTAGTGGACTTGGAGATGACGAGAAATTGCGTGCACCGTCATCGATATCATATAATCCCCTGGAGAAGCTCAAAACGTCCTGTCTTGTTCGATGGAGTGGCAGGGCAGGCATCCAGGTGGGTTGATATGGAGCAGGCGAGTAAGGCGGTACCTGATATGTAGCCACTGCTCGCGGGGTATGTAAACTTGACAGAGAAAGATGGTTTTTTTCATTCGTCGCTTGTCTAGGGGCGGCGGCGATCTCGATTGCGCGAATACTGGATGTATCCGGGTCCTCCCAGTTCTTCCTATACAGCTTTTGGAGCGGGGTAACGATGTATTTGTCGAATGCATCACGAAGTCCATTCGCGTCATTCAAGTAGGGCATGAATGGTACTGGTATGAGGCAAGCCTCTATGACACCCTTAACTGCCGTGAAGGTGTCCATTTCCTTCCATAACGTTGCACTGTTAAACACTTTCATAGCAGCAATGTGGTCCGCATTTACATTTGGCTGCCCGTTAGGTCCTAAACAGTCTGGTGTTCTGTCCTTTTCGATATTAACACCAAGCTCGATCTCGAGGAACATGATTCCCAAAGCAAGAATCTTCGGGAATAGATGTGAGCGAAAAGTATCATCTTGGACCATGTGACGACCATCGAAATTAGCGGAGAGGAATGGCTCATTGACAAAGATGCCCTTCGGTGTGTATGATCGTCGTTCGAACATAAAATGAACAGTCTCCTTGGTCCACTCGCTTCGCATCCAGTCAGAATCATAGAATTGCCAGACTGCCTTAGCCAAGAAATACGACAAGAGAAGCTTCATCTTCGGGGAGAGCTTGGCAATATCTAATAATTCGGCAAGGGAGACACTCGAGGCATCTAGAAGAAAGTCTTGCGAAAGAGGACATGGGCCGTTGAGCACGAGACTTTCATTCAACGCAGCTAACTTCAATTGCGAATGCATCCGATTGGTGATCAACTCGCAGAATGTGTCTATTGTGAGGACCTCTCCAAATCGAGGGCCATTAGGAACAACTTTCTCAGTGTTGAACTTGACTCTTCTGCAAATAGTATCAGCAGCCGAGCGAGAACCGGCATAGCCGAGGATCTAAGGACACTCACCCCTTGCGTAGGACAGATATCTGTGCATCTTGCCATTGACAGTAAACGCCGCTGTCATGGCCGTGTGGATGATCCAAAAAGAACAACCTGAAGTTCATACTGTCTGGAACCTCCCCGGGGCTACAGCAGCCATTCAGGCGCAGGTTTGCTGTGATATCCTTAGGGCCATCCTGGCGTTGGCACCAGCAACACGAGGCAAGTATGTCGTAAAGCGCATGTATATATCCCTGGTAGTCGTCTCGTTGCTGTTGCGCGCGTTCTTGGCCTAGAAGCTCGGAGAGCTCTGGCCCACGAAGGCCATTTTGCTGCGGTTTGCCAAATGCTTTCAGGAGCTTTATCAATTTCATTCGACGTGCAAGCGGACTGACAGCGAATCCGCCTATGACCTTTCTCCCCACTTCCTTCTTCATCAAGACGTGGTTTAGGCTCGGGTATCGTCTCTGATCGAAGGTGTCGCTCTGCGATGATGAGGGAACCGAAAGGGTTGGCTGCATAGCATACGGTCAGTACCAAGAAAATATGGAATCACATCCGTCGCGTGATGCTCGCCTCCCACAGATAGAACTCACCTGGCACAGCCTTTCCAGGTTGCCCAGTAACTTCAGCACTCGGCGTTCTCCAATAGCGCTGCTTCGCTGGTCACCAAGTTCCTCAAGTCCTTGTTGTACATTGGCTAGTTCCGCAGCTAGCTCGCTGCAGAATGCCTTGATGCCTCGTTGCTTAGAGAGCTCATGTGCAATGTCACGAAGTCCCTGTGCCACATCGCGTGCAAACGATATTGAAGTCTGCAGATCCGGTTCTGCCATCATCATCGGAGCTCCAAGAAGTCGTTATCGAAAGTCATACACCAAAAGCGAGGCTGGCGCCTAAAGGCTTCTACTTCGTTTGATTAATACGAAGGCGGGCGGCAATAAAAATCGTCCATCCGCTAAAAAGCAAGGAACACCAAAATCGCTACGTTTAGAAAATCACACCAAAACTCAATGCAATGTCTAAAACTCTTTAAAATAGCTTTGTGAAATAGAAAAGAAGCAGATCTAACTTTAATAGGATTTTCTTAACGATTAAATATAATACGGAATTACGAGAATTTCTATATTGCGAGAGCCAAGATTTTGCCTGCCCTCGCTTAGCGAATGGGACGATTTCTAATGCCGCCCGCCTTCGTAATCTCGGTTAGACATGGCAAAGTCACGTGATATGGAGTTATTTCTTGGAGAGTATTGGTTGCGAGACCTGCAACGGCAACTATTTAAACTATCCAACCCGTTTCGGTATAGTAAAACACTCAAACTTAATATCTCGCCATTACAGTACCTGTCTATTAGCTATTGAATACCGACAAATAGAGATTGCATAAATTTTTTCTTGCTAAACCCCTCAAGTTAATATCCCTCATCATCTATATAATATCGAGTTATAATCTGTAGATTCCTATACTGTCACGTAGAGGCCTATATAGGAACACTAAACCTGTACAGGCTTCACTCGCGTTTTACTCACCCACGCTTTACTTTGGTTCACGATTACAATGTCTCAATTAATCTAACCTAAATTAAATCAATTATACTGCCCCGGATATTACTACCCTCGATCGATCTTCCAGTTTCCCCTAAAGGATAGCTGGCGGACCGCAACGTGTACTTCTTGCCTTGAGCGGCAGGCCTTGCGATATACAAGTATTCAAGAAGAACGAGAGAGAGAGAGGGAGTGGGAGGGAGAAGAGCCTATAGGTAAGTTAACGGACCTATTTACGGGCAGGCTAACTCTTCTAGGCCCGCAAACCCGTTGCTCTAGCTGCTTGCAACTCCGCGATCTCGGCCGCTTTCTTACCTGTAAGCCCTACCGGCGCCGGAATACTAAATCGAATCGGCATCGATCTCGTACTCAGAATCCAAACCCTTCTCCTGCCCACGCCGCTCTCGCGAATTATATCCAGCTCCGGTAGCAGGCTACTGGCAAGAAGGAGAGGGGATAGGCCGGATACCGGGCAATTACAGTCGACGATTATATGCGAGAGCCGACCCAAGAGGAGGAGCAGGAGCTCCAGGACCGGCAGTAGCAGCGTGAGGATGGGAAGGTAAAGAAGAGGGTTTAGGAGGGAGAGTGGAAGGAGCGGATAAGGGAGTTACGGGCATAACGAGGCCAGTTTCTAGGGGGAGGGGAGTTTGAGGCATGGTGGGAGGAGAGGGAGAAGGAGAGGCAGAGGGCAGATGAGAGTTTAAAAGAGAGGGATAAGGCAAGGAGGAAAATGAAGAGGGATGGAGAGAAGCGGGCAGAGTGGATAGAGAGGGAAGAACGGGAGAGGAGGGAGAGGGAAGATCGGGAGAGGAGGGTGAGGGAGGAGAGGGAGGAGAGGGAGGGGCAGGCTAAGAGAGAAGCTTGCGGACCAGTGGAGAGGCAGGCTTGCAAGCTGAGAGAGAGGCAAGCGGAGTTATATATAGACGAATACGAATATTGTAATAATTATTAGCTTTAATTCCAGGGCAAGTAAGGCTTGGGAGGGCTTAACGGACGAGAAAGGAAGCTTTACGGGCGAGAGAGAGAGCTTTGCGGGCCCGTAAAAGAGAAGAAAGAGCCCTGCAAGTAGGAGTGAGGCTTGGGAGGGCCCGCAAGTATAATACGCAAAGCAAAAAGCTAAATATTTAAATAAAACCTCTTAAAAACCTATTTCTCTTATACTAATACGTTACGTTAGTACAAGCTTACAAGCGCAATATGGCTATATTTAAGGAGAAAGTTTTATAAGTAAGAGAGAGAGCTTATAAATAAAAGTAAGGCTTAAAAGGGCTTATAAAAGGAAAGAAAAGGCTTTACTGGTATAATTAAAGGCTCTAACAGTTCGTAAAGAGAAGTAAAGAGCTTTACGAATAAGAGTGAGTCTTAGAATAGCCCGTAAAGGGAGGTAAATAGCTTTGCAAATAGAAGTGAGCTTTGAGAGGGCTTATAAAAGAGAAGAGAGAGCTCTATAAGTATAATTAAAGAGTATAGCAGTTTATAAAGAGAGAGAGAAAGAGCTTTATAAGTGAGTATAAGGCTTAGAAGGCCTATAGGTAATAAGAGAGCTTTATTATAAGGACGTCACGTGACCCTCTTAATCTCGAATCGAGATCAGGGCAAAATTAAAGACTGACCCCGGGGCTTGCGTAGGGCCGCCAGGCTTGAATTTTAGCGAAGCGGCCCTGATCTCGTATCCAAATAACCATAAAAGAAAACCATCATTATTATAAATCTGTCGACTCCAAGTTTTCCTGGACCACGAATACAACATCATCTGTGGCAACATTGACTCTTTCAAACCCTCGAAGTCCTTCACTCTCCAAAGCCTTGAGAATTTGCTCTCCCGGTTTCACTTCACCTAAGCCAAAGGTTGCTCCTTCAGAAAATGTTTCGTGGGACCATTCTCGATTGAGCAAGCCCTTAGATATCTTAGCTAGCCGGATTGCCCATACAAAGTCCGTTACCTTCTGAGCTGATGAGGAGGCACATCCTTCTGATGATATGCCAACGTTCGCTCCCGCTTCGACAATCGTGGGAAACTGGCTGCGGTCCATGTCAGCGTCTGTAAAAGGAACAGCACATCCACCGCGCTCTGATAAGCTGACTCCGATTTCTGAAAAAGATCGGCTTACTTACACGCCAGTACCGCCATGAATTTCTTGTCTTTGAACTCGGGAGACCGCCATCTTAGCTCCTCGAGCAACAATAATCCCAGTTATCATGAAAAGAGATGAAGTTCTCAGCAAGCCTCGCTTCTTGAAGTACGCGGACACCTCTTCATCCTCCAAGCTGTCCTCAATATAAGCGCTGGTGGGCTGAAAAATGAAGCTCTCAAGCGATTGGAACTCCCAGAAGTTTCGAATCGTTCGTTGGAACGCGACTCCAGTATCCAGATTAATTGACAGTCCAGCTGCTGCTGCAATAGGAACCCCTATATTCTCCGAGACGTCTACTCCATTGGATCTACTCATATCCCATTTGAGATCCCAGGCTTTGGTAGGGTATATGGGCATATCTGGCGGAATCCTTAAGGGGCCGCTTCTGTTGATGACATTGTCGAGATGTTTGAGGTCAGAGATGAGATGCCCAAGGCATAATGGCCCGCTTGCAACGCCAGTGCCATTCTTAGGGAAAAGGGGCGGGGGATAGTGTGTTTGTTGGAGTACAAACCAGCATTTGGACGCCATGGTTTATGGATTCGTGTTCGGCCCCTTCCGATCCAACAAGCAGCTCCGATCGGCAGTCGTTTGGGGCTAACTAATTTCTATCAATCTTGGCGGTTCACGATCGAAGGCAGCAGGTTACGCCATTGTCATATTCAAATTAGCGGGACAATCACATGTGTCAGAACTTTATGATATAGTGTACGCTGTAAAGCTGTAGTTTGTATACTGGTTGTGTACATAGAAGGGTTCCCTGGTCAACCGGCCACCCACAAATCAACTTACTCACTAATTATTTTAGCATGCAAGTTTGTTAGGTCAAGCTTTAGTATAGCAACAATCCATACAGCAATTTAAACTGCTTTTGTAAGTTTATTCGTCGCAATTTTTTGTTTTCAAATTAGTGATTAAAATCAGGCTTAAAGCCTGAATTTACAGGCGGTCCGCTATACTAAAAATTTAGCGAGGAACACCAAAAAATCTCAAAAAGCTACATTTCGTAGTTTGCACCGTAATCGTGAACTCCTTTTTGCTATAATATACATTTCCTTAGATCTATTAATCTAACTTATTTATAGTCCCAGGTTTAGTCAAAAATATTACGTGGTTGAATTATAAAATGATTATTTCAAGTGGCGGTTAACCCTTCTACGCCCCACTTAAGTCTTTCAAAAAGTGGAACAATGCGTGCCTTAGGCCACAAATGCGCATAAGATCCTTACCCAAAATCCCACCCAAATAAAATTGTCACGAAGATCGAGTTCGTCAAGAAACACCCGGTTGGCTTCATGCCTCATTCAATGCGCTATCTGCAGAATTGCTGATTCCTCTTCTTCGCCGTCACTACACTACACTAAGTGCGGGCAAATAATGGCGCTCTCAGGCGACATCTGCGATAGAGCCGAGGCATGCCATGAGCTATTTTTGAGGTGCTTATCCATCTCAGTCTCCAGCAGACTCGATTGGTTAGAAAACCGGCAAGGAGAGTTCAATCTATGGGACGCTGGTCTTAAGGCCACACCCGTTGGCAGGTCATCCCTGGACCATCGAGTGCGGGATAGACCTGAGCTGCGAGAATTGATCTGCGACCTTCTGGATGGTTTAGCAGAAGCGCTAGAGAATTATCTACAAACTTGTACGGATCGTACTCCTCGGTTGTGCAATGATTCTTACGAACTTTAGCCGAAACTAAGTCTGAAAGCTCCTCACCAGAGGCCGAGTTGGACTCATCGCCAGAAGTTCAAGATGCAGATTCTATCTTTTCGGATTTCTCCAGTGAAGGGAGCGAGTCCTACTCACTGCCTAGCATTGGAGAGTCTGGTGGACCCCTCTCAGAGGCATACTTCAACATAAAAACCATCCTGGAACAACTTACGAGATTGGCCACGGCGATCCGACGGTCTGGAGCCAAACATCGGCATCGAAAGGCCGACTCGTCACTCAAAGAACAAGATTTCGAAGATTTCAAAAATCACCTCACCTTTTTAGTTCTGATGCGCACGGTTCATCTCAACGCTGAGAAGTCTGCCGCTGATTATTTAGTTATATCTCAAGATTTTGGCCCAGGATTGCTTAGCGCAGTCCAAAGGCGATTGATCCACGCAAATGTCGTCAGAAGAAACAGAATCATTTTGGTCACACGAAGTATGGGCCCAATTGAAAGTCAGGATGCTGAGCAAATCAAGCAGCAAGGGCTGCTAGAGACGGCTAACCTCCCTTTGTCGGAGGTTAAGCCCGCAATACGCATCGCCCTGAAGCCAACGCAGACGGTTTCTGATGAACCTATCGCGCCACTACAAGCACCGAGCATTAATGCCCCATCTACTATCCAAAGTGCCACTGAGATTGGCTCCCAGTTCAACTTGCAAGCCGCTACTTCTAATCAGAAAACGCCGTCTGTTGTGACGCGAGTAACAAGGATTGGTGCTACGCAGGATTATCCAAGCTGTCCTACTCCCATCTTGGGAGGGATCCTGCGGTGCCCGTACTGCGCCGATTTACTTCCAGTGGAGTATTCAAGTAACTCGTCTAGATGGAGGTACGTCATCTAGCACATCACACATTCCTAGACAAACTTTTGAATTGATTTGACACTTCTCAGAGGACACGTTGCTCAAGATATACTTCCATATAGCTGCATCTACGAGGGCTGTGAAACACCCGACATAATGTACTTGACGTCTGATGAGCTCCTCAATCACATGCGCAGTCAGCACAGCGTCATCCGCTGGGTATGCGACTATTGCTCCTCGAAACTTTATCAACCAAACATTTTCGAATCTTTTGAACAGTGGGAAACTCATATATATAAGATGCACCGCGCCGCTTTGCTCACTTCCCAACTTTCATCACTCAGCGAAGTGAGCCAAAGGAGAATGCTTGAGGTACTTTGCTGTCCCCTCTGCGATTATACTACCGACATCTCTGTGCCAAATATCGACCACATTGCTGAGCATCTTCATGAATTTGCCCTGAGGTGTCTTCCCTGGGCCACTGGCGGTAATGATGGGGATTCGGGTAAAACGGAGCTTGCGGAAGGCTCCAACTCAAATTTGATTACTAATGAGGATGTGGAGGATGAGATGCCTCCCGTGGAACGTTTTCATCAGCCGAGTTTTCAGCAAGGTTTCGCTGAGGCGAGACAAATCATGGCTGAAGTGACAGAATTATTAACCGTTAGCTCTCTCCGGCACGAGCCCGACTCGACGGTAGAACGGCTACACAAAGAAGCGAAGGTCTTAAGCTGTTTTCAAAGTTCCGTAATCCGAAAGATTGGGTTCGTTGGCGATTCTGGAGTTGGTAAGTAGCCTTATGACCAGAGAGTAGTAAGTTGGAGGCAGCTGACGGGTCTGCCGTAGGCAAAAGTAGTATAATCAGCTCCATTCTTGATGTGAAGGGCCTCGTCCCAACTGTAAGCTCCTACACCTTTAACGTCTTGTCTGGCTAAGCCCTGAAACTTTGACCCGACCAGAGCAACAGCGGAGCTGTGTGTACCTGTATTGTCACAGAATATCACTACCATAATAGGGACAATTTTGTCATTGAGACAGAGTTGCTCAGTATGGACGAGGTCATGGAGCAAATAACCGAATTACTCCAGTCTTATCGCCACTATCATTTCTACGGCGCGGGCATGTATCCAGAAGAAAAGAAAGACTTTGGAGATCGAGCGAAAATAGCCCAAGATACTTTCCAGGCAATGTTCAGGGGTCGGCTTGACGGCGAGCAGTTCCTCATCGACCAGCCAGAAGATTCCGTGCTAGCAATCCTGCAGTCCTGGACGCAGGATATGGGCCTTTCAGCGATTGGCGGAAGGGAAGTCACATCCACTCTAGCAGATTGCTCTGCTCGCTTGATGAGGTACACTTTGGGGCAGGCTTCATCCCAAGAGCCAGCAATCTGGCCCTATGTCCGAAAGATCAAGTTCGTGTTCCCTAATCTTATTGATAAGATCTTCATATGCAGGCGGCTAACAAATGTAGGGTATTCCTGAAGACACCTGCCCTAAGCAAAGGTCTCGTGCTTGTCGATTTTCCTGGTAGCTCTATCTATCGCTTATTCATGAAAGACGAGACTCCGTTCTGACAAGTTCTTATCTAGGACTTCGTGATTTGAACTCTGCACGACAAAACATTACCGAGCGTTACCTGCTTCAGTGCGATAAGATATTTGCTGTCTGCTACATTGGCCGAGCAACTACAGATGCCGGACTCATGAACGTGTTTGAGCTTGCTAGACAAGCTATGTTATCGAATGTAGCTATCATTTGTACGAAGTCTGATGTGAGCTAATAACATCTGGTTTCTAACGGATGACCCGCCTGCTAATAAACTTTTAGGATATTCGAGCTGAAGAAGCCAAGAATGACTGGAAAGGCCAAAGAGCGAAAGATATTCAAATTCTAATTGACGTGGTAACTAAGTGTCGAGAAGACTTCAATGAAGTTGAGACACAGTTAGCAGAATATGATGATGATGTCTTATCAGAAGGTGGAGATGATCCCAAGCGAGTCCAAGACCTTTATCGAAGATCTAGAAAAGCCAGGTAAGTGCTGAGATGTCTGCATTCACTTATTTATAGACATTATTGACCCATTAACAGGAAGCTGATAGATGATCATCAATACAAGTAAGTCCACGCCGCCACGGATCTCTTGGAAGGTTGACGTGGAACCCCAGGTACTAAAGCACACATTCTAGACTAAAAGAGTACCTCGTCCAGGCTCGTAACGCAAGAGTTACGGCAGAGCTCCACGATCTCTACCGGAGCAGAGTCCCTGATGGTAGGCTGGAAGTGTTTTGTGTCAGTAATACGGACTACTGGGAGCATCGAGATCAACCGAAGGACAGTGCCCTTCCTCTCATCTCCTTGAGTGGGATTATCGAACTCCGGAGGCACTGTGTCTCTTTATTGGAAGATGATCAACTTCGCATTGCTATGAAGTATATCCGAGACGATATTCCGGCCATCCTCTGTGATATTGCGCTGTGGGTCCGATCTAGTACAGAAAGTATAAACACAGAGCGAATGGAGACTGTTCGTGAGACTCTTGATGCGCTCGAGGCCCGACTGAGGAGGGTAAATTTGTCAGAATCTAGGTGATTTGTAGGGAGTATGCTGATTGAGTACCTAGGACTTGAATGAAAATTTCTCTCAAGTTAATAGCATTGAAACATCAATGATGGAGGAGTTCCACATACAACTATATAAAAGTTTGTACTCCTGGTTTGGCCGTTGCATATCTTAGTCACCTAATTCTTTGAAGGACAACATATCCACAACTGGAGTGAAGGAGCGATAGAGGCGGGCTTGGAGTGGTCTATGGTAAGTATAATCATCTCTTTTAATTCTAGAGATTCCAACCACTAACCGATCCTGTATAGTTTCATCATTGTGGGCGCCTAATATCCAACCTACTCTGTGCTGGTGGAAGCTAACCGTACTGCAGCAACTTATGCTGCTTTTTGTCGTAATTACGGCCATTATGCTACCGCGACGGTCGGGAGCCACAACTGGAACGAAGAAGCAATAGAAAGAATGATCAGAGATCTAACTTCCCCATGGCAGAGATTGCGCACAACACTCCAGAACCAACATGGAAGCATCGCAAGATCAATTGAGGATCTGATGGATTTGGCAATTCAATATCTAGGTGCGTCACAGGAGCTCTCATATGTTATAGTGGATTGTCTAAAAAAACAGGATGGAAACAATTCCCTCGCGCTCAGTTGTTGACCTTAGATTAGATACCGAGTTGCAAGATTTCCCGGATTTGACTGCTATTCTTAGCCAAGTATTGACATCGCGTCAACACCTTCTTCTTTGGGATGTCGAGGAAAAGTGCAAAACTTTCGAATACAATCTTTCGTAGGTTTCATTCGCCAAAAGAAATTCCACTGGCTGACATTCATTAGCGCACTGAGAACAGACGCGCTCTCCGGTATCCGTACCTCTTTTATTGGACGAGCCATGGAGAGTTCCTACCGCGCTTGCAATTCAGAGTCTGGTAAGTGAGACCCTTTATTCAGAACAACTATTTATATTACTAACAGTACGGCAGGTGCAGGTAGTGATCTTCGACGAAAACGGATCATCAATGATAAACTCAAGGAAGAGAGCCTTTTCGAAGACCTGATGGAGAATTTTAGGAAAAGCTTCAGTCATCTGGCTAATAATCTTCAAAGGAGCATAGAAGCCGCAATTGAGACACATCTTGACATCGTCCAGAGGACGCTAGACATTGTAAAGAGCGAAAATGTTGCACCAGAGCGCGAGCAAGACCCAGACTTTCGCGGCCGTGTGGAAGCCGAGATTAAAACGGCGCGGGAGAAAATTCGACAAATTCAGGCTACGGTTGGCACCTAAATGCGAACAAGGAGTTTCGACTCTGTTATGGGCTTCACGTCGGTAGGCAGAGTAGTGAGAGGAGGACTCGTAAAACTTGCTGAACGTGTAAGATGCAGAGCAAATTGCTATTGGATGCTTGTGGTACAAAGATGGCAGATGGCACACGGCGGATGCAGATCCACATGGAATATTTCAAAAATATCATATTTATTCGGTAATTCCGACCCTCTATTAACCATCGAGTAAAAGCTAAGGTGTCCTATCTAAGCTGTATGTAAGAACAAATAGCATCATCATGACAGCTATCAGCAGCGCCAATTTTGGCTAGGAATCCAGACGGTGCCAATGAAAGGCTTGTATCTGGGATTATTAATCGTAACTTCCAACGACCCTTATGGTAGCGAGTTTGAATAAGTGTGTAGTAAATTGAGGCCACATACTTGTATAGATGACGTTGAATTGGTGACGTTCGATAATTTATAAGTTTAAATTGCTGGTCACGTGAGACAGGACTAGAGGGGTTTAAAACCGGCTCCGAGGGACCCTTATACGTTTAAGGGAGCGAAAATGAATGCCAATATGGACAATTTTTGATAGCTCAAAAGAGGGGGGTGTGTCCAATGCGGTAGGGATTAGAAATTTTTTTATATAGAGACGACAAGGAAGCTATTACCGATTCACACGGGACCGGAAATGATGCCCTTAACGTATACTCAGGGCTCAGGGCTCAGGTTAGAGCATCGACTGCTCAGTTCCAAAGAAGGAAATGGACTTTGGTGGGCACACTTGTCGTCTGAGATTATATTGGAAATCCCGGCGAAACTCCTGTTCACTGCCATCGCTGGTGTTTGCCCCACTCCCTCGATCAACATATGGGCCGTTGAAGACTACTAGAACGCTGAGGAATACCATTCTTTCAAATAAAGCGGATTCGAGAGAAGAAATAGCGCGTTTGTGTTCTTCCAAAGGGGTTTGAGCGAGCATTGTCCTTGGCGCAGTTGGCGATTGGGGTGGAGCCCTAAGGTGCTGCACCAGAGGATTGGATGAGTTTGCAGCCATAATGGTCTCATTCCATTGCCATCAAATTAATGCCCCGCAGGGAAAAGGAATTGGCGATGGTTGCAATTCATCTCGGTTGGAGTTTCTGAGACGTTTTATGCCGTTCTTCCACCCCAGGGTTGCATGCATCATGCAGACTCGCTGGGCAACCAACAAGAACCAGACTTCTATGTAGTACAAGTCACCTGACGTTTCTCCAATTTCTACAATATTGCATGTGAGATTGAACCACGAGGGTCGCTTCTCCAAGGTTAGCAAAATGTTCGCGCAAACTTTGGGGTTCTTTAAGGACCAAGAGGCCTACCACTGTAAAAATTGATCCGTATTTTGTTGTGAAGGATCCGCTCTCACCTACGGATATCATTCTGCTCTTCTAGCTGGCTCCCGTCCTCCACCGCGATTGCTGCCTTCTATGCCCTATTAACCGGTCCCTTTCAGTCACTTGTATACGCATGTCTTCGGGAACATTTTCCTGTAGCCGCTTGCTCTTCGTTGAGCTCGTTATCAAGACCTTGAATCTGATGCCGCATTGCTGACCAGCCATGAGAGTGCCCAATATACGCAAAAAATGCCAATAGTCGTCATCCCAACGTTCCTTCTCGAATTGGACCAAGTCATCGATGATGCAAAACACGGTGGTGTGTATCGGAAGTTGGCTCAATAGCACCTCGAAGAGTTGACAAAGGTCCTCCATCGGAATAAATTCGTGATTACCGTTGAAACCTGGGAGGTCGATACCATGCAAGGGCGCATTAGGCCAAATGTGAAGGAGTTGTGAGAGCAAACCCCTGATCAAGCCTCTCGGACCTTGGAGATCATCGTTGCAGGCCACGTGCTGACTGCAGAAGGAGTGCAGTGTGATGCTCATTGCAGAGTTTGCAAATAGCAGTGCCAAATTTGCACAAAAGTACGAAATAGGTGATGTCTTTCCGAATTTGGAGGGATCAAGGTGGCCTTCAACATAAATCAAGTCTGTTTCGCTAGCAGCTACCCATTGTTGGAATCGTGGACTCGCCATAACCAACGCCCCATAAGACTTGGAAGTCAAGTCGAATTCTTTACTTTGACGAAGAACAAAGTCTAGATCGCAGATTGGTTGCTCAAGCGGCACACGAAGCAGAATTAGAAGTTCATCAGGAGATGAGAGAGTGGCAGTCCGTGTGGGATTCATAATAAGCCCTGGCTCTGGTTCGTCGCATAGAAAAACTGTCTGGAATGAGCGCCACTTTCTGTAACAGGAATGGTTACCTTACCAGACATGACGTCTTTCAACATCTGGAACATGCCGTTCTTACTTGCCAAGGCGTCATTTATTTGCTCGGAGATAAAATCCTTCAGCTCGACGATATTGGAGTCGATTTCTTGGAATCGGTTATCCAGTCCGCGTACCCCTTGATCCATTGCGGTAACCCACCTTCACGTATCTCCGTAACTTGCACTTGAGTTGTTGTTGTCACCTCCTGAACTTCTTTGGTGGCGAGATAATTCTTCTCGATGAGCCCATCCTGAAGGTTTCTGCCGCACGCATCCACGCCACTCGCTTTTCTCTGGACACAGCTCAGTATATCCTGAACACGGAATCCTCGAAAGAGGCATGTAACTTTGGCTACTGTACACAATATCAGCCCTGAATGAGGTCAGTTTTACTTTAGGCTAGGGCCACAACAGAATTTTCCCGGCATCAAAATCTCAATCAGGCTGGGAATAGCATCGAAGAGTGTCACTTTCAAATCTTCTATCGAATCATGCAGCTTGGCATCTTGGGGAAACCTCTGAGACTTGCTGTAGGCCATTGTAATAATACCCGGTATGTCTTCAAAGGTGTCTAAGATGTCTCGTCTGACCGTCTCTCTATATTGAGCAAGCTGTAACAGTTTTATTAGTCTTAGAAAATGGAGGGTTTTAAGGGCAATGCACACGTGGAAGATGATGGCTTGTCCACCCCGAAGGATCCACAACTCCTTAGGAATAGCATCTAGGAGAGGCATAATCGAATTTGACATAGTATTCAATTTCCTCCTGCTGAGTGTTAAGAGCTTCTTGTCATCTTGTTCGCTGGTGGCTGCAGCGTCTTCGGCCTTGTCTAGCTCCTTGAGCACATCTCGCCAGGAGCAATCGACAGGGTTGAACGGGAGTTTGCGACCTTCAGGCCTTCCGTATTCGTGCAGCGCTTCCATGAACTCCCTACTCGAAGTAAGCCTCGAACTCTTTGGTATTTAGTAATGCTGCAAAATTGAACATACTCATGCTTTTCTTTTGCCTCGTATGTCGCCTTAGATTCATTGAAGCTGGATTCCACGGCCCATGCATCATGTATCCCCGCTATCTCCGGTCCTCTTTCCTGGAGGTAATGAGTCACAAATGTTGCAGGTCCTGTTTGTTCATTTGCCATTCTGCCCAGAGAGGAAAAGCAAATGAAATGAAATGGATGCGGCTTCGGGTTCTAAAGGCTCAATAGTGTTTGATGTTTATTTATCATGGCTGCGCTTGAGAGAGTAATAGGAAGAGGAGAGTACTCAAGTCCTAATGACCGATCTTGTGGAGAACATCCACTACCAACTCACATGTGATTCCCAGGGCCTCGATGTCGCCATAGGACTCGCCCAACTCTCAGAAGAGCTTAGAAATCTTGCCGCTCCTTCCGCATGAACTTGGTACTTAACCCGCACGCGTTTTGAAAGGTGTGGCTCGTCTGCCTTGCCTCGTCCCGTAGTGCAAGCCTCACTTTCAGCCTGCCCTGCTGCCTCTTGGCTCTGGATTTTTATTGGTGCGACATTTCTTGCAAGCGCGCCCGGCTGCTATGAGTCGGAGGTTTTCGGCTGCACCCGACCCCGGAAAGAGTTGACGGGTCTTGGATTTAATAGTCGGACTTGACGTCGCGCTAAAGGGGCCCTTCCCTTTAGTCGGGGAAAGCGAGTTGTCCCGGGAAAGCGAGATGTCCCGTACCGGCCTTTTTTGCCTTCTAAAAAATAATATTAGGAACTAGCTATAGAAAATCTAATTAATACGTTTTATTCGCGATCTTACAGTTACCTGTTACATATTTAAGGGCTAAAGTCTTAAGTAAAAGAATAAAAATTATAATTAAGCAAAAGTCATAGGTCTAATATTTGCAAAATGGTTACGAATAAATAATTCTTACGATTTTTGTATTCCTCGTAATTTTATTACTAAAACCTTAATAACTCTCTACCTATATCTTTTTTTAAGTTTTAGAGAATTATATCTAGTTTATAAGGCTTATATTTTTAATTCTATTACTTAGAATTATTTAAAAAGATTAAGGTTTCAAGTTATTAAGGATTTTATTTGGTGCGGGACATCTCGCTTTCCCGGGACAACTCGCTTTCCCCGACTAAAGGGAAGGGCCCCTTTAGCGCGACGTCAAGTCCGACTATTAGGCCTTCTCCCAGAGCTTATTCGTAGATAGCGTGCTTACTGCAGCGCTACAGCCTTCTCTTCGCTCTTATCTAATCTAGGCAGAGTCTGTCTGATCCAGGCAGATCCAAGCATGAATCGTTAGCCGCACTAGCGAGCAAGAATCTCTCAAAATGATACTTGTACTTCTCATCTGTCTTGTTACTTAACCATTTCTAGCACCAGAATATTCAAGCTCGCCTACTTTTCAGTGATTTAATAATTCTCAAGGAACCTTTTTGGCCGTCTATCCGGAATTGTTAGTGTTGAGTTCCCAATACACCGATCCCCACAGCGGAGCCTCCAGGAAAACGTGATCCTAGCCTTAAGAATAAAGAAGTGTAACGGCGCCGTAAGTTTCCTTTAGCGAATTTTAATTTAGAATGACCAACACCGCAGAAGACTTTCCAAATGCGCTCCAATGCAGACACATCTGAGGATCCGAAGATGGACTCCGAGCGCGGTTCGAGGATCGACCTCGGCACGGAGATAGATGAGCACGAAGGGCTCGGGAATTCTCTGTATCTAGGCCAGATTGACATCATTCCAGAGGTCCGGAAGTGTGACCTTTTGCACTTCAAAAACCGGTTCAACGCCGCCGAGGAAGGTCTTTACGCCGTGGACGTCCTCTTGTCAGACCCCTTTCTTGACCAAGAGGAGATACAGCAAGAACGGCGACTCCGACAGAGCATCCCGAAGAATCGCGTAAAGTCCAAAAGCAAAGATTTAATGTCCACATCGAAGTTGGCCTCAAGAGGCAAGCCTTCGAAATCCGTATCGCAGCCATCGCAAGGCATCCACACCGGGAAGGCAGACAGCAAGTTGATTTCGAGGATTCGAATACAATCACCAACAATCCTGTCCATTTTGTCAAAGATCATGCCAGAGTCTTGGGGCAGCCAGCCTCGGACGTTCATTCGGCCTTCAGCCCCCTCATCTATTTCCATCCACAGGTTTTAGATTTTCTGAAAGAGCTGGAGCTCAAGTGGGGCCAGAAAGATGAAACTCTTGAAGCAGCTCGAACTCCGGCTAGCTTAGACGGAAATTCCGAACTAACAATTGAGGGAGACAAAGCTTCTGTGGGTGATAGCGCAGCAGCGCTTGCAGACTTGAAATGTTATGTTCAATTCATGGAAAGCGAGATCATACCTCTCTATTCTCAGTTCGACAATTTGAATGGAACCTCCAATGCAAAAGTACGGTTTCACGATCTGTGGTATCTTTTCAGAACTGGCAAACTTATCTACCGATCTGTGGGAGGCGGCCAGATCCAGGAGACAAACGATTTCAGCCTCGGTCACAGAGCCTGGCGCATTCTTGCGGCCGGGACTCAATTCACGTCTCCCCAAAATCGAAATCACGTCAGCGATGATGACGGAGAGAAGGCCCCTTTTGAAGTTGAATGTTACTATATCGACTTTACTGGAGAAGAATTCTGCGTAGTAACTGACACTTTCGAGATTCATCCGTATGAAGGGGTGCGTCCGATCCAGTCGCTGAAGGTGTTTCCATATCGGTTTCTCACAAATCACGAAGAAAGACTCGAGTTTTACACGCAGTATGGGCAAAAATTCCTCTGCAGTATCGAGGAAAGACACAGAGCATATAATTGGTGGACGGTGACGAGGTCTCCCCTTGGACAACCGACTACCGTTGCAGAGGGTAACGATCTTAAGCGTTCCGAGTATGTCGATAGTGAAGTCATTATCGATTTTGTCGAGGCGTTTCAGACATGCCCCTCATGGAAACCAGTACCGTCTATTTTGAAGCCCCAAGAGCCTCGCAGGTTGACTGTGGTCGACGATTTTTACACATGCTGTTGGTCGGATTCCCAAAGAACAACGCTTCTGGCCGAGACAACCGAAATAATCGTCCTACGTGCAGCGATCAGCACGTACGAGCGAAATAAGAACCTCGTCGAAGACAAATTTCTAGCCAGAATTCGAGAGAACAACAAGAACAACAGACTGACAACTTCCGAATGCCTGCATGACTGCGATCTACCGCTCCTCCCAAGCCGAGTCTTTGGTTACGTACTACGGGATCGGAAGTTCGTACAATTGGATGTATACGGACTTGGTCCTGTAAAAGAGTCCAGCGATGGCTTTGATTGTCTCAAAATCAACCATCGCTACAAAGATTTGATCAAGGCACTTGTTGAGGATCATTTCATGAAGAAGAGCTCAGACAGGAAGGACGGCATAACGCGCACTTCTTTGGATTGGATTAAGGGCAAAGGAAAGGGTTTGTTTATCTTGCTTCATGGAGTGCCCGGCGTTGGCAAGACAGCAACAGCTGAGGCCGTCGCCCAAGCAAGTGGAAAGCTGTTGTTCGCCATCACCTGTGGAGATCTTGGCTTGACGCCTACCGAAGTGGAAACCGCACTACGAAGGATCTTTCGACTTGCGAACACCTGGGACTGTGTCTTACTATTAGATGAAGTCGACACCTTTTTTTCGCAGAGGTCAAAAGGAGATGTCACACTGACCAAGAACGCTTTGGTTTCAGGTAAGAATCTCTACTGGGTCAATTCTCCTCCTGCGCGGCCCCATAGTTCCTATTGCAAAGTTACAGATTTGGGCAACGACTGACGAATGTTGGTACTAGTATTCTTACGGGTGCTGGAATACTATGATGGCTTGCTCTTTCTGACTACCAACCGCCCCGGAGCCCTTGACGAAGCATTTAAGTCAAGAATACACCTCACCTTATACTACCCACCACTTGACTTGCAGCAAACAATGGAGATCTGGAAAATGAACATTGATCGGCTGCGAAGAGTCGAAAAAGAACGCTGCATGGACACGAACCTGCCACCTCTTCAAATTAATGAGCAAGAAATTCTGCGGCTGGCTGAAGAGAAGTTCAACGAGTACAGGGGTAAGTATCGTTGGAACGGCAGGCAAATCCGCAACGCTATCCAGATTGCCTCATCGCTCGCACATTTCGATGCAAGGAAGGATAACATCCAGCCGAGATTGACTACCGAGCACTTCAAAATGATACACGTCGTCACGGAAGACTTTGATCAATTCATGCAGGAAACTGTGGGCAAAACGGACGGCGAGATGGCTTTCGAGCGCGGTGACCGTTCCGATCACTGGAAGCGTGAGCAACCCAGAGCAGAGGATGTTCAGGCTTACAACCCTGGTGCTCTCTCACCCGGAGGCCAATATGCCGGGGCAATTGGCTTTGGACAGCGGCAGCCATCCATCACGGGGCGACGGCCGAGCAGTCCTTTCGATAGAAGCCAGGACGAGTCGTCCAATTTTCTGGGACTACGCATCCCGTCGCCAAATCGCGCAAAGCAGCGTCCATTTTTGGGAAGCCCTCCGTCAATCTCTTTTAACAAGGGACCCGATCCCAGGTTTGGACACAGAGAGCGCAGCCCGGGAAGGGCATACGTCAACGGGCATGGGCACGGCCATGGATATAACGGCCTGGGCAATGAGGACTTGTCACCAGATGATACCAATGAGCTTGAACGCCCTGGGGGAAACTTCCGGAACCGGAAGCATGAACGTGAGAGCTCTGAATCCGAAAGCCGGGCTTGGTCCAAAAGAAGGAGAGAGAGCGATTATGAGGACCAAGAAACCCTTTCTTCGTGAATTCAGAAGCGATACCCCTTGGAAAATAATGATGTAAGTTCATAAGGAGTAAGTTGAGCAGCAGTCGGGCATCGGCAGAAATTATGTGGAGCCAGCGATGGGAGAATGTCTCGATATGTAGAAAACTAGGATCACTTTACTTCTCGAAACTCGATGACTTTTCTCAGCTATGAGATCACAATCTCCAGCGTTGTCCTACCCATATTCTGCCTCCAACTTCTCGATTTTCCACTTGAGACCACAGGCTTCTTGTGTTTTTCCGACATGGCGTTCCCAGACCTAACTGCAAGCAAACCTGCGATGCAAGGTGTTCTAAATTTAGAAGCACGTGATGGCGCCTTCCTTCTACGAAATCTGCGGAGAGTAGATATCGCGCTTTCAACGGGGTTTACCATGCTTATGAGTTTATGATCGACCCGTTTGATCTTCAGGCCCAGGGAGCAGAGGGCCCCTGGGGATGAGTGGATGCGAGGTCTGAACAACCTAAAGCCGTTGAGTATGAGCGTGCAGCTGAAGACTGGGATATCTGAAGATGGGCTGGAGAGGTTTGGGAACACGTGTCAAACGGTGGGAAAAAGAAGGGGCACACGATATGGTTACCGGGTGACCTGAACAAGGTTCACTTGCCTGTGGGATTAACTTGTGATAAGAGGGAGGTGTTGCTCTAACACCCACTTGTTAGGGATGTGAAGTCGTACAAGGCGAAGCTTGATATTTCGATGGCGTTTGATTGGAGATGCAAATTTTTTACGCGGGAGGTTTGTTATCCCTGCATTGCATTTGCGGTATGGTTTTGATGTGTAACCATAGGCTGGGTTAGGTACTCGAGAATTACTTGATGTATTTACTTATCATTAGCACTGTCAAGAGGAAAGACCTTAGAATGTTCATGCAAGCCTCGCTTATAACCGAGAGATGATAGAGAAAAGGGGTCAAAAGGGGCAAGAAGCTCGAGTCACGTGCATGACTCTCTTAGCGCGTTTTCCATTTTATCTCTTCGTGCCTCGTGGTCCACTGACAATTTCGACAACCACATCAAGAATACGAGCAGTCATCGCCCAGGACTCATCTTCTTCTCGCCTCCAATGATCCCGATTCAATTGCCGTCCAAGACCTATCCGGCGTCTGTTCGAACTTTGCCAATGTTTTGGGAACACGAGATGATGTCTCATAAAGTCTTTCCGGCTACTTGGCAGCCCACAATAAAAGCTTATCCCCGTCATCGTCCTATGAACAGCTGACCCAAGACTCTGGGCAGCAACATGTTTGCCCGCGAGAAATTGGCGACGCGCAATGTGCCATCTTATAATAAGGATCCGTCGCCTGGGCAGCACCTTTGGAGACAGTTCATCAGGGCTGTGCTGGAATGGTACCTTGGCATGTAGAGGGTTCTTTCCAAGCCCTCCGCACGAGCTACCTTAAGATTGTAGGTGTTTTCGTCTTCCTGTCGCTATCGGAAATCTCGATATCTTTCCTAGAAGCATTGTCTCGGCGTTCTGTCGCTCGTTAGAAGTTGACCTGCACGATCTTCCATCCACTGTCGTTTCTCTCCCGAATCCTTTTATAAATCGTCCATCATGAGGGTAAGGGCACAGCTTGTTTGGTCTCTCTGCGTGCTTGCCGGTCAAGGAGCAGAAGCTGCCATCACCCTCGATCTCACCTCGAAAGATTCGATCAAAGCCGCAGCGAGCACGATAGCGTTCGATTTAATGAGCTACTACACGGGAAACAATACCGGGGACGTGCCTGGAAACCTTCCAGATCCATACTTCTGGTGGGAGGCTGGTGCTATGTGAGATCCGCCCCCCAGTGTTCCTTGCGCTGCTGACAGCATTCTCCTCAGGTTCGGGACGATGATCAACTACTGGTATTATACGGGCGACTCGACTTACAACGCTGTGACAACGCAAGCATTGCTACACCAGGCTGGAGACGATGGGGATTATATGCCGTTGAATCAGACGAAAACAGAAGGAAATGACGATCAAGGATTCTGGGGAATGGCAGCGATGACGGCGGCAGAAACGAAATTCCCAGATCCGCCAGCAGGGAAGCCAGGATGGCTTGCACTGGCTCAGGGGGTATTCAACACACAGACCCCGCGGTGGGACGAAACAACATGTAATGGAGGCTTCCGATGGCAGATCTTCACTTTCAACAATGGGTTCAATTACAAGAATAGTATATCGAACGGGTGTGTCTTCAACTTGGCAGCGAGGCTTGCGCTATACACGGGGAATGCAACATATGCGGATTGGGCCCTCAAGACTTGGGATTGGATGAATGGGGTTGGTCTCATGTCGCCGCAGTATAAAATTGTCGATGGAACGCATAACACCGATAATTGCACGCAGAAGGATCCGAATACTTGGACATACAATGCCGGGATTTTTCTTCTGGGTGGTGCAGCGATGTACAACTATGTGAGTATGCGTCCCTCTCCATTTTGATTCTAAGCTCATGGTCTTCAGACAAATGGGAGCGCTTTGTGGCAAGAACGAGTCACTGGATTGCTCAACGCCTCGTTATTGTTCTTCGATGATGCCGGCATAATGTTCGAGCCCTGCGAATTCGGCAAGTGCAACATCGATCAACGCTCCTTCAAAGCATACTTCGCTCGCTGGCTCGCCGCAACCGCAGGACTTGCTCCCTTCACGCACGACGTTATCATGGCAAAACTGAGAACAACTGCAAAAGCAGCAGTCGGTACTTGTACTGCGGGTAAGAGAGGGACAGAGTGCGGGTTGAGATGGAACATGACAAACGATGGTAGCTTAGGGGTTGGGGAGCAGATGGCAGTGCTAGAGGCAGTGCAAAGCAACTTGGTGGATGAAGTGCCTGGGTGGGTGAGCGCCGTGAAGGGTACGGGGACGAGTCGGGGGGATGTAAATGCTGGGACTGGGAGTACGGCTTCTTCGAGATTAACTACGGGCCCAGTCACGACTGCTGATCGGGCTGGAGCGGGGATTCTGACGGCGCTGGTCCTTCTCGGCGTTTTGGGGGGAAGCATAACTATGATTTTGGAATAGACGTCGCATTTGTTTCCCTGCATCATTACGTCCTATTTTCTAACACATGCGGCCCCTTTTGCTTCTCCTCTTCTTTGCCATAGAGCAGAATGGCAAGTGTCAGTTTTTAAATTAGTGAAGTTGGTCGGGTGGTAGTTCCCATACCCGGCAGACTAAAGGGGAAAGCGGATCCAAGTTGTGTTGGATCACACGATCTTAAGTACTAGATCGTTTGTTGCTAACTTGCGACGCCGATGTATTGGAAAGCAAATTGCAATAGTTGATAAGTGTCTTTTGGACTGGGCTCTTTAAATTTAAAAAGATCAAGCTCTGCCTGAAGGTTTCTCGCTCCAAGCTTTGTATTTCACCATTTCCTTCTTTCAACGCATGCTCCTGCTACACAGCGATTTGGGTTGAGCGGAAAAATTGTCGAAGCCGCCTCCAATCTGTATCAGAGAAACGACAGAAGAAAACAGCAATCATGGCATAAAAAGGTTGTCAGAGCTCATCAACGAAGGATTGGCTCTCCAAATCCAACGCAGTAAATCGCCAGCGTCCGCTCGCGCGGCATCCGTGGAATGACCGCTATAAAATCAGTCTCAAACTACTACACGTTCCTCAATGCTCTCCTGTTCTGGGTCTCATGCAAAGGCCCCTAAGAGACAGACGACAACAACGCCTTACGCCTTTTCTGCTCCGTGCTGGATCAACCCACAACGAAGCCCCTCCAAACGCCCATTCCGCCTGGTCCGAAACCCGACGCTCTAAGCTGGCTCTCAAGCTGGATGGTCCAATACGCCACCGCCCATGGGCCAATTCCTCGACACGCCTGAATCCATCACTCTCTCCTTGCTAAAGGCTTCCCTCGCCTTCTCAAGCTACAACATGGCGATTACCTCACCTTGAGCCTCGCGGCGGCGGAAAACCCTTCAACGAGCTCTCCGCCCGCGACTGCAACCCCGTACCAGCCCACCGCTGCCATCTCCGACACCACCGTCCTCCCGTCGCCCGCAGACTCGAGCCCTTGACGGCTAATGCGGGATCCGCTCCGGCTTGGAAGTAATGATCAAGTCCATCCACTGGGAGATCTCGGAGCCACTGGAAGGAAACCCGTACAAAGAGCACTTTAGTAACGGCATCTTCGCGCATTCGTTTCTGAGTCCCGCGGAGTATCATTGTCAGCATGCACCGGTTGGTGGTGTGGTGTTGGAGGCGAGGGTTATTCTGGGACGGGTGTATCTTGAACTTATCCGGAAGACGACGGAGGTTAGGACGCTGAGTTTGGTGCCGCAAAGGAAACCGCATAGCCCGCACAACGACAGCCACATCCGCCTTCACCCCGATACTCACGAGGAAGGCTACAAATTGCACTCCATCTCCACAGGCCCTTCTGAAGTGACCTTCGACGCACCAGACAGCCCAGGCTACCAGTTGTATCAAGCGGGTGGCCTGATCGTGCTCTATAATGCCATTGGTCTCGTGGCCGTCCTGCCACTGGGTATGGCGCAGGTTTCGTCGCTTATCTTAACGGCGGAAGTTGTGACCACATTGAGGAAGTAGAAGGGATTGGTTATTTCCAATTTGGGGGCAGTGATATTGTTTGTGTGTTTGTCTCTTTGAGGCAAGGGGTAATGTTAGTGTTACGGCGCAGCTTAGTGCTCATTATAAGACGGGGGACGAAGATTGCACAAGGCTTTTGCGGAGGGTGTGAGGTTTGAGGAGTGAAAGTATTGATTGTCAGATTTATTTCGGCTGAGCGAGGCGACGGTCAACTGCTCAAGTGAACTGCATTCCTTCCTTTTCTTCCTTCATGAAGTTAAAAAAACGGATTCGATTTCCAATGTGTTTTATTTCGAGGCAAGGTCTTCCCTATCAAACCTGAGAGGCTTCGCTTGTTAATACCCCACCATTGAAGCAATTTCAGTCACAGGCCCTTCCAAAAGAAGAGGAATGTTTTTCAACTTTATACAGCCAAGTCTTCGACATTCTTCTCAGCCACCTCAGGCGTCTGCTTACTCATTTCAGCCCCGGTGTCATGTTCTGTGAAGGTTGCAACCTGGGCATCCGTCGCACTGATGGCCTCAGTATCATCCTCGACATCATACGGAAGCGAGAGGTTAAGAATCAATGCCACCACGGCTGTCACCGCGAACCCTAAGCCCAGAAAATTAGCCTTGTAAAGCCCTGGAAAGTTTAAAAGTGCTTACCAGTTTCCATGACAAGGACAATAGCGTCCAAAAACCCTTGCAAAGCCCGATTGTCACCAGCGTAAGTGAAGGTGTAGCTGAACCAGTTTGGTATGAGTGTTGCTCCGAATCTACATCTTCTAGTCAGCGCAATCCGTCAAGCTTGTTTGGGGGGGGGGGCGACTTACCCAAGAGACATAGCAGCTGTCAAGATAAACCGATTTCGTCGGTCGAAGGGCACCTTGGACGTGATACTCATACCAGCAACTGCCACAGCACAGAAGAGGAAAGTCGTCATCCCTCCAAGAACCGGGCCTGGGATAGCGACCAAGGAAGCAGCGAACTTCGTGAAAACACCCATAATGATCAAGAACAGGCAACAGCAGTATCCAGCTGAGCGGTTCGCACACCGTGTCAAAGCGATAACTCCGTTATTTTGAGCGAATGTCGTCATAGGAGTGATAGTCATCAAAGCGGCGAGGACTCCATTGATTCCGTCGGCGAGAATGCCACCCTGGATACGAGAATCGAACAGCTCGCCTTCGACATCGAGACGGGAAACATCGCAGGTAGCGGTGATATCTCCGATAGCCTCGCAAGCACAGATGATGAAAATTGCCATTAGTGGAAGGACGAGGGGACCATAGACCTGGAGTTTGAAAGTGTATACCCAGATGAAGGATGCTGATGGAGCTGAGTCAATGCCAGAGCGGTCAAAGTATCCTGTGGCTCCACCGATAATGCAACCAGTAAGTAGTCCAATCACGACACTTGTGGACTTCATGATAGGAGATCCGAAGCGCTCACAGAGCAGGATGGTAACGAAGACTGAGAATCCAAGGCCGATATACTGAGCACTCCCCCAAGGCAGCGCATGCGGGGCAGCGATATTGGGGCAGAGCTCGAAGAACCCATCCGTCGGTCTCGCCGCACAAGGGCCATTGCCTCCGGCCCAGTTCTGGAACCCGACGCCAATGAGAGTGACACCGATCAACATGACAGTTGGACCGGTAACAATGGGCGGGAAGAGTTTCTGGATGAAACGAGGAGGCATGAATGAGATGAGGATTTCGACAAGAGCGCAACAGGCTGCGGTGCCGATGATGGCGCCGTAGGCGTCTGGGCAGGCGAGGGGCGTGCCGTCTGCTGCACTTGGACAGAAGCCATTAGCGTACATTTGCTTGAAAGCACCAGAAGCGACAGGTATGATTGCAAATGAGGTGCCGACGACGGAGATGAGGCCTGTTCCGATGTGGTATCTACACTTCATCAGCATCTGCTACCACTGGATATCTTGATCTCAAGGGACTCACGGTGTTCCACGGATATGAAATCTCGTGATCTGAACAGCAGACAGAATCCCACACACAATCAGAGAAGTCGAAACGAGATACTGCTGTTCTCCCTCCGACAGATTGACACCTCCTTGACCGCTCATGATCAAAGGAGGAGTAATAATACCAGCTAACATGGCAAGCGCATGCTGGAAACCAAGCAAAAGTGCTAGGACAACAGGCATCTGGTCATTGAGGCCGAAGAATGGAGCGGCACGGGGGTCCTTCTTCATGAATGGGATGTTGGGCAGGAACAGGAAGCCATAGTCGTAGTCACCGAGGAGGCCATGCTTGGTTGTGAACTTCTTCACAATACGGCGTCCAAGGCTTGAGGCGCGGTCCCCAAAAGTCGGCTTTCGGGCATTGGCCGGTACGATAGCATCTTCGGACATGTTGACGGTGAAGTTGAGTAGCTTGCCCTTGATTCCTGTGAGGGTTGGGATGGAGCAGGCGGACAGTGGAGCGCTGCTCTTTTCAACTTGCCTTACAAAGCGAACCTAGCAAGTTGACAACTTCAGTGATGGATATGGGTCGAGGTGGCACTGTTTACCAGTTCTCTCGTCCGGTGGGAGGCGCCAGAGCACATCTTTATACAGTAGCTCACGACACATTGAGGCTTCAAAGATAAGGATCATGAGGTTTGTTCCAAATTTTACAATCCGCTGTCAACCACTGGGTCGGTACCGTGCGGATGTCAAGCCGTCGATACTTTGGGCAAGAGGTGGCGCGGCCCGTGGGGGGACAAAGTCTGGGGTTTCGGGGAGAATTCTGTGCAGGTGATAGACCGTGGTCGAGGCCGAAGTGTCGGAGGTTTGGTGCAGTGGGGTTGAGCCAATCAAGAAGCATCGGAGCCCGCCGACGGGCACCCAAAATACAACCTCGCCCCTTTTCCTTTTTCCTGTGGAAGGGAAAATTTTGGGGAGACAAAATCACGCTCTATCATTTCCCCGAATTGGCCGCGGGAGCCGCTTCCTTCCAACACCAGGACCCCGGAGAGCGAAGAATTGGTCTTGCTTTTTCTATCAAACTCCCCAAAGGAGGATCCTTTGGCGAGGAAAAGTTGTTTGCTCTCCTCAGCGGCCGCTTCCTTCCAGCAAATAGGGCGGACTCCACTGTTGTCAAGCCACGAACGCCTATCAGCCCCCGCATCCAGCGAATGATCACCGCATTCACTCACGTCAAATTCTGAGAGGTACCTCATTGATAAAGCACAGTGTCTGCTTCGAAACAACCTTTCTCTCGTTTGAAGCTCATGGCTTTTGGATATTAAAATTTGAAACCTGTATTAGGAAAGTCTTGCAACCCTCAGCATCGACCACTCTTTCGTGTACGGGATCACCCGAATTGAGGGCAGAAATGCTTTACACACACGCAACGATTATCACAGTGAACTCCTCGAGGGAGATAATTCTCGATGGAGCTATTCTAGTCCAAGACAACTTAATAGCAGCCGTCGACAAGACTGATGCCTTGACCAAACTGCACCCATCCGAGGTGGTTGTGAACTTGGAAGGTCGCATCATCATCCCTGGCTTGATAAGCACTCATATGCACACAGCACAAACACTGCTGCGAGGTGAGCATTGATTTCGATCAAGTTTCCGTTTTATTTGGGGAGGTTGTTGCCACCAAGTAGTGAAGTGTTCAAGGTGCTGACATGAAATGTACCAACCAGGTGCCGCTGATGACCTCGAACTTGTCTCCTGGCTATGCGAACGTATTTGGGTGCTTCAAGGTAACTTTACACACGAAGATGGGTATGCAGCTGCCCGCATTAGCATCGCTGAAATGCTCTTGACTGGCACAACATGTTTCCTCGAGAGTATGGTGAGTACTTTCTTCGTCACGTGATTCTTCTCAGAGGACTAACATCCCATTAGTTTGCCGATCGGTACGGATTCGACGGACTCTGTCGTGCTGTAGAAGAGAGCGGTATCCGCGGCTGCTTAGGCAAGATCGTCATGGACAGCGGCAAATACGCAGGCGATCCAAAGTGGGCTATGCATCCAGGCCTGGTCGAAAACCGTGAGATGTCCTTACTCGGAGCTCTTGATATGCACAAGAAATGGGATAAGGCAGCAAACGACCGGATTCGAGTCTGGTTTGGTGCCAGAACACCTGGCGGGTAAGCGTTCCTCCAACCCTCTTATGTAAAGTGGGTGCTTATAGTTTGATTGCAGAGTTTCGGACGCCCTGTACAAGGAAATGACATCCATCTCGAAAACCCAAGGAATCCCAATCACTATGCACTGCGCCGAAGTTGCCGCCGACCGCGCCTTCTTCAAAACGCTCTCGCACACACCGATGTCGTACTGCGACTCAGTAGGACTCCTAGGTCCCAACACTGTCCTCGTTCACATGGTCCACTTAGATGATTCCGATATAGCAAAGCTCGCTGAGACCAAAACTCATGTCGCTCACTGCCCGACCTCGAACTCGAAGCTTGCTTCTGGCATCTGTCGAGTCCCTGAGTTGCTGGACTCTGGCGTGAACGTGGGCTTGGGAACCGATGGCGCACCATGCAATAACACGAATGATCTGCTGCAAGAGATGAAGTTGGCGGGTATTATTCACAAAGCGAAGAGTTATGATCCTACGCTCGTTCCGGCGGAAACCGTGATGGAGATGGCTACTATCAACGGTGCTAAAGCCTTGGGATTGGATGATTCGATTGGGAGTCTGGAGGTAGGCAAGAAGGCGGACTTTGTGGCTATCGATATGAGGTATGTGCATCTGCAGCCGTACTATTCGCCGGTCAGTGCGGTGGTCTATTGTGCGACAGGGAAAGATGTCGACATGGTTGTTGTGGATGGGAAGATTGTGGTGAAAAGTGGGAAGTTGACGACAATGGATGAGGAGGAGGTGTGGAAGGAGGGGGAGAAGAGAGGGCATGAGGTTGTGAAGAGAGCAAGGCTCACGGAAAAGGTTAAGGGGAGGTGGCCCATCCGATGAGACGGCGAAATTGAGAAATGTATCTCTGCACAGCATTGAACCAGATGGCCGGAGAACCGAGTTCAACTCGTGTCCCTGTTCCCACTCCTGGTGGGTGCCTGAAAGTGGTGATGGCGATACCGTGCAAAAACGCCATGAGTTGGGTTTATGCACTTAAACAGAGGACGGCGTACAGCTCTCTGTGATAGTCGATGTGGCAAATCAGCAACATTTTTCTTTCCCAGTTATTACTTGGTGCTGCGGCCAAGCATTTCTGCAGAGTTGGAACGATGTTCTTATCTAAATGCTTGGCAGCGGGAAACACTGCCGAACCCCCTCCTTTTCTTTTAAACTTTTATTGTCGAGCTGACCTTAGTTGTACATCCTTATCTTTACTCCCTTGATCGCGAACTTGGCCCACTCTATTCTAATTTCTGGTGGTTTCCTTATCTTTAATGCTGCTATTAATGCATCTCAACCTCCGCATGTTGATCGGCAGGCCCATCCGCAGGCCCATCCCGACAACATGGGAATTGTGGATATTGCCATGCTTTGCAGGCGCCATAGTGGGATTAAGATGGGTCAAGATCCCCATCTAGATCATAGCGGGGCGAACGCAAAGATAAGAAAGATGCTCTTATATGCTTGCATCTGCTATTTTAATTTTGATATTCCCAATTGTTTGTCTTCTTTGAACTTCACCTTTCTCATTTACACAGCAGTAATAAACGAGTTTTTGGTCTTCATTTTCTTGTAAATTCCCTTTCATAACAATGGCCCCATCATGGCTGAGGTGGGCAGAGCTGCCAGCTCGGACAGATATCCACCAAGATAAAGGAACAACAAAATGGGGCAACCACGACCTGTATCCCATCGTGGAGAAGGAGCGCACCTACGGAATCGGTGCCTACCTGCTTTTCTGGGTCACCTGCGGCGGTGGTCTCTCTACTTTCGCCATTGGATCGTCTTATGTTACGCTTGGCTTAACTGCTGGTCAGACCTGTGGTGCTGTCTTAATCGGCGCATCTCTTTCGTCCTTGAACGCCCTGCTTATGGGCAAGGTGGGGGCCATTAACCACTTGGGATTTGTACACATCTCCATTCCCGGCCATCTAGATATGAACCTGACTTTCATATACCATGTCCGCGCGTGTCTCCTTTGGATTTCGCGGATGGTATCTCCCTTTAATCCTCGGCTTTTTAAGCAATATGGTCTTTTTCGGCTTGCAAGCATATTATGGAGGTTTGTCAATTAACAATGGCCTAAAGTGTCGTCAAGTCCTAACCAAGTTCTAGGGCAAGCAATCTCACTAATGCTTGGTTCTATGTCTCCCTCATATTTGCATCTGAAAAATACATTGCCTGAAAGGTAGCAGTTCAAATCCGCATATAAACGTAGACTAACGGGAACATAGTTCTGGAGTAACCACTCAAAACCTCGTTGGCTTCTTCCTCTATATGATCCTATATGTTCCAGTTATTCTGTTCGTCCCACCACATAAGCTAGAACCACTTATGTGGCCAGCCTTCATCGGAACAATGGGAACCGTTTTTGGGATCATGGCCTATGCCGTCAGTGTGAATGGAGGCTCGGCTGGAAATTTGGTTTCGCCTGCAGTTGCCATATCCTCGAGCAACCGAGCTTTTAGGTTTATTCAGTGTATCTCCACAGTCGTTGGCACATATGGAGGTGCTGCTGATCGATTTGCGGACTGGACCCGTTTTGCCAAGAAGAAGGATTCCCATGTTATTGGAACTATTCTCGGAATGCCCATTGTCATCACTCTCTGCTCCCTCCTCGGCGTTTTGACTGCCTCTGCAACAAAGGCGCATTATGGAACGACGTACTGGCAACCCCTGACCTATCTCCAGTTTGTACTAAAATCGGAGTACACAGCCGGATCTCGAGCTGCACTCTTCTTCGCCGGAATGGCAATCTTCGGTCATCAGGTTTTTGTAAACGCTACTCAGAACAATATCACAGCAGGAATGGACCTCGCGGGCGGATTTCCTCGCTATGTCTCCATGAAGAGAGGCTCTCTCATCCTTTGCACACTTGGCGTTCTTTGCCAGCCATGGCGCTTCTTCACCCAAGCCACCGTCTTCCTTTCCGTCATCGGCAGTTTTGGTGTCGTCACTGGACCTACGACTGCAATCCTCATTATCGACTATTATGTCCTCCGCAAAGGAAACTGGAAGATCCCAGACATGTTCAACGGTGGACCACAATCCATTTACTGTTATTACAAGGGCATCAACTTTCGTTCCACAGTGCCTTACATTATTGCAATCCTGCCTTCAATGCGTAAGTTTCTTCGGCTATGGCACCCAACGTTTCAATCAGAGACTAATTCAATTCTACACAGCTGGTCTTGTCGAGAACGTCATGAGCAAGACGAATTCAGCGGTCAAAATCTATCAACTCAACTGCATCGTCGGTTTCGTTATCAGCGCAATACTGTTCTTTGCCGCCAACAAGATGTTCCCACCACCGGGAACAGATATCGGTGAGCCGTTTGAGGCCTGGGAGGGCCCGGCGCGATCGAAGGCCTGGGTGTCACTGGCTCTGATAGCGGCAGTGGCATGGTTACCCCGACGAAGGGAGGAATAATTACGAATGAGAAGGATGCTACAGAAGTTTCGGTTTGAGAAAATGGGTGAACTTGAGCAGTAGAGGTGCAGGAGCTTGTAGGCTGTCGAATATACAGTAAAGCCATTGACGGCGAGGGTAAAATCTGTTGTCAAGTGTAGATGTGTTGTTGGAATAACATACTAGTATGCCGTGCCATTATTTTCACCTAGATCATTCTGCCTATCCCCCACCACGAAAAGACCGTACTTCCATGGCTACAATCTACCAGAAGCACAAGTTCTTGGTGAGTGCCCATCATTTCCGGCCTTCCAACTCGCCCATCAACCTCAACTCAAGTCTCAATTTAGCATTCCCAAACTTCCCAAATCCGTGAAAAGTAGCAATAATCCTAGTAGGACTCGGATACTTTTAATATAACGTCTTCCGGCTGGACATGTTTTCTGTGAAGAAAGCACTGTTCAAGGACCTCAATCCAAATGGGCGAACGCCCGTGATTGTTGACCATAACAATGATTGATTTATTCTTTGGGAGGTAAGTTATATACAGCCACTTCCTCTAATTCCTTAAGATAAGACGTGATAAATGTGGTTCTTTACTCGACTACCATTTTCCGGTACCTGGTTGAGAAACATGACAATCCTGGGAGATTGACTTATTCTGTTGGGCCGGAGAAGCATCTTCTGAATCAGTGGTTGATGTTCCAAGCTACCGGCCAAGGCGATTATTTTGGCCAAGGTGAGTAGGGAAAAGGCTACATTGAGAGCAGAGAGAGGCTGACAGAGAGCCAGGTGTTTGGTTCAGCTACGCGCATCTTGAGAAGCTTCCCTTAGCTATCTCACGCTACAGCAAAGAAATCCGACGTGTCCTCGCGTGCTAGAAACGGCTCTGGAAGGAAAGAACTATCTCGTTGGTGACAAACTCACGATGGCAGACTTGAGTTTTGTGACCCGGCATAATGTGATTCCGGTGCATCTTCTTACAAACATCTAAAATCCAGGAAAATCCACTCAGGATCGAAGATCTGATGTTGGGAATGGTTAAATTGAAATTTCTGTTGACATAGCCAGTAAAGTTTGTTTGCATGGAAGATACGGAGTGGGTGATTATAGGATTTCCGAATGTCGATGGATGGATGGGAGAGCTAGTGCAGAGGGAGTCGGTTAAGACTGTTCTTGTCGAGAAAAAGAGTCTGTTGTCAAAGCCATTGTAAGTCGGTCATTTATCTACGACTTTTGGTTGCGCACTTACAGTTATGAACAGTCCCGGAATAATTACAGCAGCGCGGGACTAGTCAGAGGGGTCAACGGACGGAAGAATTCGATTCTTGGGAGGCGAACCATGAGCCTCCATATTTACATTTTATTACTCCATTGTTGGATAACGGGAGAATATGGATTTTCTAGGAAAGCGAGTATGTCATAAAACATCGCCTCCGAATATGTGGTCCGCGTGTGGACCATGCAATATAAAAGAAGTGAGTAAGAGTATTCTATTGGATGAAGCCAGTGGGAGTCGGGATCATACGAGGCATGAAAGATTAATGGGAACTCTGAGTAGCTGCCTCCAGAGCGTAGGAACAAGAAATAGAAGAGAGGAAAGTAGAAAAAGGGGGGAGTCATGTGAATTGCCGTCACATTGAGGACTCTCGATCATCCAATCAGAAGGACCACAGTCTTGTTAGTAAGCACCCCGCAGCCAGCACGGCAGCTTGCTCACTGACTTCACAACTCCCCGACATTGTCCTCGACCTGAAAAGAGTCAACTGAGGATCAAATAGGAGCTAGACTGGAATGCTTACAAACAGGATCCGCGGTACCTTCCACGACAGCTTCTATTCAGGGCTCGGAAGTCGATTGTATCCCGGATCGAGGATCCCTTGGCATAGGACAGCGGAAGCAGCTCAGCGTCGACAGCCACTCTCAAATCAAGCAATACGTGCTAACCGTCGACCTTTAATTACTCAACTTCGCTCGCCTGGGCTGGCACCAAGAGCAAAAATGAGCGGCCGCGTCCCAATCGAGTCTCAACGCGTCGATGCGCCGCTCACATCATCAGCAACCTTCCTCGTCCTTTCAGTCACGGAAAGTCCGGACGCTGTCAAAACAGTACGATCTGCTCTAGCTAATATCGATGGTCTCGCCAAAAACGTCGCTATTCGGGATCTGGGTGCCTCATTTGCTTGCACTGTTGGCATTGGAAGTGATGTGTGGGATAGGGTCACTGGTCTACCCAAGCCTTCGGAGCTTCATCCCTTCCCCCCTATTGAGGGGGCGAAGCGTGAGTGTTCAAGAATCTCACTTCTTATCTTTGTCATGTTTATTTCATGCTGGTGATGAAAATTTAGATTTGTGTCACCGCTCCTATCTCCTATTGTGACAAGCTAAGCAAGACGTGGGAATGCTAACTCCCATCTCAGATACTGCCGTCTCAACACCTGGTGATCTACTCTTTCACATTCGCTCTGAGCGTCGAGACCTGAACTTCGAATTCGAGAAGCAACTGCTGGATCTCCTCGGCGACTCTGTCAAGGTTGTCGATGAGACCGTTGGTTTCCGGTATTTCGATGTTCGAGACCTCCTCGGATTTGTGGATGGCACGGCAAACCCGGTTGGGCCAGCAGTGCCGGCCTCGATTTTGGTTGCTGAGGAAGATACAGCTGCAGCTGGCGGCAGCTACATCGTAGTTCAAAAGTACGTCCACGATATGAAGGGATGGAAGACCCTCAAAGCCGAGCAGCAAGAAGCCATCATCGGCCGGACGAAACTGGATAACGTTGAGCTTGACGATGCACCTACTGGCCAACAAGCTTCACATAAAACGCTTAACACGATCGAAGACGAAAATGGTGTCGAGCATGATATCCTCCGAGATAATATGCCGTTCGGTTCTCCTGGTTCAGGAGAGTTTGGAACGTATTTTATTGGGTACTCTCGCCGCTTGTGGGTTATTGAAAAAATGCTTCATAGGATGTATATTGGGGAGCCTCCGGGACTTCATGATCGTATCCTTGACTATTCGAAGCCGTTGACTGGCACAACGTTTTTCGCACCGTCTGCAAGTATACTTGCCAGTCTAGACTCGAACTGAAGGCTTCTGTCTGCGAGCAGATCGGACATCTGTGCGGGCTTATTTCTAGAGGGGAATCTGTTTCTTAGAAAAACCTGTCTGCCAGTTCGAAGTTTGACTTTCCCTATCTTGTTTCTTATTCTGAAAGGTACTTCGTAGTCATGACTCTGGTCTCCCAGCGATCACAACTGCTCCGGTCGGGAAAGTCAATTGGTAGCTAATAATCCGTATCGTTTTCTAATTGCAGAGAAAGTGATTTGGAGAGGAGGAGTAAGCTGAAGCTGAAGACCGCGAGTTAAAATAAGCCACTTTCGGTTCTCGAGTAAGTTCTGAATAAGCTGTAAAGAAAATAAGGAGAATCTTTCTGTTCTTGTCACATTCTGCACCAAAGAAAAAAAAGAAGGATTTGTTTTTAGAAAAGCATCGATTTGACAAAGACTTGCTCTTTCCAAGCTCAACGAAGTTTGCTCCAGCTAGATTGATCCTGGCTTTTTCTATATGATAACTCGAGGATCGCCTTAATGCATCCTTTGACGGTGCAAATGGCGACCTCTCCCACTTCCAAAACCCTGTCTACAAATAGGGTAAACCAATTCCAATTCCCTTTGTCCAGCATCCCCCAATATACAGCCGTCTGAGTATGCGTTAGGTGCATGGTAGTGGCCTTTTGAGAGAGTTGAGCGAGACGTAGGTCTGGCCTTCCACCTGATGGCGCATTCATGATGATAGGTAGGATATATCTTTGCCTAGGATAACCTTGGCCCCCTTGGCCTGGGTCACTTCCCTTGATCCAAACATCGTTGTTCATTTCCTTAGAGATGTGTTCGAATTGAAGTAAAATATTCTTGGATTGTGTCGTTTCAGTAACCGCTATACATTATATTGATACATGTAAAGAAACAAAAAAAGTGAGCAGAGAGAGGTCGGGGCGAATTTCCGGGTAGATGGGAATAGATCAAAAGGTGGTGAAGCTTGGCTTGGATGGAACGAAAATTGAGTTGTTATAATTTGCCGATCCAAGAGCGCCGAACTTTACGTTCATAGTCTGAGGAGTTTAGCCAAGGCATATATCAGGAATTAGTGAAAGGCCACAATTATCTGAATAACGAACAGTCGACATCTTCACCTGCCGATGTGGATGTTGCTGATGGATATGTATGGGTTAGTTCTGCTGGTACGTCAAACAACCCCAGGGAAGGACCCATTTACCTTCTGTGACGCTACGACACCATAATATTAACCAAGAAGCATCACACAGTTCCACACAGTCGTTGTACTAATATTTATGCCGGAGAAAGTAACGGCGTTGCCATGTGATTCCAACCCGTTTTATCTTGTGACTTGCCCTGAATCAATCACAATGGAACGTCCAAGTTGATTCTCTGAACTACATATAAGCGGAGACTTGAAGTATCAATAGAGATTAATTAATCCAAGGTGTTTACACGCATCCCCCAAGGATATGAATTTGCTGGGGGTGATTCCCGCTCACGTGATATCGCCAAAACTTACCTAATTCCCTCGACGAATGCTGAATCTCACGACATTCACAACCTCTCATCCACTTCACAACATGTCCTCCTACACTTCATCAAAGTCAATCACTTCGTCACCTCAAACCATGTACCCATTCACTAATCTTCCTCCCGAAATACGCGCCCAAATCTGGCACCTTGCCGCCCAGCTTCCCCTCACCCTCGACCTCTGGCGCCTCCCCATCGGAACGCCCTCCTTCCATGCCACATACCCTAACCAACAACCAAACTTCGTAAACACCTACAGATTCTGCACCACACGCCGCGTCCCCTCTCTTCTGCATGTGAACAAGGAATCCCGCGCCATCGCGCTGCAGCATTACGTCCTGGCATTCGGATGCACGAACATCGTAGATGAGGATCAGGGCATCACGATGACCGCCCCGGCAAGAACTTATGTGAACTGGAGAATGGATACAATACTCTTTTTGGGAGCGAGAGGTGATGATGCTATCCCTGATGCTTTGACAAGTGATGTCCCAGCAGAAGGAGCCTCGATCGCTATCGAGGTCTCATGGATGGCTTACCCCCTCGAGTTGACTGAAGTCAACGCGATTTCTGGGAATGATAGGATCAGAGAGGTCATTTTCTACAATAGCGAATTGCCGGAGGGCATGCAATTGGCTTTTGAGTTGTTCGATCGATCGAAAAAGAGACCGAAAAGCATTGAGTTTGTGGAATTAGAGGATGGGGAGGAGCAGCGGCGGGAGTTGCTTTTCATGTTCGCCAAGGAAGAACTTGAATTCCAATTTCAGCGGCTGGAGGAAATAGTAGAAGCGGATTATTGGTTGGATGATGTCACTTTGGAAGAGGGGCAGGAGAGACAGGAGGCTTTGAAAGGGATTCAAATGAGGCTAGTGGTGAGGTTTGGGAAGTTGTTGATCGATGGAAAGTCGTGCAGAGAGTCAGGTGTATGGAACTTGGCAGATTCGGTCTCTCCTTAGTCAGTCACTCCTGTAGGGGCCAGAGTCGTCAATAATTTGACCGAAGGATATTTTTCTCAATCAACAATTATCTTGTCCTGTTCATAACATAGCAGCTATTATAATCAATATAATCCTCCACCCTTGCATGTGCAACACGTGACCCCCGCTGCTACCTTGCGACTAATGTGACTATAACATCTGCTACCTGTCTACGGCCGAGCTCTTAACCCCATCTCATTGATCGGGAACCGTCTTATAGACATCAATGACATCTGGGACACCTGCTTCGAGGACATTTCTAGTCTCATCCCAGATACGCTGCTGCAATCTGCGCCCACTCTGCTTCTCCATGAAGTTCGGATACCTAGACGTTTATGTTCAGTAAGGCTCAATCATATTGAACTAATAAACACGGCAAAAATCTGACTTACGGCCACAGATCATAATCCAAGAGAATCCCGCCATGTGACTGGTCGGTGGAACAGGCTGCATTGACCAGCACCTTGGCGCCACTCTCAACATCCCTCGCTGATATTGCCATGATCAATCGAGGGATAAACATGTTTCGGTTGGGGTCAGTTAGTGGAGTCCATGCAGCGCCAGGATCGGCAGAATTCACTGTCACTTGAAGGCCTTGCGCTTTGGAGACCCGTGACGCTAGCTCACGTGTAAAATACAAGAGGAGACCTTTGGATCGTCCGTATTGGTTAGCTTGCATCATACCGTCCTTGTTGTTGCTCAGATGCTTGAGATACGATCCGCTCTTGGGCGCTCCCATAAAGGGTGAGGCTGGATAGAGTCCGAAAGTCGTGACGAAGGTTAATACTGGTGCTTCGGGATTTGATGGCGATGACTTGAGGCTGGGGAGGAGAAGGAGGGCCAGAAGAGCTGTGCTCAAATAATTGACCTGGATCGCTAAGACTCATGTTAGCACTTCATTCGAATGAGCTGACTGTTGCTTGGTTTTGGTACTAACATGTTTCCCATCCCTCGGGGGACTCCTGCCGCTTGAAAGACAGTATCCCAGCAACCAACAAAACGCCATCAAGGCTTTTGAGCGCTCGCGCCCTCTTAGCAAACTCCCGACAGCTCTGGTAAGACATCATATCGACATGCCAGACCTGAATGTCGGGCTTGTTTGTCGCTGTCGTCTCTACTTCGATACGCTGCTTCACTCCCGTGCAATCCCTGACATCCGCGAGGATGAGCCTCTCAACACCGAGGTCGGCAATCATCTTAGCGGCCCTGGAGCCAAACGCGCCGTTCGCGCCTGTGATCAAGATCGTCTTGCCTTTGAAGGATTTGGTAGGGGCGGCGAGCTTGGCATTCTTCTGTTTGCGAATCATCCACCATGGGAAAATCTCTGCCAATAGATGACGCAAGGCTAGAGCGATGATGCTAACAACAATTGCGATAACAGCACCAATGAGTTGCCAATTGGGAGGCGCCATCTTCAATAGCGGTTCGGCGGCTCTGCTGCTCTGCTGCTTTGCGATTCTTTGCGTTGTTTATTTCATGATCTTCAGTGTGGTCTGGAAAACCTTCTCACACAAGGTTACATCAGTGTTGGTTGGCTGCTCAAGCGAGTGAACGCCTCGTTACATGGCTTTCAACAACCGTCAGCTCGTAAAAGTCCACCAGCAAACGTGATGTCAAATGAGGAGTTCCTTACGAACCGAGAGATTTCCCCGCACGCCGTCTAAAAATAGATTCTCATTTGACTTTCATGCACAGAGCTTTTCTCCAGTTGGTTGACACCCCGCAGTCACGTGCCCAGACTGCAAATTCCAGCCTCCATTCTTCAATATGTTTAATCAAATGTCGACGGGAGGACATTGGAATTAATTTGAGATTATTGAGCGCTTGCGGGTCGAAGTCAACAAGTGGTAGCAAGAACGAAGATCAAAAGAATCCCTCGTCCTTTTTGGGTAGCAGACTTCTTCTTGTATGATAACAGCTTCTTCTTCATTTGCGACGGTGGGAGATGTTCTGAGGAGGACGAGGAGAAACAGCGTGAGGCGTACCATCTCACCGAATATGAAGATAAACTCGAGTTGATGCGTCTCCTGGACCTAAAGTCCTTACTGTCAATTACGAAAGCTGTAGCCAAGCAACGTCGCGTTACACGTCCGCCATATATATACTACCTCTTGCCGATGACAGTGAGGACAAGACTCAGAGTCCGAGGGATATTGTAATGATGTTGTATGGAGGAATTTCGAGAAGGGGCAAAACTGGCGTTTAGACGAGAAGGCGAAACGAGGTGGAGTACAGACCCTGGAGGTTAATGCCGACGTAGCCAGCATGGGAGTAATAGTGGAGTTCATTTTAGATAGACTAGAGGGAGGAATAGCAAGTGGAGAGACAGAAAGAGCAGTTCAGGCGAGGTAGTTAGGGATTTGATGTTGGGCCGATCATGCAGACCAGGCAGCAAGAAGCGAAGAATGCAGCCTTACAAATATTTGACAACTGATCGGTGAGTATTCGGTGCGAGAGAATGTCATTTCGTTGCGTGAGATCTTACATTAATCGGCGCCATATTGGAGACGAGAATTGTGAGCCAGTTCTGAGACACACCATAATATAGCGCGTGAAGGGCACTGCTCTGTCAGAGAATGCATCTCATCAATGTCGTCTGTGGTCGCTTTGTATTCTCTCTCTCATCTCTTGTCGCCTTCGGCTTTGCTCGATACTCGTTGCTGTTCCAACTTCTGATCAATCTATATCTGGTGAATCAGAGGCACGCAGTGATGAAGGACTTTCTGTATTCGACGAAGAGGACCAGTGAAAATCGATACCTTCCTCCAGTTCCCGTAGCATAGCATCGTACTTCGGTTGCAATTTCTGATCGTTTCCGGTCCACGGTTGAACAACCCAAATGCAAGTCAGGTCGACGTTTGATAAACTTCGTAAAGGATCCATGATACCAGACTCTATGAATATCTCAACAGCTCTTGTGTGAACAGTCATGAAGTAAACGTCAGGCAGGTTATCGTCAGCGGTGTAAGGATATGTGAGATTAATGTCGTCTGCTGGGTCGACGGAAACTTCCAGTAAGATTTCGAGACACGTCACCCTTGGGGAGTTGCATATGATCTCTGCAAGATCGCGGAAGATGTTGGTTTGGCGGAGGAAGTCCTGGAATTTGACACAGTCTTCGGAAGCAATCTTCAGGTCAGGATCAATGGATAATTGTGGACATCCAGCGAGGTCTTCAGGGTTGCAGTTGAACTCTAATTCGAGGCTGATATGTTTGAACCTGGAGAATACATGTGGCTCCATCTTGCCATCCATTTCAGGTGTGTTGTAAATTCTCCCGTTATGGGGACCTAGTACTCCGGTCCCAGCAAGGGGGTTGTGTCTCCAAACACCCCGGTTGGGAGCAGATGTATCCTCCAAATTTGATCGCAGACAGACGATGTCTCCGGGGGTCAGGACGACGATGAGCTCGGAGTACATGAGAGATGAAGCCTCGGAATATATTTGACGATTGGAGCGCAGGATCTCAGTCGGTAGTGGCGTTCTTGTGCTCTCCAACTCGATACCAGGGTAAACCTGCTTGGGAGTGAGGGTTCGGGAATCTTCCGGTTCAAAGAGACACCGATAGATCATGCACCTGATTTCTACGCCCATTAATTAGTCGCAACAAAGCAGCCTTGGGATTAGTTCTTTGTACCTGGTGGGAGACGCAAGAAATGGCAGACTGGGGGTGAAGGCTTGGACAGTCCCTTGTTTTTGCAGGCCCTCGGTGGCAGCACCCATCTGGGGGCACGAAGCATCGTACTTCGCCTCGCTCGAGATGCCATCGCAGTTGAAGTCGATTGAGAGGATCTCGCATTCTGGCCTATCTCCGGCGTAGTGATGAGGTTGAGGAGGGAAGACGAAACAGTCGCGATAACGCGACAATTTGGTGTTTGAAATTCGGCAGTCACTAGTTCTACCCCGCGTTTAGCGGCGATTTTAGCGAGCGTTAGCGTCCTCACCCCTGAATTCTTTCCCCGATTTTCACAGCGCCTTCTCCTTTTTTCAACAACACCAACACTCCACTCCATCTCTGTGTGCCACGACTCTGTTGAGGTGAGAACGTTTGGTAGGATATTCGGTTTCCCTGATCCTTCTAAGTAGAATACCGGGGTGGTTCTGCATGTGAATTAGTAAGAGTGGTCCTTGCATTTTCTTGTACGAGCACGCGAGTTCATGGAGCATCCCTCAATTCAAAATGACGATCAACTCATTGTTCTTCCAATTCGTTGAGGAATTCCCACTTGCTGTTCTCATTGCTCAATTGTGCATTCCACATTTACTCGGAAGAGGTTCTCGAATACGCAAATAGCATCTGGGTCATGAAACTTGGTTGCTTCAATCCAGGATTTGGCAATTTGCTCCTCGCGGATCGGATACGGGACTGGGTGCTCGTGCATACAGATCGCTCACTAGCTCAACATGTGATACTCCCATATTACTTCTCTATGTTATTGGTTACTTGTTGTCTATATTCTTTGCCGCCAGCGGCTGGCGACCAGCGACCTCCAACTGTCCTCTTTGCCATTTACTCATGTCCCCACCACCATCACAGAGCCTTACAGTCTCTCCGCGGGTCCTGCCGCTGGCTCTACAGCTGGCTCTGGTGCTGGCCCTTCAGCGGGTGCTGCTGCCGGTGCCTCTGCAGGAGCTTTCGCTGACTCTGTCCCATTCTTCGGCGCGCTTGAGGAAACCCCTTGCAAAGCCCCAAGCAACGCTATCAGCCCATCTGCCCCGCCGCCTGAACCTGGTGCTACGGGTGCAGCAGCCGCTGCCGGTCCTTCAGCAGGTGCTTTGGCAGTTGCAGTACCGTTCTTCGAACCAGCAGAAGCACCTTGCAACGCACCAATCAAGGCAGCCAAACCACCGGCATTTCCGGTACCCTTGGGCTTCGCCCCGGACGTTGTCGAACTTTCTTTCGCACCCGTTGTGTTGCTCGCCCCATTGATATTTGTTCCACTTTGTATGATGGTAATCCCGGAGCTGCCTCCAATATTCGTAGTCTGGCCTTGGGAGTTGGTTGTGATGCCCGATTCGCCACCAACCTGGGTGCTCCCGTCATCGTTGACTGTGGCTATGTTAGGAAGTGCGTTGTTGACCAGTCGTGCAGTACGGCTCACCGATGATACCATTCTCTCCCTCGAGGATCACCTTCGGCAAGGCGTACGCAGACGCGCTTACTGCCACCATTAAACAGAGAAAAAATTTCATCTTAGAGGAAAGAAATATGCCCAGCAAAGTCTTATGGTTATTTTCAAAGACTTCCAAGTGACAAAAAATGAATGAACCAGCACTATTTCTACAAATTCCTCAAGTGAGGTCTCCCTCTTGTATTGACCGTTCGCAGCGATCCAAAAATATCCACTTTTTGACTTTTCTCTGACGCCTTGGACAGTCTTGTCGCTCCAGATCCTTAAAGCTTGGTCTAGGATCTGTGTTGGCAGTGCGGCGCATGGACTTGGCTTGGTCAAGTGGAACATGTTTTGGCTCAGAAAGTTCGCTTGTCTTCAGCCAAGGGGCCAAGTTCTTGAAGTTTCGAACACGATACACGTGATTTCACATGACCCTCTCACTTGATCGCCTGAAAAATGTGTTTAGGAGCAGAGGCAATTGTAAAGAGAATATGTTTGCGGGTTGTGGACAGTTACAGCTTGGTTTTCTCAGGTTGGCAAGCGCAGGACGGGACAAAGCCTCCCGACTGAGTGCAAAGGCCAAGTAATTATATGTTCAATGTGCTTCTCGACTGAACTTCTCTTACTTGACTTCCGTAGTACTGTTTGATCCCATCGGGGAACTATGCCAAGAGAATCGAGGTGATGATGATGGACTGAGTCTTACCAGAGAAAGGTAGCCGGTAGAAGACACCTCTATCAGATCCCCGCTGGCCAGTATCTACCGATCCAGTAGGATCCGAAATGGATCATTCGGATCCTAAATGCCATTTTGATGTCCGCTTCGCTACTCCGTTGAGGCCCCGAATCTCGCAGTGTGTCAACATAGGCCCTAGCCTTTAGACACTTGTTTATTTTCTTCAATATTCAAGTAATTCCAGTCAAGATTGATGTGAAGGGATTTCAAAATTTGATGTCGATTATTGCTTGTGCTAGGCAGCATACAACTCGAGCTGCATACATGCACGCGATAGGTCGATTGAACAACCTCGAGAGAAAGCTAGGGGTTTCTGTAAAAAGCACGCTAAAAACCACCTCACGTTCTGATGCTTCCTTTCCACCTTCCTCCCTTTTTCGATTTTCTCTGTTCTGTTTGTCTAACATTTTCAAACTAAAACGCTGACCAACAAACTCGATGTCAGAAATTGAGCCAGTTGAGCATGATGTCTCTTTCTTTGTAGCCAGACCGACTCTTTGGCTGGGAGCCTACCAAAAGTGTTCCCCAACCATGGCACTGCATTACCACCTGATACATGCTATTTGCTAGAGCTGCTCATAGATTAGGTTGTCCAATCTCGCCTTCAACTACTCCTGTCTTTTGCCTAACTGACCTAGCCAGGACTTCGCCTGATGGTCCACCAGCTCATCCCCATTCCACAACCAACCTTCTATTTCCTCGATCCTGAAATCCCAAAGGTGCTAGTCTTTATTTATTCAGCATTGAGTGAACCTTTCAAGTTCTAACAACTACTTCATACAGTAAACCTCCGCACAAGCCGTCTGAACAGTGCTGCTATTGTAGAGCAGTTGGAAGATAATATTGAGGCTAGAGGGCGGATGGACTAAATTGTACTAGAATTGTTTCACCAAGTCTATTGTTTCTCATATGGCTTGGAGAGCCCCGCACAAAATATACATGCAGCTCTACAAGTCATTGGGTCATGTAGCGAGGCAGATTGCCATGGCTGCAGGACATTAGCGTTGTGTGACCTCGCGCCCAACGAGGCTGGGCCTTGAGACCTTTTTCAACTTTCCATCCCTTTTCACCATCACCTCTCAAGTTGAGCTATCATTCCCATCTCACCACTTCCAGGGATCAACTCGCCGGCCCAAAATTCGTGAGAGAAACGATAGACGCATCGGGTACGTACGGCGGAGAGCGCCATGGCAGACATCAGCATGGCAGGCAGCGGCCTCGGCATGGCGTCGCTGGCCTTGCAAGTCGGAGACTATGTTATGCGGCTAAAATCGTTTTGGGACGCCGTCAAAGACGCACCAGAAGAAATTAAGCACCTGATCGACGAAATCGAGATGCTGAGCCTCGTGCTCTCGGACTTTGAAACCAGCGAATCCAGTGAACCAGAGCCGACGATCGGGCACGAGGCTACGTCCAGATGCTTTCAGTTCTGCAAGAAGGCTGTGGTGATTCTGGAAGCTGTGGCTAGACAGGTCGAGGCAGAGATTAAGAAGAGAAGGAGGGCCGGGAGTGTGAAAGCTGTCTTGAAGAAGAGTGAGATTGAGAAGTTGAGGGAGAGGTTGATGAAAGCGCAGTCGATGCTGATGCTTTCAAACAATATGTACCTTCTGTAAGTATTTAGATGTCATTCCAGTTTCTTGGGTTGTGTTTCTTGTCCGAGTGAGCTTACTGGTCATAGGGAACTCCAGAAACGCAATCAACAAGCCCATAATGACTGGGCCAAGGCTCACCAGCAGGAACTTCAGCAATTGAAGGTGATTGTTTCTCAATCCACAGAGATGATACTCTCTTCTGCGAGCTTCCAAATTCCGACTCAACGGTTATTGACGGCAGTTGAGACAATCCCTTCTTGTGAATCAAAGTCTTCGAGCGCAATTGGATCTCAAAATGCGAGACAGATGTCATCTTTTTGTTCTAAGAAAAAAAACAAGCTCAAAGCTCGAATTCAGACCCCAAAATGGTTGTTTAGTGTTTCTCGCGCCATTGAGATATACGAATCCCAAGCCACTGCGGGTTGGACTTTCAACATCCAGGTTTACAATGTGGTATCATACGACTCTCCGCAATTTTGCATGGCCAGAATTGGGGACGTTGTGGGAATTCAACATTTGTTTAGCACCGGACAAGCGTCGCCATTTGACAGAATTTCCGATGGAACGACTCTTCTTGATGTAAGTTACTCTCATGTTGAGCAGAATTGCCGTAGTGGTTTAACCGACGTTGAGTAGAGGGCAGCATTATTCCACGAGCTGGAGTTTTGCCGGTTATTGATGAATGAAGGTGCAGATCCTAACATTTCTTCGTCTGGGTAAGTGAACATGAACGAGATTTCGAGATTTCTTTAACGGATTGCAGGACTGCTCTGGTCGCAGCTTGCTGGGGGGGCAAAGGTGATCCCTGTAGTCGCGGTACTGTCAATGATCTAATTCAGCTCCTGTCTCAAGATGTGGAACTTCTCGATCCATTTGAAGAAACCTTTAAGAACAGAAAATGGTCCTGTTTCAACGGCAATACGGAGACCTTTGCTTGGCTTCTACAGGCCTCAAACTCCACACATCAAAAACGAAGTCTGGAGGAGTGCGTCACCTTCGCGATTGCAGTCTGCAGTTGTGATACCCTGGATATGTGGGGAAAGATGCGAGTGATTCTTAATTGCAGAGAGATAGACAAGGATCTATGCGGTATCGTCGATAGGAAGGATGAGAATACGCTTCTCCATTGTGCTGCTCGGAATCTGGGTTTTCTATTTACAAGAAGATTTGGAGATCAGGAAGCGGTCCGAAAAAATCTACACAATCTAGGCACTCTTATAAGGGACCTAGTGAATGGCGGGTCCAATTTACATTCTCTCACACTCTTGGGCTTCTCGCCGATGCTTGAAGTTCTAAGCGGCTTTTTATGCTACTATCGTGGGTATCCAGATGGCTTGACAGCTGGTAATGGAGATAGTGAGCCTTTAAAATTCTGGTTAAAGGAGCTCCAGGATTCTGGAGTGGACTTGGAAAGATACGGAAGAGAAGAAAAACTCCTTCTGAGAACAGAAAGCGTGGCTAGAGAATGGGTGTATCACTCCAAACCCAATAGAACGAATGGCTGGATTTTCGTGAGGGGAAAGCTACGTTTGATCAATTTTACCTACGGTTCAGAGTTAGATGACTGGAAGTTCTGGTTGGCACCGGTTATGCCGAATTACTTCATGGATTTCTGGGAGATGATCGGACACCCAGAGAGGGCTATGCCTGGTTCTTGGGAAGAGGAGTACTATCGTGGCTACTATTATGGTCATAATGACTAATTCAGCGAGAGAGAAATCCCAAAACGAAAGAAACGCAGAGCGTATCGGGTCAACACTGATCCGGTCAAAACCAACAAAGTTCCGAACCTTGCCTCAATCATTGAAACGAAAGCTCCATCTCTCTCCCCTTTCCCTCTCTCCAAGCCATCAGCCTCCCCTCATAAATCTCCAACCACTTCACAATGATCATCAAAACAACCTCGAACCTAGCGCCAACTGCAGTCCGCCCACAAATTCAATTCCCACAAACATCACATTCACATCACACGGTCACCCCGGAGTAATATTGAGAACAAACAACATATTGACAATTTAATCCAACACTAATTCAATCAAACCAAACAATATAATACTCCAACCCTCCCCTCCCCTCATGCAAAAGCAAAAACTCCAGCATCATATGTATCCATGCTTCCTCCCTTCCCCAATCCAAACCAAACCGAGAACTCAAACGTTCTCACCCCATACATACCTCATTCACAACAATTCAACGAGTTATCTAGAAAAGTTGCCCTCTAGCAAGCGGACTCCCAACCTTCGGCGCAAACTGCAGACTCTTCCTCCTCGCAGCCATAAGCCGCACCATAACGCTCTCATCCTTCTTCTCCTCCAACCATCCCATCTCGCCTCCTGATCCTAGGTATCCCTTTCCACCCTCGAATCCGAGAGCTTGCTCGCCTTGCTCACGGTCAACATACCGTCCACCAGCAGGAGCAGTTTTCTGCACAAGCTGCTCTTTGTGGAGGAAGTAAGGAGTTTGTCCACCTGGTGTCTCGGCTTCGTTCCCGTAGAGACCTGCTTCGGTGTACATTGAAGACAATGTTTCTGATGCAGGGGTTGCAGGGACGGGACTCAAGATCAGAGTCTGATCGTGGGACTCCGCCTCAGGCGTAGATGAGCTCGGTGAGCGCACCCATTCAACTGTCTCTCGGCGGCCTTTCTTGCTTGAGAAGTTCAAGCCGGGTGTATCTGGGAGGCTGAGGAACTCTTTGGTTGGAGACATGGACATGCGGCCAGGAGTAGAGGGGACGAGGGTGCCGTTAAGGTTGGCGAGGGCGCGGGGCTCCATGCTCTTTCTGCGGCGGTGGCCGCCCCGAGGGACCATGGCTGTGTCGACAAGGTATGGTGCCTCGTCGAGCCATTTGTTTTCTCTCTCACAGCTGCAAATATGTTAGTCATTTAATGCAAACGGGTTAGGAGGACGTACTCAAGAACCCATCCAACACCAACACAGGAGACGACGCCGTTGGTCTCCTTTACCTTTTCCAAAGTACGTTTTCCGCCGTCCTTGAACACGACGTGAGTAATGCCAATCTTGTTTGAGCCTTCATCACCGTTGCCATTCCAGTCCCAGCGCTTGACACATCGAGCGCCCATTTGGGTGAGAAGCTCAGTAAAGAGTGTGCTGGCGTCAGCACCTTCGGTTGTATGGACATCCACGAAGACAACTGCTCCTTTCAACAGAGCAGTGTTGAGGTCGCGGCGAGGAGTACGGGCTGGTGTACCCATTGTTGACCAGGTAGTCATCTCGGGCTTGGAAGGTGTTGCGATTGTGTCTTGCATCACAACATCCAGCGACTGTTCCTTGAATGTGACGCGGGCTGTACTCTTGGTTGGCGAGTATGAAATGACTGTGTTGCTGCGGGCGAGATTGCTTGTTGGTCTCTGAACAGGCAGCCTAGAGATACTAGCACTGCGCTTCATTGATGAAGGCCGCATAGGAGTAACATCTGTAGGAGCCTTGAGAGGGACCTTGGAAACCGTGTGGAAGACTCTCTCTGTTAGCACACGCTTGGGAGTCGCATATACTGGAGCCGGTGGTTGAGGCGCTGAAAGTGCGAGAAGTGCTGGGTCGATGGGAATAGCATTTTCATCACCATACTCTTGACTAGCCTCTGACAGAGCAGGCTCGGTGGGCATTTCTTCGACAATTTCAGTCTCAATTGTCTCTCCCTCAACGGTTGGTTCGGGCTCAAACATCTCTTCCGAAACATGGTTGAGAATCTCGTCAGGCTCAAGAAGCGACATCTCGTCAGCCTCATGGGCAAGAGCCAAGTCTTCCTCGTCAGGTTCCACGGCCTCGAAGTTCTCTTGGATAATATCAGGCTCAACGGACGCTGGCTCTGGTGCCGCGACAAACTCATCACGAACAACCATCTCATCCTCAAAGAACGTGCTCTTGGCCGGAGAGGGTTCAACAGGCGCAAAAGTCCGCTGAGCGACTGGCGTCCTCTCACCATCCGAACCACTATCAGACTTCTCTGGGCTTCCAGCCATCCAGTTAGTCAACTGTGCTGCAAGAGGAGTAAATCCAATCTTTTGTTGACGCACAGAGCGCTGGGTTGTGGCTGTTCTCGGTGTCTTCGTCATACCGGAAAATGGGGTGGGCGTAGCTGGTGAAGCTGACAATCCTCGAGAAATGTTTTGGAAACCAGTAAGTGGAGCTGGCGAGAATCTCGGGGATCCAGATGCGAGTTCATCTTCGGAGTCTGAGTCTTGGAATGGATTCTCATCTTCTTGGCGGAGACCAAAAGTACCTGTGCTATGGCGTGGAGGTGAGACTGGAGGAGTGGTGCTCTGTGAGTCCATAGGATCTTCAACGACGATTGAGTGTGCAGGGTCATCAACCACCACGGTTTCGGTAAGAGGCTCAGCTTCAGGGATAATTGACATTTCGGTTGCCTCCTCAACAATTGATTCAGATGTTGTGAATGATGGGTCAACATCGCGGGGCATTATAGATGAAAGTCGTCCAGAGAATGAGAGGCTAGGCTGAACTGTCAAGGTTGAATCGATATCATTGGCAGAAGCTCCAGGACTTCCCGTAGACGAAGTCCCTCGAGCACTTGGTGGAAGCATCTGGCCGGGTTGTGCAGCACTCTTTGTCAAAGTTCGTGGAGTTGCAAATCTCGAGATCTTGAATGTGCTTGCCTTGGGTGTTGCATTGAAGACGGACGTTGTAGGCCTGCTTGGAGAACCATTCTCTGCGACTTTCGTGGGTGATTGTGGGCGTCTCGCTGGCGATCCGAGCAGTGAGGCCTTGAATGGTGAGTTCGCCGCTGTAGACTTCGGCGGTGGGAAGGAGGGCTTGAATGGCGATTGAAGCATTGAGCCACCCAATGGAACTCGTTGGGGAGATGCCTTCATCGACTCCTTGAAGGGCGATTGTAGTGGACGACGGGCAGGACTGCCCATAACTGAGCTGGAAAGGTCTTGTATGGTGACCCGATTAACAGTGGTAGAACTAGAAAAGTCCGGCTTCTTTGCAGTTCCGAAAATGCTTCCCGGAGGCTTCATCGGACTCTTCGAGAGAGGTTTCATGGGTGTCTTCTCGTTCGAAGCAAGCTCGTCCTCTGAGACTGATTCCTTGGCGGTCGCAATTTGTGTAGTTTTCTTTGGACTGAGAGGAGATTGTCTCTCGGGCTTCTCTTCAGCGAGAGTCTTCGCTCTCCCACGAGTAGCTCGAGTTGTGGTGGCTGCGGGCTTGCGGACAGGCTTGGCACGAAGGCCGGTCTCTGGCTTACCCTTTGCATTGATCTCCTGTGGGACGATGTTCTCCTTGTCTGGTTCCTCGAATGTGACTGTCTTCTTGGGAGCGGCCCTGGGTGCAGCACGAGCGCGGGGAGCTCTCTTGGGCGGCTCTTCGACGACAACAACGGATTGTTCTTCGGGGACGTCGACTTTCTTCGCACGTCCTCGTGTAGATCGTGTAGGCTCGGGCGCAGGCGTTTCGATGGCAGCCTTCTTCGGCCGGCCTCTGCTTGTCTTGACTGGAGCTAGAGTTTCCCCCTCCATTTCTAGCTCAGGTTCAGGTTCAGGCTCAGGCTTGACAACCTTCTTGGCTCGGCCTCGAGTAGGCTTTGGTTCTGGTTCGATTATGGGTTCAGGGTCGGGTTGTTCTTCGTCTTCGTGGATATCGTCGGCTCGGGTCTTTCGCTTGGTCATAGGTGCACTTCGAGTAGCTTTGGCCTTCGAAGCCGCAGTCGCGATCTTGGTGGTTTTAGGAGCGGTGTCTGTTGTTTTGGCCGCCGCTCGGGCGCGTGTAACTCGCTTTGGTGGGGATTGGTCGTTCATGGTGATTGAATTGAATGGAAATACAATTGTCGATTTACATTGACGCGATGGTGGTTGTTGTTGGGCGATGTCGAAGTCTTCGGTTGTGTTTATCAGAAGAGTCGGTTGTTTGTTGACTTGCTGCGTCTTGGAAATGCCGCTCAGCCGAGTTGCCATGCCAACACCAGCGTCCCACGCCACGAGGCGTGTCTATCTCACGTGGATTTGTACCCCAATCAAGATTCAAAATTGAATAGTTCATGCACGACATTCTCTTTTCAGTAGATCATGAAGATCGGAATCTGGCAATCCTATCATTTTTTTCAGCCCTGGACATCCCAACGCGAAGTCTGGTCACATGCTCACGCCTTCATCCACCACAGTGTTCAACGTCACAACATCGACCACTTACACCCCATATTACACCCTCATCACAAGGAGCATTACTCTACGGTGGCCGTGGCCATTGAGAAGATTTGGTTCCTTCCCTTGCCTCAAATTTCAAGCTGCTTGGCTAATTATCCGAAAGACATCCTGATAAGCGCCGGATTCCGAAGACATTAATGTGAGATTAGCCTGTGAGCGATCGTCCCTTCGTGGCACTTCTACCTCTTCATGTAGGATTGGCAGGCTCTAATTTTGTACTCTACCATGGCGTGGTGACTCAGCTGCCTCCCCCAACTTCTACGATGGTACCCATCAGACGGATGCCGGCTGTTCCAGGACCCGAAGGGAAATCCTTTGTCCGATGTCCATTATAACACCGAGTCTACAATCCGATGCTGGTAGTGCATACCGAGCATATCCCAGCAAGGCAATTCTACGGATCTCTGCTCCTCCAATTGATATCCAGTTCGATGGGTGTTCTGCTGATCACGTGCCTGTTGCGAGTTTCAGTTTCATTGTCCGAAGTTTCCGGGCAGGGATAGCTTACAGCTGCAGCGAAGAGGGGCCTATTTTGCCGCCAGCGCTTCCTTTTCTCTCTCAGCTGGCTGCTCGTATACTCGTACACTACGAGAAGACGTCTCTACTGGATGGATTTTGCGGCGATCTTGCTTGTCAACTTTCGCTCTTTCGTCGTGCTCTGGCTATCGGATGCTTCTCCGAATGCAGCCACACACGATGCGCCGTCGATCATCATGGTTGCCACATGCCTCTAACTAGGCTTGGCACGCTGTACTGGACCACATGTCAAACTTTCCTCTAGAGGGCTGCGCCTTGTACGAATGCATAATAATGCATGCATAAGTCCAGTATCTTTTAAAAAAATGCAGCTCCTCCCGAGTACGCTCCTGTAAGAAAGGTGAGCGAGGAGTAGGCTGAATCGAGCTAGCCGTTTGCCTCTCATCACTGGATTACCTCATACAGCCGTGTGAGCGAGCTGGCTTGACCAGCAAGTCAGAAATTAATTATTTCCCTTTGTCAATTCCGATCGATCTATCCGCCCTTCCCTTTATCTCGCAACGTCAAACTCACGAAGATCAGATCACTTGTGTGTTGTCTGACTTGTGTTGCTGTTGTCCGACCACCCTTACCCAATTAGTCAGGGGGCAGCTGGCGATCTCCCGCCGAGGATTGGCTCCGTCATTACACACCTTTGATTCCTTTGCTGGCGTCATAGGGGACCATTCACGCCGTCAACGTCGTAGATTCAAATACCTCCCTCACTCCCTCCCCGTCTGCTTCATTTCAAGTGAATTGAGGTTGGGGGATTCATACGCAATCTTCTTGCTTCACTGTTTTCGAGGTTCTGGCAGACTCCTCACCTCACAATGAAGTCCCTTGCGTTGGTTTCAGCGAGCATTGCATCATTTGCTCTGTGCAGTGGTAACTAATCTCCCCAAAGAATGTTCAATTATACTGACACTCCAAGCAAAAACAATTACTCTCCCTCGGGATGCATCACCGCAAGTCCTCGCAGCTGAGGCTCTCGCGGGACCCATGGCGGCAGTTAAGCGTGCATTCCCAAACTCACCGTCAGGAGGATATGCACCAAAACAAGTCGATTGCCCAGCAAATAGACCAACAATCAGAGAAGCAACCTCTCTCTCACCAAACGAGACAGCATGGCTCGAATTGCGAAGGAACCACACTCTCGATCCCATGACTTCATGGCTCTCGCGAATGAACATCTCCAACTTTGATGCAACTTCGTACATGAATGGCATCAGAAATAATGTCTCTGCCCTGCCAAACATCGGCCTTGCAGTCTCGGGAGGTGGATATCGAGCCTTGATGAACGGAGCAGGTTTCCTCGCAGCAGCCGACAACCGCACCAACAACGCCACGAATCGAGGGCAAATCGGCGGGCTCCTTCAATCCGCAACCTACGTGGCCGGGTTATCAGGAGGAGGATGGCTCGTCGGCTCGATCTACACCAACAACTTCAGCAGTGTGCAAGATCTGCGTGACGGGTCCAAGGGGTCCTCAGTCTGGCAATTCGGCAACAGCATTTTCGAAGGGCCTGCTTCAAACGGGATCCAAATCCTATCCACAGCCAACTACTTCTCCACAATCCAAGACGAAGTCTCCTCGAAAGAAGATGCCGGCTACAACACCTCCATCACGGACTACTGGGGCCGCGCGCTCTCCTACCAGCTTGTAAACGCCACCAACGGAGGCCCGTCCTACACCTTCAGTTCCATCGCCTTAGAACCCAACTTCCAATCCGGTAGCATCCCCATGCCCTTCCTCGTATCCGACGGCCGTGCCCCAGGCACATCAATCGTGTCCCTCAACTCGACCGTCTACGAATTCAGTCCCTTCGAACTCGGCTCCTGGGATCCAACCACCTATGCGTTCGCGCCACTGCAATACGTCGGCTCGAACTTCTCCGCCGGGTTAGTACCAAGCGATGGCTCCTGCGTTGAAGGCTTCGACCAAGCCGGCTTCGTAATGGGCACCTCCTCCACGCTCTTCAACCAGTTCCTCCTCCAAATAAACACCACTGCCATTCCACAAACCCTAAGAGACATCTTCACGCGGCTGCTCACAGACCTGGGCGAAGACAGCAACGACATCGCGCAATGGCAACCCAACCCTTTCTACAAATACAACAACGCCACGAACCGGAACGCTGAATCGCAACAACTCACCTTAGTAGATGGCGGCGAAGACGGACAGAACATCCCCCTTTATCCATTGCTCCAGCCGATGAGGAACGTCGATGTCATCTTTGCTGTCGATTCAAGTGCGGACACGACATATAACTGGCCGAACGGGACCTCCCTCGTCGCTACGTACCAGAGGAGCCTGAACAACACCATTGAGAACGGGACAGCGTTCCCTTCTATACCTGACCAGAACACCTTCGTGAATCTCGGGCTGAACAATAGGCCGACATTTTTCGGGTGCAATGCGAGTAATTTGACGGGTCCTGCGCCGTTGGTTGTTTATTTACCAAATGCGCCTTACATCGCCTTCTCGAATGTGTCGACTTTTGATCCGGAGTACAACGACACTCAGAGAAACGCGATAATCCGAAATGGGTATGAGGTTGCTACTCTTGCCAACGGGACACTTGACGCTCAATGGCCTGCTTGTATGGCGTGTGCCGTTCTCTCAAGGTCGTTCGATAGAACAGGCACTACAGTACCTGATGAGTGCACGCAATGCTTCAATCGCTACTGCTGGAACGGAACAGTCGATTCAACTCCTGTTGAAGGGAATTACACCCCAGCATTCAAAGCTGGGGAGGTCAATCTCAGCGCTGCTTCGAGTGTTAGTAGAACGGTCACAATGTCTGTGTCCGTCTCTGCGATGGCAGCTACAGTGTTGATGCTTTAATCAGTTCTCGTGATCTGAATGATAAGGAGATAGGTAGATGATTTGTTCTTGTGTATATTTTGGGGTAAAAAGAAAAGTTTCTATACATATTGCTTGCATGTCAGGGGATATGTGGTGGGGTGGGCTAGATGGTGGGCAGGGGTGTTTGGGCGGCATTTGCATTGTATTTGCATTGTATTAAAAGGTTGGGGGAATCGCGAGATTTACGACTCATGTTATGTTTAAGAAATGATAAAAGTACTCAAAGCCCTGGTGTCTTGGCTTTGTGAGGCAATCAGAAGTAGCAGCTTGGTATTCTCGGAACTCGATTATGTGCATTGGGCAACTCAACTACTTGGAGGTGAGATACTCTGCATGTGTACTTCCCAAACCATACACAATTACTCACCTCATTTGGGAAGTTATACTAATAAGTAATAACAGTACGAGTCTGTTATTTTTAAATTTTACAGCGTCTACCGTTCCATTGTAGCTATGAGATATGTCCCAGACCTGTTAGAGGAGGAAACCCCGTTCGCGCAGATTCCTGTGCAGACCGATTCTAGGCGAGGTCCAGCCACGACAGATACCAACATGGACTGCGCAACCGCTGCTAGCGAACCAAACGAAAAACGAATGAATAAGCGCGAACTAACCTTAAGACTTTTGTTATTTCAGTCACTTTTTTCTAGGGGTGCAGGTGGGGGCCATAACCGAGGAGCTGGATGGGTCAGCACTTGTACAGGCCCGTCTGTAAGATGTCACACCTCCTTCCTATACAGAGTTGATTATTGGCGAAACACTTGGTAAGTACTCGCTTTGTTCAAGAGTATGAAACTCTTGGCAAAATATGCCGGTTTTCCCAGGGGATTTGACCAACGGGAGAAGCTCAATCGCGCCCAAATACGCCCGAAATACCTGTGCAGTTGGGATTTTTCTAGAAATCGAGAGATTTAAGATTAGAACACCGCTGGTTATCTACGAGGACGGCTAATGAGAACAGTCCCTTGCGCTATTATTGAGAACCTTCTGGAAATATTGCGAAGAGTTTTAAATACTTGAATAAAGCGAGTAATGACGTGGCTGTGTCGGTCTCGCGTTCTACACCAGTAGAAGCAACCCCATCGTATAGATCATGTTTATGCGTCAGTGGATGCACCCACTAAAAAGGGGCAGTGTGTCAAAAAGGTATTCAAGGTATTAAAGGTATTCATGAATATTCATGAATATCTTGAATAGAATATGAGTAGCGTAATTCTCAAAAAATTAGAGTAGAGTAGAATATATATTCATGAATATTCATGAATACTGGTAATTACTGGTCGCGTGACTATTAAAAAACAAGGTTTACTTAATAATTATTAAATAACTAAGGCGCTTATTAGTAGCTCTATCTAGACTAAGCTAAGGCTTATATAATATTAGCCAAGTACTAATTTTCTATAATAATAAACTAATTATTCTCCTCGGAATCTTGTACTTTAGTTCGCTTACCAAGCCTCGCCATCGCCTAATTGGGTGGTGAGGTGGCGCTAGAGCGGGAGCGGGCGGAAGCTTTACCTAATATAGCTAGCTCCTCACGTGCAAAATCACGTGCGCACTACTCAAAGTATTCATGAATATTCATGAATACCTTGATTAGAATATGAATAGAATATGAGTAGTGGGTAAATTTTGATGAATAGAATAGAGTAGTAGCCACTACTCTATTCTATTCTATTCATTTGACACACTGAAAAGGGGTACAAAATGAATATGAGCGCTTACATTTTTACATTAAAGAGCTCAGTCTTCCCTCTTAGAAATCTAGCTTTTGCATTTGCTGTACGCTGGGTATCGGGACCAAATAGAAAAGACTTTTTGGGTACGTTCAGTGTCGTCTCTAAGCAAATTCCAAACCAACACCCTTTCTGACTTAACATTAGCAGTTCATCAGTGCAACCCATCATTACGACTACTGCTACCGATTCTCATAATGCCCTTCCCTCCAGACCCGCTTGTACTACACGGCGGTTGCAACTGCACGGCTGTGCGTTGGCGCATGTCACTCCCTAACGCCAGCCAGAGGGCGGCCAATCCTTATCACACACCGGGAACGGATATAGGGGATGTCCGCCTCCCGACGGCGGTTGTCTGTCACTGCGACGGCTGCCGGCAGGCTACGGGCTCCCTCGGCGCTTATGGGTTCACCTCGGACATGGCACTGCTCGAACTGTCTATCCTTCTAAGGGCTTCAATGCCTGATTGGGAGAAGAGCAAAGATGACGAGACGCGACCACCATTTGTCCCCGCCGCCAGCCTGATGGATGAACCCACCGTGGCCGGCCTCGATAACCTATGGTTGATGCACTATGAGTCCTCGCCGAAACGAGACAGGTGGTTCTGTGGACGGTGCGGCACCCAGATCGCCATTGCTGCCTCCAAGGATGCCATCCCCGCCGAGTGGGGATGGCCTCGGGTGGTGAATATTTGGGCGGGCACAACGGATCGCAACCTGCTCGAGAATGACTGGTGCCGGCCGGGTCATATCATGGATTGCTCGATCGCTATCCCTTGGGTCAGGGACTATGTCAAGAACGGTGCGAAGGATGCTCAGGAGCACCCTTTCATCATGATTGATTGGCACATGACGGATGATTTCCAGCCTCACATCGAGATGCTGAACCAGATGGGGATGAACTTAAACGTTACAATGTGGAACTGAACGCTAGATTGAATAGAGGTTAAGAGTTTGATTTGAGAGTAGTTGCACAAATTAACCAAAAAAAAAAATTGATGAAAAGTCACAATATAACATATTACAAGTTTAGAGACCAGAGAGAATATATAAGAGAAAAGAGAGCGCTTGTAAGTAGGAGGTCTTATAGGGCCCTTTAGTGATCAAGCCCCTATACTTGCAGGGGCATACCCTAGAATTGTCTTTTAATCCCTGAAACTACTTACAAGACTTAAGCCTATGGCCTTAATAAACCTCGCTTTTACAGGGGCAGGTAGTCGCATGACTTTATGCCGGAATATTCATATAGCTAAATACTATTACTCAACTTAGGCCCAGAGAACGAAGCAGGGTATTGCCCCGTTTTGTTACTCGCTTCCGAGATAAGCCGAGATTCGGAGTGTAATAATAGCTTAAATAAAGTCTCACTTATTCTTTTTAACTTACTTTTCTATTACCTTTCTCATGGGCATAGAAATAGATTATAAATTCGTGTTATTTCCTCTAACTCCATTGAAAGTAGAAAAGACATTCATTTGCCAAAGAAGTAAACGCCCCAATATCCATAATAACACCTTCCTAGAGTCGATCGCTCGAGAACCTATACAAGAAACGAAAGAAATCTTGCACTGATGTGAATTATAGTACTCCTCTCCATACTATAAATCTTTGCACCTACTTTTTCTTTGGATCCTCCTCTGGATGCTGTGGTTCCTGTATTTGAATTTTGAACCAAGCCCACTTTTTGTACTCTTTTTCCAATGCTTCTTTGTCTTTCTGACGGTTCTGATCCGTTGCGTCCTGTATAAGGACCTCGTATTCCTGTCGACACGCATCATGGAACGTCTCTTTCTTGGCCTCGAAGATAGCTGTCTTCTCACGCAAGAGCTTGTCCTGTTCTTCTTTGGGCATTAATGGATCGATTTTTTTCCATTCTTCCCTTATCTGGAAGTTGTCCCTTTTCTGTTTTTCTTTGTTCATGTCTACTTCAAGCGATTTCAATTTCGGATCTTTGAGAAGATTAGCTTTTAAGCTGACAGAGTGAGGAAAGGGTAACCGTACTGCGTGGTGAATTCTTCAAGAGCGACTTCGAGAGCACAATCCCTTCGGCAGGGGTAGTCATGAGGTTTGGCACGTCGAGTATATTGTTCTCTTGGATGGAATGCGCACCAATAATAAGATCATACATCGGATGCTCCGAGATAAGGAAACGCATGTCGCGGAATACCCTAGTGCTGTTGTTGTGGTACCAGGTCAGGTTGATGCCGCCATCCGGGATAAGCTTGTGGCCTGTAATACCGGTACCCCCATTCTCCTCTCCAGTAGTCAGCTTCTGGAAGTCTGCCTCCGAGTAACCGAGAACGTTGAAGAGAAACGTTCGAGATACAATGTTGCCCTGCAAATTACCGGTGTCAATGGTGCATTTGGCTTCTTTCGGTATTCGATGTCGGTATTCGTCCCGCTCGGCTGAAAGAACGTAGACGGGAAGAACCCATGCAGAATCGAGGTGGGCCTGAGGTTGTGGTCAGCACTAGATTGTTTTCACCGTCCACTTTTCTATACGCACCTCGCGATTGTTGCGTTCTTGTGATCCAACGGACATGGACTTTGGGACTGATGCAAACTTTGGTCCCCTTGATATGCAGAAGACTCCTAACAGATGATCAAACCAGCGGCACTCCTTCACAGTGTTCGTGGTTCCGTACATAACATCGGTCTTCAGTTCCGACTCTGCATCGTAATCGAGCAGTGTAGTTCGAGATATGCTAAGTCGCATAGAGGGTTTGACGGACGACGCCCGATGAGAGATCGGGAAGTTGCCCATTGGTTTCGTCGAGATTGGGGCTTTCGGATTGCATCCTGAAACGAAGTAAGTCAGCGCACAAAATCTCAAAGGCTAGCATCCCGTGAAAATCGTGAACTAACCGTTTATAGTTGGTGGACTGCTGGCCATCTTGCTTTGCTATTCGGAGATGAATCTAGGACAAACGCTCTCGAAGTTTTGATTGCGACGGAGATCCTGAGGACCAGGCTGTGGGCAAAGAAGCTAGAAGTAGTCGCAGCCTTTTTCAGAGTGATGCGCACACCAGCCAACCCTTCCCCTTCTTAATCAAATGGTTCGCTTCTTTCCAGAGCCTCACCAACATTCAGTAAACCGCGGAACAATGTATAGAGCGGCGAAGGGCTCTGGATCGCGTTTTTCAAGGAGGATCTGCGCAAAAAGGCTCACCGGCGTTTGGACACTGATATCTGGGGTTACACGTTAAGCACCAAGCAACAAGGGTGTTGACAAAGCGGCTCGGCACCCCAGCACCCGCGTTCTTTGCGGTAAGTCTGACCCGTTGCTCTCCGAATGTGGCCGAGTTCACAGAACTTCTTTTGTTTTTTCCGAAGGCAGACGTGGTTGCCTTGCCACACACTTGGAAAGAGGTGGTCCTGCTGATAGAAGACGCCGTCGCAAAATATATCCTGGCTGTTCAGCCCGTGTGTGTGCCGTGCCGCCGCTTTCAAAATGGTGTGGCGAGGCTCTCTCAAAGAGAGCGGTCAGCTGGCCGAGACATTTCGGGAGATTACCGCCATTCTGAGTGTAACTGTCGCTGAAGAGATGGTTGAGGAAGCCTCGTGCTGCATCTTGGTCACACACATGACTCAAGGTCCCAGGAATCCGCTCTGGGCCACTCTCTCCATATATAGATATGGTGGCCTGCCTCTCCTGCTAAAATTTTGTCGCATGTTGACGTGGGACGTCCGCAACTTGGACCAGATGATACGTGGTCCGCGATCCGAGAGTCGGCTGCAGCCAGCCATACGCATCATCGACCGCAGCTTGAACCAGTCCACGGAGGGCGCGGGAGAAAGCTTCGTTACTTCTCAGTGGTTGTAACATTTCGCATTTTTGAGCCTCAAGCGAGGTAAGTGGGTTGCGGTTTCAAGAGTTGGAAGTGTTGATTCTATATATCAGAGCCTTCCGACGCTTCTTAATAACTCGGTCATCCGGCCTCACACATGTTTGGCGGCCAAACTCAAGGCATCCATTCTGTGCAGCTCGGATTTTGGCAGCTGCAGCGTAGCTGAGCCTCTCATGTCATCCACTCGGTGATGCTGCAGGCTGCATCAGTCTGTATGGAGGGTTGAACGGGCGTGGATGCCAGCGCATCGCAGCCCTTCACTATGGCCAGCCTGAATATACTCTATTATGCCAATTTTTGTTTTCTGGCTTCAGTTTGCCATCATTGATTTTGTTTTGGTTTCTATCTATATTGAGACGTTTGACGAGGGCCTGGCGCCGTCTACCAAAAAATATTTTCAACTTCGATACAGCGGGCAGAGTCATGCTTTGCAAATATTTTCCACTCACCCAATGCCACCTTGGTTACGAAGAACAGGCAAGATGCTATGGACGATCTCCATTGGGCTAGATTGGCTAATCAGATACCAGTTCGCACACACCAAGCATACAGCAAATAGGAGTTGCATCGCAGGTCTGCACAATCCATTCGCCATTGACCTACATCAGCAGATGAGGGATCATTGCTTGTCCCGAGGGAAATATTACTCGCCATCGGAGATGGGCTGAGAACACCACCGCCGAAGAAAGTCTCTTCATCGCGGGTCAATCCGCGTGTGCTTCCGTGCGTGCCCTCCAGACCCAGAATCTAAACTTCACTCTTGGTTTTGGAGCGAAATTTCCATGACGAGCAGAGACGATGGAGTCCAGACCAGTGGCAAGAAACACGCTCTCTGGCCATCTGAACGGGCGAGGCCCAGCCGTCTGCCGGCGGTGCAAAACCTGCTCATCTTGTGAGGGTCATCCCAATCCTGCTAGACGAATAGCACAGAGGATCACACATGCAGATGCAGTCAAATTTTGTCCACCCACATGCTAGATCGCCCACATTCTACGACGTTCCATTCTCCTAGCCATGCTCATTCCGCACTCCCGAGTCCAATAGAAGATCCAATATTTTTAAGGCGGTCTTTGCTGCTGCACCTCGCCTTGTTGGGCACGGCTGCCTCATCTCCCGCATCGAGAGTGGCCTCAAATGTCAGTGGACAACACATCAAGCAATCACAGAAAGCCCGTTCCCTGCAATTGCTGCGCCCTGGCCCAGAAATCACTTCAAAAGGCAAGATCGAGAAGCATTTCCGTACCGGACTTGTCAAATCCTGATGCTTCCGTGCCCGTTAGAACGGTAGGTTAGCTATTCCGACGGACTTTGAAACGACAATGCCAACGAACGTCTATACGCAACGTCAAAACCATTCGGCCATGGCGAAGTCGAACACAAGCTTGCCCAGAGTATCTGATTCTCCACTGCCATCTCCAACCCTCTCTCAGGCGTCCACCCATGTTGACCCCCGTTCAATAACCGATCCTGACGATGAACGCAATCCTGCCAACAACGTCAACTTCCCAGTGGATGGATGGCCTACCCTAGCCAGAATAATCGCCACAAAACCCGATCTTGAGGCTTTTGCATCTTTTACCGATCTTGGTATAAAGTCCTTGCTTTATTATCAAGCAGAACTCATTTACTTACGGAAAAAATTGCACGAGGAGGAGTGGAAAGACTTTCGGACAGACGACATCGAGAAGAGCTCCAAGTATGCAGACAATCTAGAGGCCCTGATTTTGGGTCGAGAAGCTAGTATTGAAAGCAAAGAAAAAGATAATGAAAACTCACTCCCTCTTCCGCGGCAATGGGTCCTCATTGAAAGGATCCGAGCGACCCTTAAGGAGTACAGTAAGCGATTTCAAAATGCCCAAGAAAACATGACTGACTTAGTAACTCTCAACAGATTCTGCACTGTTGGAATACTCACAAGTTGCGGAACTCAGGGACACCGAAAACTGCAATGTCAACCTTCTGATGAGCAACTGTGTTGCAAAGGTTGGTAGAGGGTCCACGGCCCTCACGGGGATCGGTGCCTTTGCCTGGGGCGATTACAACCAATTAGACGAAGAGAAGAAACCACTACGGGATCTGTTCCGGGGTCTCTTCACAAGCTCCTCCCAAGATGACAAGCCCAGAGGGGAAGCTAATGAGTTCCAAGAAAAACTTATCGTGCCTCGTCAGGGAAAGCCGTCAGATGGTTTGACGCAGTGGGTGAAGCGCTGCTTCATCCCGTTCTACGACCAACTGCACGAGGACAACCCTTTTCGCAACCAGAAAAGATATCTCCTTCCATTTTGGGATATTGGTATCCTGTTCGGGCTTACCTTTTTCTCGCTCTTCCGTCTTCTCCTTTGGCTCTGCAGGAAGGCGGTGTTTTCCGGCAAGCCCTCGAACAAAACAGACGCGGCGACTTTGGAGAAGGGAGCCGCCTCGGATGCATCGAGTAGTGGCACACTGGGTCACACATCGTCCAACGATTCTGAGGCAAGCAATGAGACTGACATTAGCGCTTCTTCGGTAAAAAGCATAACCGGCAGCTTCAAGGAGTACTCCGGTTTTTGGATCTTACGAGTCACATCTATAATCACGACAGTGGTAGCCTGTCTTCTTCCCACCATCGCCATCACCATCCTTGCCAAAGTCCATGGCATGGGTGTGATTCTCGGCCTCATTGCTCTTTTCACGGCTATCTTTGCCTTTGGACTGGTGCTCCTGTCGTCCACTAGCTCTAGGGTTGAGATCTTTACTGCTACTGCTGCGTAAGTAGTTCTTCCTTCAATTCTTTTGAGAGGATTCAAACCTACTTTGGAGAATGGGTACTGATAAAAGAATGCAGGTTTTCAGCTGTTATGGTGGTTTTTGTGCAGAATCAGATTGGGCCGCAGTAGTAGATGGGCCAAGGGGGTTGTGTGATTGCTACCTAGGAAGCTGGAGCTGGGTGGTTTGCTTGTTTTTGGGAAAGGTATGGCGAATTGGGTGATTAAGGAGATCCATGTTTTATTATGATTTATGATTTACGACTCATGACAGGTTGAAACTCTTTATAGTGATAGTTCATCCAGGTTTGTTTAGCCATATAGCTAAGCACGCGTACTAGCCTAAAAAGACCCTGCTCTTTGAACTCTTCACACGTGATCCGTTATAAAATGAAGGGAACCCTGAAAGGGAAAGAGAACACTATTACCCTTGGGATTACTAGGCCCCACCATATACTCGCTCTTGCAAATGAAGGTTCCGTCGCCGAAATAAAAACTCCAGCCGCCATGTGAATTTCATCCATTGTCAATCACCTCAAATATTGAAGCCTTTCCCGAGAAACCGTGAGAGAGCCTAATCTGTTTTTGGGCCCAGCCTCTCAGGGTACCACCTATTTTGTCGATGTCAATTGGAACTATGAAAAGTAGTCAAATCGGGGGCTACGTCTGAGAGGAGAGTAATTTAAATATAATAGAATTATAAGTCCTGACCGTTGGGGATTTCAGGAAATGGTCACGTGATAAGGCAAACATCAGAGCACGTGCAACCTTCCTCTAACTTAAGAGTTATGCAGATCTGCAAATCGACCATCCCCATAACTCCCCGGATAGTAGACTTTGGTCTGAGTGATTTATTCACGGAACTATTCGTAAGTGGGAGAGTAATGACACTGCTAGGCTGGGTTCCAATGTACTCGATATGTCGGTGGGTTGAACCTACTTTTACCACCTTGGGCCAGAGTTTTGAGATAGATAAACTAGCTTGCGGTCTTTTCAAGATAGAGACCAAATGACTATAATAGAAAGGATCTATGTGCTCCAAGCGCTCGTTAATAGAATATGGTTATATATTTGTTGTACTTCAACTTAGTGCAAGTTAAAGGCTAGAGACGGAAATGGGGAAGATAGGGGAAGGCTTCGCTTGAGTGAGAAAATTGAAAGCAACATCACTTTCCAATAAAAAGGTTCATATGCCAGCGAAGACTCGAAAAGGAATAGATCACCTTATCCCATGACCGTCATGAAATTTCTGCTACGCGTTAAAATAGATATTTGTTCTCGATCCATCATCGTTCGTAAAAACTCCCCGACTGCACGTCCGCGGTGTGGAAGTCAACAGAGCAGTGCCACCACAGAGTTCGATCTATCTATTAACTATCTATCTACAGCCAGCGCAGTTGAGAAAGTCCAAATTAAAATTACTCAGTCTCTCCTCCTCTTCCTACTGCTCAAACCGTCACCCGCGTCACTACTTCCGCATCACCTGCATACTGAATTCTGCAATTTCTGTCACGCCCAATGCACGCTCTGCTGCTACTCCACGACTTCCTCAAACCAAGCCCATCATTACTGGATGCTCTGCTATAAGGCCCCCGATGCTAATCAAAGATGGTCGTTCGGGGTGTTTGCAAAGGGGCATAAGGATATGGAGGGACGGTGTCCGGTTATGTGGAGAAGGAAGTGGCTCACGAAACCCCTACAGGATCATCCCTTTCGCCTCCTTACCTCCGAGGGACTAGCTAGAAAAATTGGAATGTCATCTTCCGCAGCATATAAGTATCTAGAAGTAACCTATAATTCAGTATCGATACCTTATCGATACCTCAGGTATCGAAGCCGAGCCTGATTGTGACTCCTGATCACAAGCTCTCTATAAAGAAACAACGCCAGAAGACCGGGCTACACGAACCGCTGCATATCCAGGGGAAAAGGGGCGGGGGAAAGTGATGCAGCGAACTGAGAGCAATCATCTGCTGTTGGTTCTATCATCTGCCTGAGAAGCTTGTTAAAGTAATTCGTGGCGGAGCAGCAAGCTTAGTAACCAAGTGCAAAGCACAAGCAAGGAAAACTTGTCTCTTAACAGATAATTATAAGATTAAGCGAAAGAATAGAGCTTGGAAAAGTGGGTGATTCAATACGGCGCGAGGATTTGGCTGCCATTTAGTCGCGTTCGGATCACGACGTTGACAAAATTCCATCCCAAAAGTCCACCATGAACTTAACATGTACGAAAATAACCAGCTGACCCCTATCGAAAAGACACAATTTTAGCTCTTTTCAATCTTTCCAGACCGCAAATTCCAAGTCCCCTCAAACACCAATAATTCTCTAATCAAAAACAACTCTCGTATTCCCCCTACCCACTGCCGGGCTCGGAAAGCCCATATCATGGACTAATTCCCTGTAGAAACCATAGAGTCAGTGATATTCAACGCGGGCACTCCCACAATATGCTTACGTATCCCTCTTATCCGTCTCCCAGAGCTTCATCCCTTTCACAGCGGTCACCGTCCCGTCTTCGGCCCTCTCCAACCTCATAAATGTCCTCAACACAGCGGCTAATGTCATATACACCTCCGCATACGCTAGTGGTTGACCGAGACAGTGTCTTGTGCCTTTCGAAAACGGCATGAGATATTTGGGATTTGCTTGCGGGATGCCTGGTGGGCGAGACGGGAGATGTGTGAGTTTGGTGGAGGTTGACGAAAGCCAGCGCTCGGGAATGAAGGCATGGGGTTCGGGGTAGACGACCGGCGAGTGGTGGATTAGGGGTGCGTGCATGCCGATTGCTGTCTGTTGAAGTTTGTTTAGACGGGGCGGAAAGTAGAGTGGGAAATGAGGGTCGCTGGCAGAGTACGTACATTGGGTGGAATATTCCATTTTCCAACTTGAAGCATCTCATCTGGAGCAGATCGGGCGATACGGTATGAAACTCCCGAAACGAGCCGAAGGGTCTCTTGAACAACGGCATTCTGGAAGATGTTAGGATATGTGCTGCTTTCTATTGCGGTGACTGAGCCTGAGCTGCTAGCGGTCGGTAATACTCACCAGGTAAGGCAATCGCTGAAGATCTGCTTCTCTTGCCGGCTTCGAGATATCCGGCATTGCGACTTCCAGCTCTTCTAGAAGCACCTTTAATCTATCTTGGTCAAGCAATAAGAACACAAGCGCGGACGATATAGAGGTGGCAGTCGTAACTGTTCCAGCCGATAAGAGAACTTGGGCTTCTTGCCAAAGCCTATCAACCGATTTATCCTCGGGTGGTAGAGTTGAGTTCCCTAGCAATTCATGGAAAATAGTTCGATGCTTGACATCTCGAAAATCACCGACAGAGGCCATTGTCTCTTTGATCTTTTTAACGCAATGCTGTGTGTTAGATGGCTGTCAACAAATTTTCGACGTATGATCTAGATGCAGATACACTTACGCGCTTTAACTCATTAAATTTTGCCATCCCCTCTCCGAGCATCCCCTCAACAATTTTGTCGGGTAGGCTATCCATAAGCCGAGGAAGCCATTGAAATTGCACAGTGATGTGCATATTCTCCGTCAGGCTATCCGTCGTTTCAAGCACGACAGCATTAAATCCAGCGGCCTCGATATAATTCTCAGAAGCACCGAAGCAATAATCTGCGATGATATCGCTGGTCAAGGCCGCAAATGCGGCCCTCATAGGCAAAACTTCACCTGTTTGCTGATAACGCCGAAATACGGAAACCAGCCGATCGATCTTGTCCTGGATCAAAGGCTCAAGTTTGCGGAGAGACGATTGAGAGAAGAGTGGATTTAGCGCACTACGGCGAACTCTGTGCTTCTCGTGGGATATGGTGCCGAAGACCGAGTCTATATTCGCAAAGGCGTGGGACCACGTTGGTGGTTTGTCGCGCTTGGTATGCGCGCCTGCGAAGAGAACGTCGTAGAAGTCCGGGTCATTTACGTGGAGCTCATGCGGGCTGATTCGGATTATTGGGCTTTCTAAATTTGGGGGTTCGGTCAGTGGCAATCACTTGACTCCCAAAAAGAAATTCGAAATGAATCGGCCGTCGAAAGCGCCTGAACGTGACCCAGAGCTTGATAATTAGAAATCGATTATCGCCTTTCTCATAGACTTCCACTCGTTGGGGCAGAAGGAAAGTTCTGAAGACTAAAACGGTTTTGTATAGCACGTACTGTATTCCTCATGCATCTCCCTAATCCTGTGCATATACTGGCCTTTCCCGCCAATGGCATCGTAATAGAACATGTAGCCATATGTCAGGCCAGCCAACTTGGGTCCTGGGAATTTTGCATATCGACTAAAATAAAGCCGATGAATCGCAACACCAACGACATAGAAGGAATACAACGCGAGCAAAGCACCTGCAACAGTAGACATTGACAACGTCCACGAAAAAAGGAGTGCCATTCTGCGGTCCAATCCAAATAAAAACACCAGGAAAATAATGTGAAGAGGTTGAGACACAGAGAGAACTTGTTGCTCAACTACTCTGCTGTTCGCTACACGTTGATTACAAAGAAGTGGAACCTGACGCGGCGTTGTGTCATGTTGATAGTGGAAGCATAATCTTAAACGATCCACTTTTGTTACTGGATGAACAGGTGGAACCTGACTCGGGGTTGTGTCAAGTTGATAGGAGCATAATCTTAAACGATCCACTTTTGTTTCTGGATAAATAGTGCATAGTTCCCCCTCGCAGAAAACAAGCGAGGAGTAGAACAGACGTCAATGATACGAATGCACCAGTAAAAAAGCTAGGCTAGTACAGATTAAGCAGTACGAAGCTGTCCTCTTTTAACTCATTTGAATGAACACTAGGGGTGCCGGTTTGTAACATTACGCGTAAAATTGTAAGATACTCGCCACTTCTCGTGTTGTAACGAATGAGAGTCTCGAGCCTTACAGCACGTGCTTTTGTTCTTCTTTTTCAAAGGGGGATTCCAAGAATTTTGAGCCTAGAGAGGTCGGGGAGGGCTGCTTTAGGGCCTCTGGGGGCCTCTCGAGCTCTCGTCCAGGCTTCCCTGCCCCCTCGGCAGAGTGGACGCGCAATCTAAAAATTTTACCAAGCCGAGTATTTTCTCCTCCCTTTTAGGCTTAGCGACCCCTTTCGCGCTACTTAGACGGGTTAGTGCATTACACATCTATATTATCAAGTGTACGAGTAAGATACTTTCTGCTTTGCGTTATTAGTGTAATAATGTTACACTTTTATTTTAGTGTAAAGCGATCGCCCTTATGAAGACGATAAAGTTTCCAGGAAGAGGGGGACGGGGAGCATCCGCTGAATATTTGGTGACTTGGGTGAATACAAGTAAACCTATGCCCTGTCCGGATCCACACACGCCTGAACAAGGAGTATTAACGAATAAGACAGCTGGAATTCAAAAGGGTTTGTGGAGCGAACCTACTGGAAACACACCTCAGTGATGAGAGTTTTTTTTAATCCTTATGTGAGTAATGGTTATTTGGTTGGGCCGGGGAACCCTTGCCAACCCCGCAGCGTACAGTAAGCGGAGTGCTCTCTACCGTACTCTACTGTACCGATCGCAGGTTTGGATGTCGTGCTGGTCGCATTCGGGCCTTTTCTGCGCCGAAATCAATTCCAGGCCTCAGACAGTCGCTGATCAGTGATCAGAGGATCTCGAAAATAATGCACTAACAGTAAGGCAGTGGAAAAAACCCACTCACTCCGTGGACCTCAACGGTCTATCACTATTTCATGGGGTGAAAGCCAACGAGGAGTAACCATTAGGTGCCAACCTGGTTACGAAGTGAGCAGAAGTTTAGCATGCAGCCCCCTGCCCCCTTCCCCCCAGTGGCTGAGTTTCGCCGCTCCTAAGTGTCGGACTCACGTACTGTATCCGACCGACATTCTTTGCAAGCTCATTAGTTGGTGAAATTAAATGTGCCTTGTAAGCGAGTGCGCTAGTTTCTAGGTTCAGGAGTGAGTTTATAATCTTAAGAATATAAAGTTAATATTCTAATAAGCTTAAATATGGCCTTCAAGTATATTAACTTTTTATCTGGTATAATTAAGGTTATGATGTAAATTAAAGAGAAGCTGACAGGGGCGATGTTCCCAGTGAGGATTGCCAGGCGAGGCGTGCGCTAACTTTGCTGCAGCACAATTGCGAATACGACACACTCGCTTCTGCCGAAGCAGCCAGTTACGCGGGGCTGACCACTAGGTTTTGTCACGTAGAATTCTGCCAAGTTGCCAACAGAAACAGTTCAAGCAAATTACGCCAACTAATGTTGAGTTGCTAGGATGTCTCAACGGCCCTGAGGGAAACAGCTCTTTCCCTCTGTGTCCGGAAGACTTCGATCCCCCATATCCAGCCGAGCCGTGGTTTCACATACCGTGACCACGCTGGCGTTCGGCCGCGCCATGGTGCAGATCCAGAGCTGGGGGCTTGCGAGAAGACGAGTCGGGTCGGCGGGCGCGGCCCGGATAGCAAGAACTCTGATTGGCTCGGTGCTTCCCGCATACTGTCGGTCTGGCGTTCTCCTGGCCCAGGAACACTGCTTGACTCCGCAGGCAATGGTGAATCGTGCTCTGACCGCTGGATATTACCGTAGCAGACTTCGCTCCAGTCCCACGGGCCGCGGTAGTGTGTCCCCGCACTGTCTGAGAGCCCTAGGGTCAGAATGCTGGGCCGAGAAGATTTTCCCTAGTCTATTTGGTGGCGGTACATGGGGTGCAGGAAGGTCACGATCAAACGTCTGAGCCCTCAACGCCTTCGTACTACTGGAGGTGCTCTCAGCCCTGCAAGGAAGCACTAACCCTTTTTCAGAGCTGTTCATCAGTACCATTAGGGGGGCTCACAGTCCCTTCAGCACGCGGTCGCCAAGCTCAGCTCCAGGGGCCCTCGTCCCCCCTTTTAGGGGGTCCCGGTAAATACCCTGCGACCCGACAGCCCCTGTATTACCCAGACATTTGGCCGCGACTTTCGTACATGTGCACAGACTGTGGAGAGGAAAAGCAAATCATGCACAGACATGCGACCCCAAACCACCAAGTCTGTCAAGATCCATTAATATATCTGTAGAGACTTGCACCCTGTCGTCCTTACTGCAGTCTGCGATTTCATCATTCTTTTGTTGACTTCAAGATGGATTCCATGCCTCGCAGCGATCTGCCAGCCGGGAACTTGCAACCAAATCTCTATGCTGCGGTCATTGCCACGCCTATCCTAGCAATTATGGTCGTTGCTTTGCGTTTCATTTCGAAAAGACTTGTTCACTCCACGATGTGGCTCGACGATTGGTTGACCCTTGTAGCTCTGGTGCGCTACTCCCCCATCCAAGAGCCCCCAATTCTCGATAATAACGTCGCTTCAAGTTTATGACAATCGGTTTTGACATTAATATATTCTTTTGTGAGCCTCCTTCGAATGATTCCAGTTGAGCACCACCATAACAACACCGCTCGTAGTTATCAGGAGTGGAGTTGGCCTGCATATCGAAGCGATCCACCGAGACTCTACCGTAGTGTACCGCGACTTCTTCTTAAACCTGTGGATCGGAGAGTTGTTTTATACATTTGCTCTGGCTCCTGCCAAGCTGGCTTTCCTTGCGTTCTACTGGCGTATTTTCGGAGTCTCGAGTATGAGGCTGCCAATAAAGATCCTGGCCGCAGCAGTTATGTGCTGGTCCATTGTAAGGGTATGTATATTTGCAAATCCCTAGCCATGGACTTCTGGGCTAATGCTTTTGCAGATTGTGGTGAATTTATTGCACTGCACACCTGTTCAAGCTTACTGGGACAAAACGATATCAGGGAAATGCCCCATTAACGATCAGAAATATTTTGTGGGTTCTGTGCTAGCCCACCTATTAATGGACTTCGCAATCCTTGCATTGCCAGGGCCATATATCAAGAAATTACAGATCAGCTTGTATCAGAAGATTTGTGTGTTTGCTATGTTTCTGCTTGGTGGCTTGTAAGTCAAAGAGCTCCGCTCGCTGCATTATTACCAGCTAATCTAAAATGATAGTATTTGCTTCGCAACTATCACCCAGATCGTTATCTGTTTCCAACTCAACGTTACATCACCAGACTACACGTGGAATTTTGCTCTAATGACTCTCTGGGCAACAGTAGAGGTCAATCTGGCTGTGATAGCGGGTATGTAAATACCACTTTCATTACTGATCAGTGCTAAGTCTTATTGCTATAGTCTGCCTTCCATTACTTCGCCCTATATATCGCTTGGTGTTCAATGGCTCTCTACAAAGCACTCAACAAAGCGGAACTCATTCTGTATCATGGAACGACAGATCGAACCATCAGACACTGAACACGCTCAAAAAGGACTATTCTGACTCTACAAGAGAACTTGCAGACATGGATTCAGATGGCAATAGGAGCTTCACTGAAGTGCTTGATGCTTCTACTCAGGGCAGCGATACAATTTGCGAAATGGACACTTTAAGTCCTCGTCAAGTACCCAAGGGGAGGCGTGTGATTATGGTCAAAAGCGAGGTTGATGTTAAATCGTCTGTTTACAACTGAGCAGCACATGGCTGACGGACCACTATGGGCTTCATGCCGAGTGGAAGTTATTTTGAGACAGGGGCGTTTGGTGTGGATTCACGATGGGGACTTGTAATGAAGACACTGGATGTTTCATTCCTCTCATTCCACATTTTAGTACGGAGCTGCGTGACGTGAATGTCTATCCTACCTAGGTCCCTAACTGTTCACAACGATACTGACACCGACACACCAAGAAAGCAATTATTTGCTAACGACAGTGGACGTAGAGGGATGGGGGGAAGGGGAACAGAGAAACCCCGCACCCACCTGACCAGAACTTCGCACACCAAGAAAAGAAGAAGAAGAAAACGGAAAAAGGAAAGTGGGGGCTTGGGCCGAAGAACCTCCCCCGATTCAGATTCAGGCTACAAGGCTATGGGCCTTCCTAGGAACCTCCTGCCCTCCGCACTCCGTCCCACGGTCGGCCACTCCCACCACCGATGGCACAAGACGACGCTATTGTTCGATTATTTCGTCCTGGCTCGACTCTCTGGTGGGCAGGTCTTTGTCTCGGCACAACCCACTGTATCAACTGTATCATTCGCACTGTTTTAACTCTTGCGCGCCATGAATTACGAGTACCATCGAATTACTTCGTAGGATGCACACAAAAATAACACGACCGCTTTGCCGTGCGGAGATCACGGCATAAGTGACGGGATTACAGGGTATTTGTGCTTTAACGGCACTTCAGTGTCCGTTTCTGGCGCACTCGGCCACTAAATTGCCCTAAAACACGCTAGAAGACGGGAGCAAGGGGTACTACACCTTAGCCCCAAGAATCCCATGCACTTACAAGGGATACTTCGCTAAAGAGCCCTATCATAACTACACATTTAGCGTCCAAGCGCTATCGTTGCTCCACTAGCAACGGTATTTACCCCTGGAGATATTCTCATACCATGTGAATGTCTTACAGCGCCTCTTGGGATCTGCTTAGGGCGTATAGCCTAAAGTCATTGGGCCTCACAGCGGGGTTCAACCCCTAAATTGTGCCCTGGGGATGCCAAGGGCCCAAATGCCCTGTAACCCCGTCATTTTATGCCGTGATCTTCGTACACTTTCATTATACGTGCTTGGTCTGAGTTTGCTCTTGAATTAGGTGAAAATGCTTTGAAAATTGATAGCAGATTTCCCACTTCTGAACTGCAACCACCTGGAGAGCTCGGCCTCTTCCTCCTGTCCCATCTTCGAGTTCTTACACTCCTGAGCACCTCGGCCAGCCCTTCTCCTCCCCGTCTCCCGCACCCCCTGCGGGACCAAGATTGGTGGGCGCTCTGCACGAGCATTAAGCAAGTCAAAGGCGGAGGAATCCAACAGATTCTCCCCCACCATCTCCAGTCCCACCACTCCGGGAAATAACAGGGTTTACTCACGGTAGCGGCGCACGCCATGACGCACGCCCAACCATCCCGCGGGTCACTCCAAGCACTTTCCCCACAATGCCGAAGGCACGCCATGATATAATTCTTGCTATAGCCCGGTTGGCCGTTGGAGAGATTAGCCATTCCAAAGCTATTCGAGGTCCTAACACTGGCGATAATGGTATTACCAAAAGGAGTCGGTGACTGGAGCTACGCATGTTAGCTTGGCGAAGTGTAAATGGATTGCGATGTGACATCTGAGATGGGTGGACGATGTTTTATAGACATTGGGAGTTTATACAAAACACAGAGGGGAGACCCCCCGGTTTGGTTGCAATGGTGTAGTTGATGTGTGTTTGGTCTAAAGGGCTCCTGCGATGTTTCTGCAGGGCCAGCGGCATTATGGAATTGAGTATCAACTTAGCGTTAGCAGTAGCCTTATACTACTCCTCTCAATTAACTTTGGCTAAGGTCGCAATTTCCTTGTCGGCATCATCCTTCCCTTCGTTCTTCTTGTATTCCTCCCTTCTCATCGGCTCCTCCTCTCTATAGTATACGATTTGCCCCTTATAATTGTCTCCATGAATCTTATCCCCTTCCTCTAGATCCTCCCTCACTACGTCGACCTTCTTTTCGGGTGCTAATAGTTGGCAGCTTAAAGCGCCATATCGTAGGATCTGTTATTTCCTATCCCTCAAGCTCCGTTGGAACATTCATAGGGTAATGGGGGGCGCAATGAAGGTTGTCATCAACTTGGCCAGCAGCGCCCGTAGGTATTATAAATCCTCCGCAGGCTGCTCGTGAGCTAGCCTCGTAGTCCGCGAGGGCTTCCGTTCTTCGCAGGTATTATAAAACTTCTGCAGGCTACGTGTCCGCTCGCCTCATTATACGAGGGCTTTTGTCTTGTCTTCCTTCTCTGCTTTCCTCGTCCCTCGAATAACGGCTTAAATAGAGGCCATAGCCTCTATCTTACCAATTCGCAAAAGAATTCCCAGGGTTTTTGAAGGATAATAAATTGTAATATTACGGGCCAGGCCTTTAATATAAAGAAGACTAGTAGTCCTTGGTATAAGAAGAATTCATTAAAGGAAAGAAGCTAAAGCGAGCCCGAATTGCTAGGAAATAAGGGACGCAATTATATAAGAGTAAGTATTATATAAGAGTAAGTATTATATAAGAGTAAGTATTATATAAGAGTAAGTATTATATAAGAGTAAGTATTATATAAGAGTAAGTATTTTATAAGAGTAAGTATTATATAAGAGTAAGTATTATATAAAAGTAAGTATTATATAAGATAAGTATTATATAAGAGTAAGTATTATATAAGAGTAAGTATTATATAAGAGTAAGTATTATATAAGAGTAAGTATTATATAAGAGTAAGTATTATATAAGAGTAAGTATTATATAAATTATATAAGAGTAAGTATTATATAAGAGTAAGTATTATATAAGAGTAAGTATTATATAAGAGTAAGTATTATATAAGAGTAAGTATTATATAAGAGTAAGTATTATGTAAGAGTAAGTATTATATAAGATCTAGCGCAAGCACCTTATATTAAGCATAAAATCGGGTCTTAACCCTTTATATTATTCTTTCCTTACTTTCTTTAAATTCATTAAATTAGTTCTTCTCATATTGCAAAGTTGGACTCTGAGTTAGCATTAACCTACAGGATTGAACTCCCTCTAGCGTGCTGCATGACCAGCACGCTAAGGAGAATCCCTCCATAGACGGCTTGCGCTGGCAGTCAGATCTTGGGCCAGCTAAGCAAGCTAGTCCCAGAAGACTTGTGAGTGTTCAGAGAGGCTGCAGCTGTTGCAGGAAGTCAAGATGACTTTGAGGAGTCAAAGCACTTCGGCGGTGTTTTGCGTGAGCATCTGGAGATCAGAGCAAGGGAGAGAGGTGAGGCGCTAATCGTTGCTGCCGCGCCGGCACAGAAAATTATGAGCGGCGAGTGGATATGCTGTGCGGTTGGGATTTTTGGGCCGGATACGGTTGAGAAGAAGAAGCTCTGGGTCAAGAAGTGCGTCTCCTAAACTAGCACCTTGCCATATTTAATGGAATTGCTAAAGAGATTTATAGTTATACCTCGTACCTGCTGAGTCTGGTCCTACCCCCTCTTGTGAAACATGGCATCTGTCTCGAAGCCCATGGTCAGAATATCGTTGCGCGGTTCTGCGTCAAAACGAAGGAGTTGAAGAGTTTCGGCGTGTACGACTTCGGTGGCATTCGACTCCACGTTCCAACTCTTCAATTAAAAGGCCACGATATGTCCTTTTTGCGTCCACATCACTACCTAGCATGCAACAACCTTCAAGAGGCATGGAGCAAAATTCGCCATTTACTGTTCCAGAGCCATTTGGGGCAACTCCTCGTAGCATTGGATCTGGAAACAAAGGGCGGATGGGCAATTGTAAAGGAATCTATCGTGGAGGTTTTGAACCCCGAAGAAAGTGAGGGGGGCAAGACGCTTCTTGAGGTTTTGCTCGCAAAAGAGATGGCCGTGAAATGTTTTTTTTTGAGAATGAAGATGGAAGGCATGGTTCGAGAGGTTGATTCACTCCCCGAATTCAGGCCCCTTGTCTTAACGTGGATTGCTAATATTTTGCGCATTATTAGAGAGTAGATCCCTAATGCTCTTCTTACATAAGGAAGATTGACATGTGAAGAATTATAGCATAACTTCTACTTCTGCACCGCAACATGCCAACTACCTCTTCCTCTTTCTCCTAGTCCAGATGCTTACAATTTAGAAAGATCCACTCTCTCGATAAACCCACCATTAATCAATCCCATGATATTTGTAGAAAGCTGATACTGGACCCCCTGTCCCGGCTGTTCAAACCAAGCCGCGATTGGTCCCGAAAGCGCATTGAACGGCTGCAAAACCTGATAAACGTGATAGTTGTACGGGAATCTACGCAATCCCATTGCCAGTCAGTTCGAGGTCACGAAGTGTATCCAGAAGGCTGACTGACCTCGGATCTGTAGCTGGAGTATCCAAATTACTTGGTGGTAAAGCCCTCTGCATGTACGGTGCCCCGGCCGGGCTCACAAAACCCCCATATTCGCTGCCAAATCTGTCCATCAAGAAGCCGACGGGGAAGGTGATTGTCCCCTCAATAGGCGCGCTGGCAATATTGAGCTGGAAGCCGCTGACGGGAGGGTAATTGTAATATCCCGATGTGGTGTTGAACCACTTGGCCAGGAATTGTCCTGGACAGAGTCCGCCAAATCGATCATAGATGTCGAGGAGGCTATCGAGTGGTAGATGTGTTGGGAGTCGTTTCGGGCCGAGGCGAGCGTCACCACATACGTAGTCGTGGATTAGGGATTGATTGGTGTTTGTGCCCGCGCAGTAATTGGGACATTGCTTGGTGTTTGCGTCGCTCGCTGCAGACCTTTCGATAAGAGGCAGAGCTTGAGAACCGGTTACGAGGAGGAGAGACAACAGCTGAAAAGTTTGGAATTGCATTTTTGGTACGTGAGCCTGAATGGTAGAGTTGCGAGAAATTCCAAGAGATTAAGAATAAGATTAGAAATTTGTCAATTTATACATCTTCGATAGACTGGAGCAATTAGCTCCAATTGAGACAGAAGTTACGGAACACAGTATGGATCTGCGGTGGTACGATGCATGCAAGACTTGGACATGCACAAGAGGCTTCGGATCTAATACCTTTTGCTCCGGGCCAGACGGGTACATCGATCTTCTTTTGGTGTAACAAAGCTCTGCAGCAAGGGTCAACGTTGGTGGTCAAGGTTTCGAAAGATTTCCAAATGTGGAAAGGAACTATTGGGAGATGGCATAATGACGAGAAACCTGGACAATGGCCTACGAGTTAGGGTCTGACACATAGTACACACCTGCATTAGCGACAGGCCTCACCGCCTTAATGCGCCCGGTAGAGCATTTCCATTGCCACTTTTAATTTTTAATAGCGAATAAAAACTTCTATTATCATTCCTCAATGCGTCCACATAACTTCAAATGCACAGAATAACACAGTCACAACTTCCACCAAGAGACAAAAAATCTGATGCGACCGTCCTCAAATATCAAACTTCCCCGACATTATTAAGTGCGGTGTTCTTACTGTAAAGAGGATGTTCTGGGAAGCGTTAAATTATAATAAGGAGTTTAGAGTGTATTTAATGCCTAGTAAGTTCCTGCGACAAACGATTCGCTTGTATATCCGAAATACTTCAAACGTTCCAAACCACGACTGAATTTGTAATTGAAGACAGTTCATGAGTCAGATAAGAGGGCAATTTAGTTTATTTACACTTGTGTCCATTCAATATCGATCTCAAGAAGTTGTTGAAATTTGGAAGTGTTTTAAGCGAGTCTTTTGGAAATTAGCAATTGTTCCCTGCGGCTTCTTGGGAATGAGATCATTCAGAAGGATTAATAACTTACTGGATTCTTCTTATAATTGCTGTAGCCGATGTCTCAACATAAACATTCTTTGTCTAATTGAAAGATGAGGACCTTATTAAGTTGCCATCAAAGATTTGATTTGTAGATCGTTCATCTGATATACGCTACCCACCGTTTCGTCTCGGCTCAGGACGCTTGTCTCGGAGAAAAACCACTGTAAGCCGGTGTTGTGGGAGTGACAGTGCATTGGCAAAAGTTTTCCCTTGTCAAGAGTTCAAGACCATTACGTCGCTGTCCACTTCTCGGTGCTTTTCTTACCCCTGACGCAAAATCCCACTCGTTGTCCAGCGTATCTGTCATCTACTCTCTCTCCTTTCGTTCACACCTAATAAGGAACAAAAGAGACTCTCCCACGATCTCTAATATTTTGTCATACCTCTTCACCATTAATCTTATCTTAGGGAGCTTCCATCTCAGGGCTAGCTGAGGAGCAGTTCTAATCACCTTCTCTTGGTTTTTCTCTCTATAACACGACATAGAAACTGCGATTTTCTCACTCACACTCTCAACATTTTCAGCATCCACTCTGGAATGTTCACGAACATACCCACCCCATGATTGACCTGAGGTAGTTTGCAGGGACTCAAGGGTGGGGGATGGTGTGGTCATGATCTTGAGTGAATCGACGGCTAGGAAGGCTGTGGGACAACTTGGATGTCTCTCCCCTTTGTAATCTTACTTTCCATCATAGGCTTTTGACCCACTGTACACATCACACATTTTCCCCAGTTCATGGAAATTAAAAAAGGATGGCTGTCTTGCTTCATAGCTTCGCCCAGGCATCGATCGCTTCCCTCGCATTCGCTGGCTGAACCCTTCCACTCGTTCTGACTTTTCATCACGTTTTCCAAATTATTTCTTGCCAGCACTGCGGCCGTTGAATTTGTAGCTGCAGCACAAACCACGAACATTTCTTCTTCGAGGTCTATTTGGGTGACTGAAGTTCATGCCTGTGTCCGCCCGTACGCCATTGCCCACTATATGGCCGGTGTCTGCGTGATTGGGGCGCAGGTGTATCGTTACCCTGCCACTGGTCCATTATCAGACTACGCCTTCTCCCTCACCAGTACCAATGCCCCTGGGTCCACGTCCCTTGGGCATCCTCCCACATATTCACGAAGCACACTACGAAAATTTCTTTAACTTTCGTGGCCTATTCCAGCTTTGGGCTAATAAGTACGATGATGAAAGCACGAGAGTACTGAGACCAGGAGATTATGGCGCTGTGCCGCATAACACCACACATACTTCCAGATTCTAGATGCGGATACGGACATGGTTGGTGTGTTTCAGCCCGGGGTGGTTGAGTGCGCTCTCCCTTTGCCAACCCTCTTGTTCTGGTCGAATCGGTTACTGTAATGTGTTTCGTGAAAGGACTTGTTCCGTGCCTTATCAAGCACAGCTTAATCTTCGTCGACAGCCTCTCCCTATGACCAGATCCTCTCCCATTCGCCAATACGAGCGATTCATCAATCGGGATCCCAATTAACTAATTTTACCACCCGATTAGTCAATAGGGGTCGAATACGACTCTGGCTCTGCAGTGGGTCCCTATTAGTCAATCAAGTGCCCGATTAGTTAATCGGGCAATATTGAGGTCTCGGGAATAGCAGAATCAGTATATATTAAGATACTTTACTTAACTGTATTCAGGTAATAACGGAGTAGAGGCCCCTTATGTATTTATGAGCTCTAGAGAAGTATCTCTACCCTTATTACTACCTCCTTTTATGCCTAGAATTAATCAGATAAACTATGTGATACTACAGGGTATATCATAAACAAGTAAGGTATACGAAGGTCGCAGTCAGAAGTCTGGGGATTATAGCGTCCAAGCGCTATATATAATACCATATAACCTTTCCCGTCGGAGGCGTCTTTATCGATTTGTGCACAGCTAACGCCACGTCGTAATATAGCGTAATCCTCGCTAAAGCAGCCTATAAGCTCCTGTGGTTTTAGCGGCCCACTCCCTATACTACAGGGGCATACCCTGTCCCTTCGTGGACGAAGGGATAATCTCCAGTGTGTCAAATAATTTAATTAATTATAATTATTGGCCGGTAATCAAATTAAATTAAGTCAGAATCGTAGTAATTAAATTATAATTAATTATTTACTTAATTTAATTAAATATAATTAATTATTTAGTCACGTGGTATTACACGTGACTGCGGAAATAGCAAAAGCGTTGTGGCGTGAAAATAAGGTTTGCTCTAGCCTAATTTGGATGCCACCTTACCGCAATAGGCTTAGCAGCGGCTACACCCGCTTGGTAAGCGAGCCGGAAGGCGCTAGAACCACCTCGACTTTTCAGTGATTCTTCGCTACCTTATAAATAACTACCTTATAAATAATATAATTATAAATAATATAATTATAAATAATATAATTATAAATAATATAATTATAAATAATATAATTATAAATAATATAATTATAAATAAAGTAATTACAAATAAGGGATCTTAGAAATTAGTAGTTTGAAATCAGGCGAGTATTTCTAATTAGACGCTTATTAAAGAATCTTCTAGATTTTTAGACATTTTATATATAAATAACTAATTCTCCTCGATTTTCTAGCGATTTCTTTACTTCAAAACTATATATTATATTAACTACTTATCCTATTAAAAAGATTTCTACTATAAAGTTACTCGAAACTACTATACCTATCTGGAAATATTATCTATTAAGCTTAATATCCTTCAAAATAGAGAGGATTTTGAACTAGAACTACTTAAATAATAATCTTCTATATTTTCCCTCGGATATTATTCGAAAACTCTTAACCCTCCTAAAGAGAACCCGGAGGATCTAATTAACTATCAAACAGTTACTATTAAGTGCTTATTTAAGAACTGCAAATAAGTTATATTTATTAGAATTAAAGGAATTAAAGCTAATATAATATTAGTAAAGTATTTCGAAAGCAAAGAGTTAATACTACTATAAGTAATTATAAAACTCATTATCTTAACGTATATAAATCGGTTAATATTAATAAAGCTTTAAAGGCTAAAGCTCCTATAAGTAAGTTTAAATTATAATTAAAACTTAAAGAAATAATAAACTAACTTTTTATTTTAGATATTATTATAGAAAATATAGCCGAATTAAGTCAAATATCTATTATAAGTTCCTTTAATAAAGGTTCTAGTAATACGGACTTAGAATTCTTTATTATAACTTACTTTAAGAGGTTATTATTAGACTTTATAGTTAATAATAATATTTCTTTTTATATAGTTATTACTTCAAGCTTTCGAAAGCTTCTTAATTACTTGAACTAGTAAGTTATTAAAAAATCATCTTATATATTATTAAACTAACTTCTTTATAGTAAAGTACTGCCTTTATATTCTCAAGTTCTTATAGACAAACTTACTTTAAGGTTTAATAAAAATAGTAACCTTATTAAAGAAGAATTATTAGAAAATATCTTATTAAATAGTGCTTTCTCTATTACTTTAGATGCCTGAATAGCTATAAATTAAAAGGCTTATTTAGGAATTACTATATAAGTTATTCTTATTAACTTATTAATATAATATTTACTAATTTAATTTCTAGTTATTTTATAAATAAAGATTTTAAATTAAAATCTTATTTATTAGTTATAAAAGATTTAAAGGATATTTATAGTAGTAAATATATGAATTCGGTCTTACTAGAAGCTTTAAAAGCATATAATATCGAGTATAATATTATTAGGTAAGTAATATAACTCTTATTATTTAAGAAAAACTACTAATATATTTAATTTAGTATTACTCGAGATAATACTAGCTTAAATAATACCTTATTACAAGCTTTTATAAAGCATTATAATAAGGAAGGTATTAAATTTCAAGGAGATATTTCTTGTATAGCTTATATATTAAATCTAGTAATTCAAGATATCTTAAAAGCTCTTATTAAGAACGATTATAATACCTCTTATTCTATGGATTTATATAAGCTAGAAAAAGATGAAATCGAAGAAAGAGAAGAGAGAGAAGAAGTAGAACAAGTAATAAGTAAGTTTCTTATATTATTTATAAGAGATTTACTAATAAATTATAGATTTATTAATTTGAAGAAAGGTTAGAAAGACTATTATAGGTCTTAAATATAATTAGGAAAACCGACGGCTATTAGAAGCTTAGATTAAAGCTTTTAATATAGAAAATACTCGATTTCCTTAACTTGGTAAGTAATTAATTAATCCTTTAATTATTAATTAATACTAATTACTTATAGATCAAAAAATACGGTAGTTATTAACTTATTATATATTAAAAGACTTTCTTTATATATATAAAGCTATTAAAGCAGTTATTAATAGCTCGAAATCGAAGGCTTTTAAAAATAAAAGTTTAGTATTAACTAATATTGAAATTACTTATTTAAATAATATTTTAAATATAATTTCAATATTTATTAAGGCTACTACTAAGTTATAAGCCGAGAACTATCCTATTATATATTATATTATACCTGAAATATATAAAATATATAAAATATATAATAAACTCGAGAGTTTTAAACCCGAATTTAAAGTAAGTCTTTTCTGAACTATATTATATTAATAGTATACTAATTATAAATAGAATAAAACTTTCGAAAACGCTATTAATAAGGGTATAGCTAAGCTTCGCAAATATTATCCTAAAATCGGTATTTTAGATAATAAGAATAAAGCTTTATATTTAGCTCTTATTCTTGATCCTCGAATTAAAAGAATAGAACTAGCTGAAATTGGCCTAGATTCTGGTACGGTATCTGATATATATAATAGGCTTAAAACAGACTATAATATATAAGTATATATTTCTATTTAAATTTTAAATTATTTAATTACTAATTCTCTTATAAGTATAAACGAGACTATTTAATAGCTAATTCTCAAGATACTAATTCCGATATATCTATGGACGATTTAGACGAAGATGAACTTGGTATTTATATAAATAATTAAGAGGATAAAATAGAAGACGAATTAATGACTTATTTAGAGGAGAAAAGAGCAGATAAAAAAGTAAGTAATATTTATTTATTTAATTTCAAATTCCCTTAAGAACTACTAATTCCTTTATTATAATTTTTTTATCTATATGTACTAATTTAGCTCTAGATTCGGCCACTTAATTACTGGAAAGCTAATCAAATTAGGTTTCCTGTATTATCCCTTATAGTAAGGAAGTACTTAGGAATACCCGCTTCGTCCGCCGCTAGCGAGTGTCACGGGTACGGCATTCAGGGCTTGGAAAGCAAGGTAGAAGGTCCCTTACGAAGACGATTCAAAGCTAAGGAAGGGAAAACTAGAATACAGGAGGCTGCGAGGGAGTATATGCACCCCACAGTACGCTAGTCCCGAAGGGGCTTAGCCTTCTAAATATCTCCAGTGCATTCCAAGCCTACTTCCCTAGCGAGGCGGCCGCGTCACGTGCGTCTAGGAGGCAACGGGACATGGGCAACGGGACATGGGCAACCATGTCAGCTGACCATGTCAGCTGACGAAGTCGAAAGCTGAATCGTAACAGCGAGCGTTTCTTCTTACAAGGGGCTCTTATTAATACTAAACTACGTAATCGACTTAATAAGATTACTTTCGAGAAGATTATATATCTTAAGAGCTGGGGGATATTTATAAACGAGGAAGAAGAGATAAAAAAGGCAGAAAAAGAACAGGGATTAAAGGAGAAAAAGGATTTCGAGCCGGAGAATTAGTTTTTCCTTCCCGAAAAAGCTTAGTTTTATAGTATTATATATATTTTATTAGTCTAGTTAATATTTTATCCGATGGCCTTATAGTTATTTAGAGAAAATAAAGAGATTTTATTATTTACTTAACTTTTATATGACTTTTATGTAATAATTAGAAATAATTAATTATATTTAATTATAATTAGTCTAATAATTAATTTTTTCTGAAACTCAATAATCAAATTATAATTAATTAGAAATTTAATTTAATTAAATATAATTAATTACCTTAATTATTTTTTTGATATACTAATAATCTCCAGACTTTTAACTACAGCCTTTGTAGCAAAGTAAGAAAAAAAGAAAATTAGGCTTGAGGATATAGTTAGTATTAATTACAATAAGGCTATATTATACTATAAAGAGTAAGGCTTAAGCAGAGTAAATAGTATAGGGTTAAGGATATATTTAGGACAACAAACTAGTAGATAAGGGAATTTTAGCTCCTTTAGCCCCGAGACCTCAATATTATGCGATTAACCAATCGGGACCCACTCTGGAGCCCGAATCGTAATCGATCCTCTATTAACTAACTGGGCGCTACTATTAGTTAATCGGGAGCCCGATTAATTAATTGCTTGTATGGATAAACGGGGGAGATCTGATGCATATAGCTGGTCAAGAAAGCCAAGAAAGATGGCAATATGTGCCTTGCCTAGAAGTATTGCGTGCGTGCAACTTTAGCAATTATAATACCTTCCGTGATTGGTAATCATTGCAACCCAACGCTTGGGCGTGACAACTAACACTGATATAATTAGTCAAGAAGCTATCTACCGTTGTTAATAATGGAGCGCTTTTATTAAAATCCATTGAAGATTTGACGGCTCTTCCCCACTCTTCCCCGGATCACACACTAGTAGCAAGTCAGACTTTAGCGTAAGTCGGCATGTAAAAGCACAACTAGATGGTTTCTCCGAAAATGTTAAAGATCTGCTCTTTATATGAGCGGCAGTCGGAAGGCTAGACGGCCCGCGAAGTTACGTTACCCCTTTCTCTGCCAGGTATTTCCAGCCTGCCCGTCTCTCGCTCGGGAGATCTCGTCCCATCTCGTCCCATCTCGCTCCGTGGCCTCGTACAACAAGCAAGGGTCCTCGGTACATGCTCTAATAGGCACCGACTCCCCGGACGGACAACTCAAAATCTACTGTAGAAAATTGATCATCCGAATCCTGCATCTCGGCCACTCTCCCACAAATAACCCGAAGCCATCTGATAGGCGCGCAAATTCCTGTGGAACCTCCGTCGCAATCTTGTCTGAATAGTGTCACCCCTGACATCCCACTTGCCTAAATAGCGAACCAACTTGCACCGACAGGGAAGTTTCCTCGCTTCAAGCTTTGTGGTGCGCTGGGATCCCTCTGTGCCTGCGGGGTAAGTTAGTGCTTCATCGCCTCATCATTTATGCCCTGCATGGACAAGCTCGCGAGAATTCCTCATTATTTCGGATGTTATGGGATGTAGAGCCCCGTTTTTTCTCCAATTGCTGCAGATGTACGAGATGACCACCCTGGATTCTGCAGCTAGCAGGAGGTGTAATATACGCCTGAACTCCAGTTGAGCTGCGCGGTTATATAGCATATAAAAATGATGGGGTCCCCGCTTCTTTTTTGGTTTTCCTTCTTGTGAGATCCAGCTGTGTTTGCCTGTGACAATGAAGTTCCTACGTGCTCTCGCGGTGTTTGCGCTGGCAGCGCAAGCTGTTGCCATGGCAATTGGGGGAAAGCACATGCATGTTGAAAGAGAGAGCGGACTTCAGGATATTGTGAGATTCTCCGCCAACCTCACCTCTGGCAGCGTTAATTGAATACTTAGGTCACATACGATGAACATTCCCTAATGGTCTATGGCGAGCGAGTATTTGTCTTCTCAGGCGAATTCCATCCTTACCGTCTACCAGTTCCCGATCTCTGGCTCGACGTCTTCCAGAAGGTCAAAGCCTTGGGTTTCAACGCTGTGTCATTTTATGTCCATTGGGCCCTGCTCGAAGGGAAGCCGGGAGATTATTCTGCAGAAGGCGTCTTTGCCTTTGAACCCTTCTACGAGGCAGCCCAGACTGCCGGAATATATCTCATTGCTCGCCCCGGTCCTGTAAGTCTAAAAGCACAACACTAAAGGCCTAGACTAATAGGCTGTAGTATATTAATGCAGAATCGAGCGGTGGTGGTTTCCCAGGGTGGCTCCAGCGAGTCGAAGGACAACTTCGAACCCGAGCGCCAGACTATCTAGCTGCTACAGACAACTATATGGCACACATTGGGGCTTCTATTGCAAAGGCACAGATTACCAATGGCGGACCAGTCATTCTTGTCCAGCCCGAAAACGAATACTCTGGCTCAGTTGGCCCAGTCACAGGGGGCTTCCCAGACCCTGTATACTTCGCCTACGTGAAGAAGCAGTTGAGGGATGCTGGGGTAGTTGTCCCATTTGTGAATAATGATGCTTGTAAGACTCCCACGGTGCTATTCGTATACGTTGCTAACTTCTATTAGGGGCTCAAGGACTTTTCGCACCAGGAGAGGTCGTTAATGGCACAACCGAGGGAGATGTAGATATTTATGGTCATGATTCATACCCTCTTGGTTTCGATTGTGCTCACCCGTACACCTGGCCTTCAGGAAACTTGCCAACTTACTTCCATGCTAGCCACGAGGAGCAGAGTCCTTCGACTTTCTATTCTTTGAATGAGTTTCAGGGCGGTTCCTTTGATCCATGGGGTGGTTTGGTGGGTTCAAGCTACGCTGGCAATCTTCATAGATTTACAGCTAATACTATACAGGGATTTGCTCAATGTGCCGTATTGCTCAACATGGAGTTTGAGCGTGTCTTCTACAAGAATGACTTTGCAGCCGGAGCTGCCCTCTTGAATCTTTACATGATCTGTAAGTCTAACTCAAGACCGAACCCCTTGTAGATAATAATGGCTTAAAGTCGGTGGAACCAATTGGGGCAATCTTGGACATCCCGGTGGATACACTTCATACGATTATGGATCGTCACTTACCGAGAACCGTGAAATCTACCGTGAAAAGTACAGCGAACTGAAACTCGAAGCAAACTTTCTGAAAGTCTCGCCCGCCTACCTCACTGCATCAGTGGGCAATTCAGTAACCGGCCACTATACAACATCCTCCTTAGCATTTACTACACCTCTATTCGGCAATGGAACGGCAACCAACTTCTATATTGTTAGACATAACAGCTATGCGGAATTGACTGCTCTTACCTATAGCCTTACTGTCTCAACTAGCAAAGGAGCCCTCACAATTCCCCAATTGGGTGGCAGCCTCGTATTGAGCGCTAGAGACTCCAAATGGCATGTAACTGACTACGATCTTGGTGGAATCAATCTCCTCTACTCGACCGCTGAAATCTTCACCTGGAAGAAATTCGGCCAGAAAACTGTACTAATAGTCTATGGTGGACCCGACGAACAACATGAGTTGGCTGTTGACTCCCAGAGTCCTGCTAAGATTGTCGAAGGTGCTGGTGTCACTACTAAGAGCACTACTGGTACGACTATTCTCAACTGGAAGGTTTCGTCTACGAGAATTGTCGTCCAAATTGGAAATCTATTAGTGTATATCTTGGACCGGAATACTGCATATAACTACTGGGTCCCCGACTTTGTGAGGGACGATAAGTGGGGTGCATAGTAAGTGTCTTGACACCAATTCTCATGATGAACTGGCACTCACGGCTGCCTAGTACCGCCAACATCGGCAACACTACCTCAGTAATCGTCGAAGCGGGTTACCTCGTCCGCTCCGTCTACATCGAAGGCACCGCACTCCACATCAACGGCGACCTCAACGCAACCGTCCCCATAAAAATCATTGGCGCCCCCTCCACTACCAAAGACCTACACTTCAATAGCCTCAAAATCCCCTTTACCACCGACCCAACGACCGGCGAATGGTCCTCCACCCTCCCCTATACTGCGCCTATCATCAACCTCCCGGACCTCTCCACCCTCGACTGGAAATTCCTCGACAACCTGCCCGAGATAAAACCCACATACGACGACTCAAAATGGACGGTCGCTGGCAATACCACCTCCGTAAACCCATACACATTAAAAACACCCACATCGCTATTTAGCTGTGATTACGGGTATAACACAGGCGTGCTCATTTACCGCGGTCACTTCACTGCCTCCGGTAACGAAAGCTCTATCTACCTCTCTACAGAAGGCGGTTCTGCGTATGGTTCTTCCGTCTGGCTAAATAGCACATATCTCGGTTCCTGGCCCGGCATCGACGCCGCATCGAACCACAATGATACTTACTCGCTCCCGAACCTGAGGGTTGGGAAGAATTATGTGTTAACGGTGGTTATTGATAATAATGGGTTGGATGAAAATTGGGTTGTGGGTGTTGACCAAATGAAATTGCCGAGAGGGATTTTGGATTATGAGCTTAGCGGCCGTCCTCAATCCGCTATAACGTGGAAACTTACCGGGAATCTCGGCGGCGAGTCATATATCGACAGAACCCGTGGTCCTTTAAACGAGGGGGGTCTATACGCAGAGAGACAAGGCTACACTGCTCCCTTTCCCCCAAATCACAATTGGATATCAGGCTCTCCTTTGACTGGGATTAAGAACGCGGGCGTGGCTTTTTACCAAGCAGATTTCCACTTGGATTTGCCGAAGAATTATGACATCCCGTTGAGTTTTGTGTTTGGGAATACGACGATTGGGGGGAGTACGGCGGATTATAGGGCGCAGCTGTGGGTTAATGGGTAAGTATTATCAGTCTGGATTGGGGGAAGTCTTTAGGATGGGCTTTGCTGACTGGGACTTTGTGACTAGGTATCAATTTGGGAAGTATACGAATAATATTGGGCCGCAGACGGTGTTTCCTGTGCCGCAGGGTAAGATGTTCCAATCCCTCTCCTACTTGTAAAAATGGAGTGGGAGATATTCAAGAGAAGGCCCGGCTGACGGATGTGCGATAGGTATCCTCAATTACCACGGCCAAAACTGGCTCGCCATCGAGCTCTGGGCGCAACAAGCCACCGGCGCCTACCTCGCAAACTTCACTTTAGAAGCCGGCACTGCGGTCTGGACATCCATGCTCCAGCCTGCTATGGCCCCAATCCCTAGCTACAGCCAGAGACCCAGTGCCTACTAATTTCATTCAACAGTGGGCAACTCGGGGCGATGGAGGTACTACAAGAGGTCGGCTTCGAGACAATAGCTAGTACGGTTGGATAGTAGCCCTGCTAAGTAAAGACGAGAACAAAAATTTACAAAGACGAAGGCGGAACTAGAAGGGAATATCCAGGGTGTCCCTAATATTGTGAGTACACGCGCTAAGCTAGAAGCTAGCTCTCAAGAATAAATTTATTTAAATTCAAATACTTCTTAAACTTAAGGCCACTATGTAACGGAGTCGTAAAACCACTTTCGGATAAATCCAATGAATCTCTTATTAAGACAAATGGCAAATCGAATATTTAGTCCTTAAAAATTATTAGTATTTACATATCTAGTTACGAGCGATGAACTTCTTCGCGAAAATGACATGTGGCACTATTATTTTGATAGCAATGCTTATTCTCTAGACGAAGATAATCACAACTTTACGGCGCTCCTTGTTCATCTGATATGTGATCTGACCGGTCAAGTGAAAGGCCACTGTAGTAATTGTCACGGCCTGGACCAGTGTGTCAAATGAATAGAGTAGAGTAGAATAACGGCCGTTACTCTTATTTTATTCATATATTATTCGAGTTATTCATGAATAACTTGAATAACGCACGTGATCTATGCACGTGATTGAGCTAGCCTAATCGAGCAAGGCTTCGGGGGGGCCCGCACCTAGCGTCACCTAGCGCCACCTTGCTACCCAATCAGGTGGTAGTGGCGCTTGGTAAGTGAATCAAACCTTAGCGATAATCGGTTTATTTATTATAGAAAATCTGTATTTAAGTAGCCTTATATAAGTATTAGCTTAGCTTATATAAGGCTGCTTAATATGTACCTTAGTTCTTTTTTTTTAATTTAAATATATGCTGATTTATTACTTTCACGTGACTTTCACGTGGTTATTCATGGTTATTCAAGTTATTCATGAATAATTATTCTATTTTACTCAAATTATTTAAGATATTCGTTACTCTTATTTTATTCAAGTTATTCATGAATTATTCATGAATAAATCGAATAACTTGAATAATTCTTTGACACACTGGCCTGGACAAGCTGTGGAAGTGGAATGTGGTGTGTTTGTGTAAATATATGTATGAATGATCGTGCCCTAAGGGCGGTGAAGAAGCTATATATACGCCTGTGCGCAGCACGTGACAGTAATGCAGAGGCGTTTTTTTTTTGCGGGAAGTCCACATCTTGGAATTTTAGGAACACCCAAAGCTCTAATAGCTGATCCTGTCTTCTAGTTTGTGAAGTGTTCAATATCTTATTGGAAATTTGGGTTTTGATATCACCAATCAAGATCCTCAATGATATCAAAAGACTAAGAAGAGACAAATTTGTTCTTTCTGTTGTTTTTGGTTTCAGCGCTCTGGCTTGCATTGCAGGGTTAGTACATTTATGTGTCCAGTTTTTCCTAGTCTTTGGAAGTCTGCAGTAGCTTACCACACTTTGACCAGCATTATCAGGTTATACAAACACAATTCGAGTTCTCAGCCTCCGAAGGCAAATCATATCACGGCACTCCGATCAATATCTGGTCAATGATCGAGATTAATGCTTCCATTATCTGCGCATCTCTCCCAGGCAAGTTCCTCTCCTCTCTTCAACCACTCACTCACTAACCCGCGTTTCTCCAAGCTCTTAACCCCTCTTCTTCAAATCGATCCACGAACGCACCATGAACTCTAAACACCACCCCAACATATTTAGCGGGGAACAAAGCTACTCGATGTTGCCTCTTGGTGACGGCCACAAAGATGATCTCTCCCGCTTTCGCTAGATTGAAAGAGGTTACAGTAGCCAGAGATGTTTCTTCAAATGACGATGCCGGCAGGAAAGTTCAAATTATCCATTCCAAGCCTGGAATGGAGATGTAAAGGATTTATCATTTTCAACGGCCTATTTTGAAATACATTAGAAATTGTAATAATACCCTTTCTACTAAATGTCTTGCGGTGGAAGCTCGGTGATTCTCATATATTTCCGAGCATGTGGAGGGACGTAACCGTCAATAATTCACTCCTCCATTCGACTGAGGAGCTCTTCTCATGCAAGGCCAGTTCGTTGCTTCGAGCGTGCATGGCAGCCAGCTAGCCCGCCTTCAGAGCACTACGAATTGGAAGTCCCGACTCAAAATCAGCACCGCTGGGAGTATATTTATGTGCGGCCAGCATCTTCGCCCCAACAACTTTCTATATTTCTCTCATCCCGGCTATGAGAGTGCTATGGGAGGTCGGAGCAGCCAGCTATCGAGCAATGAGGATATTTTGCATGATGGGGGAATGACTGGCAGTGAAACGCAATGGCGGGTGGTGAAATTCCAGTGGTGCAAAGTGAGAAAGTTGCCCAAACTGTTGCTTACAAGGGTAAAGACCAAGCCATGACCTCCGTCAACTCAAATTTTCTTGTCAGAACGCCAGGATCAAAGGAGCAAGTTCGGCCTTCCCTTTCAGAATCACAATCTGGATCACATCACGTGACATCAAGTCGATTTGAGGAGGTATCCTTCTTTCCATCCATTCATCCGAACACCTGCTTTATGCCATATCCCAAGTCCATTCGCCCAAACCTAAACTCAAATATGCAATCACTCCCCTCCCAATTCCCAGGGTATCAACATTTCGACGCCGACGCATTCGGCCACTGACAACTCGCTCGTCCCCAATTGAATGCAGTCCCCACACCTACGATCGTCAGGGCAATGAGCAGCATTGCCACAAGCCACCTGCAAATTTCCTCCGTCTGTTCTGCCGGTGTGCCGTCTAGCTCATAGCTCCGCAGCAAGTTGCGCATCTCTATTTCATTCGGATTATATATATCATGGTAGGAAGGAGGAGGTGAGATCGTGTCTCCATCTGTGTCGGTTATGGTGATGATGAAGGGTTGGTCTCGATAAGGAACTCGTATTGAGCCTTGTGATGGGTTTGGTTGGCAATTCGGTAAGGGAATCTGAGAATTCGATTGTTGCGAACGGAGGTAGTCGTACATGGGTTCGTAGCCCGGCGGTGAGCGTTCTGCTTGGAGGTCCTCGAGAATCTCAATCTCAACCTCTTCGATCTCTGGATCATCGCGGTATGGTATTGATATGGACAGTGCGTGTGTTCGACGTGGAGGGAGAGGAGGCAGTGGTCGAGAGAGTGAGACGTGGGGTACAGATGTTTCGCTGAGTTGGTCCGCCATGATTCAGTGTTTATTGCAGCCTCGTCAGCCTTGCGCACTCTCGATTCACAGGTCTCCAGGTGTCGAGTGCTGTTGCTTCTTCGATTCGTATCTGCAAACTTCAGCTGAGAGGTCGAAGCTTATTTAGGGGAAGAGAAGGAATTTGGTTGTCGTAGTTTATTCGTACTGTTCGATGTTGCTGCTACGCCGCAATGCTGAGTTCGTGGCTCAGACTTACGGTGGGGAGCCCGCCAAGAGGTGTCACAGCCCTGTAATCTTGACCATGCGTGGGGCCAGACGAGACGAACAGTTTCAAGTTGGTCTATTTTTGCTTCAGGATGGACAACACAATTTAAATATTCCAAGCAAAGGGCTGTTCCCCAAGATGTTGCAAGTTTCCTGCATATTTGTTGGTATTTCCTGCGCATCAAGTCCCTTTCATGCATGAGTTGGTGATCAGGAACTTTGCCCGTTACAGTACCTATGGCTGGACCCCCTGGCCATTGTGCGGGGGAGTATTCTCTTATGTAAGCCTTAGGCACCTACATCGCTTAACTTTCACGCTAGGGAGTACTGAGTCTTGCCACAAACTTTTCACGAGCATTAGGCTTCTCTCTAGAAAATATCTCAATTTCTAGAACTCACTTTCGTATCGCGTGAAGTCTGTTTTTATTCCGTTGATCGATTACCTGGTACAAGTCTCACTTCTGCCTCTTTGTCCTTTGAACTATCACCGTCCATTCCACATGACTGTCAACATCATCTTTGGAGTCCTTCTTGGTGATCCCGATCGCCGAGCCTCTACGAAAGCGCGTGGCGTCGAAAACCGTCCATCTGCCAAAATGCGAGGAATACCAAAATCGCTACACTTAGAAAATCACACCAAATGTCAATAGAACGCCCGAAACTCCTCAAAAGTGCTTTACATTATAAAAAAGAAGCAAATCTATGTTTGGCGAAAGTTTTATAACAATAGAATATAAGGCGGAATTATGAGAATTTTTGTAATGCAGCATTAAAATTGCGCCTGTCCTTACTTAGCGAGTTGGACGAATTTCAATGCCGCCCGCTTTCGTAAGATAGACCAATACCTGAAACACAATTTACACCCACAGGAAGGCACTTCAATTAATGGGCAACTTCCTTCACATCATTCACTCAAAGAATCCGATACGACCTCGAATCGTTGACTGAGAACTCCAGTTGCGATGCTCAACACAGATTGGGTTTTGGAACTCTAGGTCATGCCTTGTATTTCTTTCAACGTTTCGTTCAGAGTGCCAATATAAATCTCTATAGTGAGCTTGATGTACAGTCGGTCCGATCCAAAAGCGACAAAACGGTCGCTCTTTTACGCCCATAATAACTTTTTAACCACAACCCTAATTAATTTATACCAAGTAATGCGATTATAGAATAGAACCAGGCGAAAAATACCTATTAATTAGATTTTTAATATAATTTGTGGTTTATTAATAATCGAGGCTTAAAGTATACGGACACTTTTTACTTTCTTTGATTTTCCCCTATATAAAACGTGAATATATTTGCTCGCTAAGGTTACGTGATCCCGGACTTCAGGGAGAGATCACGGTATCTCACTAGCCTTATTATTAATATAATAATAATAATTAAGCCCTATAAGCTTAAGTAAACCTTCCTAAATACTAAATATAGCTTTTTCTGGTACTATATATATTATATATATAGTAGGGCTCTAATTATATGAGTTTCAAGCTAACTTTTAGCCGAACTAAATCTATAAACCTTACTTATTACTTAGCTACTTTCTTTCCCTTACTTTTATATATTATCCTATTTATCTATTACCTTTTTAGATATTATTCTATAGTATTTTTGCTTCTATATATATTAAGTAGCTTATTTAATACTTAATTCCTTCCGATATATATCTATCTAGCGAAATATATAGTTATAAAACCTTTATATAGTCTTAATTAAATAAGCTTTAAGTGCCTCTATTACCTTAATCTTAGTATCTGGGAAGCTAGCCTTCTTTACTTAATAATATCGAGTTTTGCTATATCTCTAGTATATCTTAATTAGATTAATTTTATAATAGAACTTTAGTAAAAATATAGCCTTATATTTCCGATCTATAATAAGCTCTTTAACTTAGAACTTCTCTTTAAAGAAGTCTTAGTAATTTAATAGTATATAAGCTAAATAGTATATTTATTTAATAGTAGAAGAGTATTTAAGAGATATAGTATACTTAGTACTCTTTAGATACTTAAATCTTAAGCCAGATATATTATAATCTTATTTAATAAGAATCTGTTTTATATTCTTAGGCTTTCTTTCTCTATTCGGATTAAGTTACTAAAGAACTTAAATAGTGCCTTATAACCCCGGAATTATATACTCTAGTAAAAAGTATATATCTTTTCTATAGGCTTTAATATTACCCTTTTTAACTTCTTTTAGTAACTTATTATAATAGGCATACGTAATGGCGTATAAACAGGTATTAGATATTATGGATCTAGTTTCCTATTTTGAGTATAGCTTATAATCGGAATTATATGAATTATATGAGATTTCCTAATTAAGTAAAGGGCTTTGCATGCCTGGCTAAGTACTAGGAAATATATAGGGAGATGCTTCTAGCTTTGGAAGAGGCATTAATTAGTCTCTTATTAAAATTAATTCTTGGAATTAGTTATACTTGTAAGCGTTACTTTATAGCTTACTTACCTTAACTACTTATATACTACCCTGCTATTACGTGCCTCATATTCTAATTAATCTAACCTTCGGAGAGCAGTTCGTTATAAGGTAGTCAAGCCATTAATAGACAAAACCACTAATAGCTAGAGTATTAACCAGAAGAAGCGCCTCTGCTATTACTAGGGCGACCTAGTCAGGTATCCAGGGGAGCGCCTAGTTAGCTACTCTAGCTACTGCCTAATTAGGAGAAGGGAGTAGAACTCAGATATCCCCAGAACCAGCTAGTAGGATAATAATAACGGAGAAGCTAGCGGCGGCTCGTTATTATATTACTGAGTTAGAAGCAGAGATATAATAGAGAAAGAATCTAGAGGATCTAGAAGCTCAGATTTATTATCTTAAGAATATTCGGGTACCTATTATAGAACCTGTTATACTACTAGCGGCATATTTGGTTTATAGGGCTCCAAAAACCCGAGAATTACTAACTTATAAGAGGAAAAGTATTAAGGAAGCCTAGGACTTTTTTTACTAGGCAAAGCTAAAATAATATAAAGACAGCGGGATTACCTGGGCTATAGATATAGTAAAGGTTATATATTATGCTTCCTGCTTTAAGAATATAGCCAGGAATATCTGGAAATATAGGAAGTAATTAGTAAGTATTAATATTACGGATTAGGAGACCTTTATTAAGTTTATAAAGAATTCTATCTTGGATCCGGAGAATTATAATAATAATATTCTTACTAAGTTTAAGAATACAAAATAGTAGCTAGGTTAGAGTATCTAAAGCTTTATATCTTATTTAGATAGCCTATTAGATAACTTGGGATATATAGATTTATTATAAAAGCGAGATAACTTATTTAGTAGCTTAAGGCAAGAAATTTAGGATAAGATTAATTACTAAGAGAATGCTTTACGAGAAAGAAAAAAGCTTATTTCTATAGCTATAAGAATTAAGAATAACTTAAACTAGTTTATTTAACGGGAATATAATAATAAGCTAATAGGTTAATAAAAGAAAGGAAATTAAAGAAAGAAAAAAGGAAATAATAAAGGAAAACGGAAAAGAAATATATCCCTATTATAAGGTTTATATAACCGAGATAATAAAAATATAATAACGGAGTCTAATATAATACCTATATTAGGATTTATAAGACCGGGTATAACTTGCTTTACTTACTAGAAAAAGAATTACTATACTATTACTTGCCTAAATTAGGGAAAACCGACTTGCTATAACTATAATAAGTCTAGCTATAAAATATATAAGTACCTAGAACTAAAGAAGCCAGGAAACGGGCATGCCCCGTAATAATTATACTTATTTATATTATAGAGAGCAAGGCCCCTAAAATAAGAATAATAATTAAGGTTATTATTAAGATAAGGAAAAATAGGTAAAGAATTAGAGTATTAGTTAACTCGGGTATAGAGACTAATTATATAAAGAGAAGATTAGCCTTAGATATAAGTATTCCGTTAATATTAAGGATAATTTCCTTATTCTTACTAGAGAAAAGAAGAATTTATTTATATAAAGATTATATTCTTGGGATTATTACTGAGAATATACTAGGAAATAAAAGAAAAACTAATATATATTTTATATTATGTAATTTTAATCTAAATTATATTAATATAATACTTGGATTCCTATAGTTTTACTAGGTTAATTCCCTAATTTCCTTTAGGGAAGTAATATAAAAATATTAGATTTAATTATAGAAAATTAAAGTTCTAAATACTAGGAAATTTACTAAAGTAATAAAATATAAGGCATATATTTTTTTATTAATTACCTATTCTATAATAAATAGCTAAAGAATTATTACTATTACTATAAATAGGATAGCTATATTTCCTAGAAAGTATTAGGACCTTTTCTAAGTATTTTTTATAAAGGCTATAGGCATATTACCTAACTATTATATAATAGAATATTATATAAATCTGAAATTAGGATCCTAATTACTATATAGTCTTATATATGCTTTATTAGAAAGAGAGCTTAAAGTTCTTTGGGAATATCTTAATATTAGCTTAAAGAAAGAATAAATTCATTATTTTACTAGCCTAGCTAATACCCTAATTATATTTATTCTAAAGAAAGAAGGCGGCCTATATCTATATATTAATTACTAGGGTCTAAATAGGATTACTATTAAGAACTAAATACTATTATTACTTATTAGTGAGATAATAAATAGGCTTTATAAAGTAAAGATATATATAAAGCTAGACTTAAAGAATACTTATTATTAGTTATAAATACGGGAGGATAATAAGTAGAAAATAGTATTTCAAATATACTATAAATATTTTAAGTACTATATTATGCCCTTTAGACTATTTAATATCCCGGTAATATTCCAGGCATATATTAATTATATACTAGTAGGCCTTATAAATATTATTTATATAATTTATTTAGATAATATTTTAATTTATTTAGAGAATTTAGAATAATATATAATAGTAATCTAATATATACTTAAGTAATTATAGTAATACTAGCTTTTTATAAACTTAGTAAAATGCGAGTTTAATATAGAGAAAGTAGAGTTCCTGGAATTTATAATTAGCCCAGATAATATAGAAATAGAAACTAGCCGGGTTATAGCTATTAGGGAATAGCTAGTCCTAAAGAATAATATCCGAGAAGTCTAAGT